AGCTTGGAACAAATGAATTCCATTCGAGGTCCTCTCAAAGATTTTGTTAATGCATCTGCAAGCTGCTCATTGGAACCAACAAACTCAGTACAAATTTCTTTAGTCAACAATTTATCTCGAATAAAATGACAGTCAATCTCAATATGCTTAGTCCTCTCATGAAATACTGGGTTGAAAGCAATGTGAAGAGTAGCTTGATTATCACAATACATCTTCATAGATTCAATCTCACAAAAGTTCAATTCTTGCAAGAATTGTTTTACCCAAACAAGTTCACAAGTAAGAGACGTCATTGCCCTATATTCAGCTTCAGCAGAGGATCGGGCAACAACGTTTTGCTTTTTGCTTTTCCATGAAATGATATTTCCTCCAATGAAAACACAATAGCCTGTAGTGGAACGCCTATCCATAGGAGATTCAGCCCGGCCAAGATCACAAGCATCCAAAAATTTGGGTATTTCCCTTGTCTTCATATAATAATCCTTGTCCCGGAGCTTTTTTAATGTATCTTAAGATTCGAATGATAGCATTCCAATGATCCACACAAGGAGCTTGCATAAATTGGCCGACACACCAACCGCAAAAGACAAATCGGGTCTAGTAATCGTCAAATAAATAAGTTTTCCAACCAGTCTTCTATATCTTTCTCGGGTCGAGAAAACTTCACCCCGTCCCGCCATTAACTTCAAATTTGGATCCATAGGACTGTCCACAGGTTTGCAATCAACCATACCTGTCTCTTTTAGAATATCTAGAGCACACTTCCTTTGAGAGATGACAATACCTTCTCTTGATTGAGCTACTTCAATACCCAAGAAATATTTTAGATTTCCAAGATCCTTGGTCCGAAAATGACTACACAAGTGCTCTTTTAGTCGAGATATTTTAGCAGAGATCATTCCCCGTGATGACAATATCATCAACGTACACAATTAAATAAACATGTTTGCCAGGGCGAGTGCGACAATAAAACACTCGAATGATCTCGCTTCACTCGCGTTTTAATCCAAAAGCTTGAACAATAGAGCTGAATTTTCCAAACCAAGCTCATGGAGATTGTTTTAGGCCATAGAGGGATCGACGTAATTTACAAACCAAACCAGACTCCCCCTGAGCAACAAATCCAGGAGGTTGCTCCATGTAAACTTCTTCTAAGTCACCGTACAAAAAAGCATTTTTAATATCCAATTGATGAAGAGGCCAATGACGAATGGCGGCCATGGCAAGGAACAGGCGGACAGTGGTCATTTTGGCTACTGGAGAAAAAGTATCACAATAATCAAGTCCATATATTTGAGAATACCCTTTAGCCACTAACCTTGCTTTAAGACGATCAACCTGACCATTGGGCCCAACTTTAATAGCATAGATCCAACGACAACCAATTGTTTTATTTCCCGAAGGGAGAGGAACAAGCTCCCAAGTTTTGCTGTGATCAAGAGCCTGCATTTCAAAAATCATGGCTTGTCGCCATCCAGGATGATCAAGCGCTTCGACCACATTTTTGGGAATTGTAATAGAGGAGACAGAGGAAATAAAAGAACAATAGGAAGGAGACAATCTATGATAACTAAGAAAATTGTAAATGGGATGCGGATTACGAGTAGAACGAGTACCTTTGCGAATGGCAATGGGCCAACTGGAGTCATCGTTATCAGGAGCCGTGGTATTAGAGGATGATGGTGAAGGACCTGTTATGGATGGCTCATCTTGGGGAATGGGATTGTTCACCTGGTTCCTGCGTTGATAGGTGATGATAGGTGATGATAGACTGTGATGCTGATTCTAGAGTATTTTGGTCGGAAATAGGAGGTACAACCGATTCAACTAAGGGAACAAGAAGCACATTTTGGACAGAATCAATATCCCGCATAGAATAAGGGAAGAAGGATGATGATTCAAAAAAGGTGACATTAGCAGACATGTAAGTACCTCTTGGTTTCGGGAGAATAACACCGATATCCTTTTTGAAGACGAGAATACCCCAAGAAGACACATTTGATAGCTCTAGGTAAGAGTTTATCTAAGCCAGGAGACATGTTATGAACAAAACATATACATCCAAATACCCTAGGAGAAACATGAAAAATTGGTTCCTTTGGAAATAGAATAGAGTGTGGAACTTTATTATCAAGAGAAGAAGATGACATTCTATTAATGAGAAAGCATGCGATTAGAATAGCATCTCCCCAATGATGAATAGGCATATTAACACCCAAAGAATAAGGTACGAGCAATTTCAACCAAATGTCTATTTTTTCGTTCGCTATACCATTTTGTCGTGGTGTGTGAGGACACGTGGACTGGTGTAAAATGCCTTGAGAATTTAGGACATTAGAAAAATCATTAGAAAAGTACTCTTTGGCATTATCACTTCGTAAAACTTTGATTACTTTTCCAAATTGAGTTTTGATTTCATTAAGGAAAGACTTAAAGATAGGCAATAGTTCGAACGATCTTTCATAAGATAAACCCAAGTACATCTAGAAAACCCATCAATAAAAGTAACAAAATATCTAAAACCAAAAGATGAAACACGACTAGGTCCCCATATATCCGAATGAACAATACTAAAAGCAGTAATCACATCTAGATTCGTAATGATTTGGAAAGGATGACCTGGTATGTTTCCCTAGTTGACAGGATTCACATTCAAGAGTTTGAAGGTTCTCAAGTTCAGGAACCATTTTTTTCAATTTTGCTAAATGAGGATGCCCTAATCGCTCATGTAACAGCTTTGGGGATAAAGACGCAACACAAGATACGGATGACTTAGTCCTAAGGTAGTATAAGCCTCCAGATTCACGTCCTTCTCCAATCAGTCGACCCGTACCACGTTCCTCGGATAACAAAACAATTGGCATTAAAGATTACTGAGCAATTCAATGATTTGGTTAATTGGCTTACGTAAACAAGACTGAATGGAAAAGAAGGAACACAAAGAACATTTTGAAGGTTTAAAGAAGAAGAGATGGATACTTGACCAATTCCTTTAGAGGCTACTTTAGATCCATTAGCTAAAGATATGAGATGGGATGTTTTAGGAAATGAAAGAGAGGAAAATAAAGAGGTATTACCGGACATGTGGTCGAAGCACTCGAGTCAATAATCCATGGATTTTGACTTTCCACAGATTGCGAAATGCAAGCGGTTGACGAATTTGGTGTTGTAGATGCTTGAGCCAAATTGGTTGATTTCATCCTTAAATATTCTTGATACTCTTCATGAGAGAACTTGGGCTCATCAACTTCGATTTTGAGGTATTAGTCGCCTTATCGGGAAAGTCGTGCGAGCAAAGCAATTTTCCTTAGTATGTCCCATTCTTTTGCAATGAGAGCACCGAGGACGTCCTTTCCCACCACGTCCTCTAGAGTTGTGATTACCTCTTCCACGAGCGTAAATCATGGCGGAAGAATCAGCAAGTTCCTCGATCGTTTTTGCTTTTGATAGAAGGAACACGAAGTAGCCTTGTGATTAAACTCTCCGTAGAAGGAACTTCTTCTCCAGCTTAGAATCTGGTCTCTAACATGATTAAACTCTGGATTCATAGCCCTAAGAATCATTACCATATAGAATTTATCCAGACTTCGTCTTCCTTTCTTCTAATGATTCTCGCCTCCAGGAACATTTTTAATTCTTCAACAACTGATCGAGCTTCAAGCAACAAAGGACATCATGGAATTATCCTCTTGCTTAAGGGAGGCTAGTCTATTAGCAGAATCATAAAGTCGTTGAATATCGTTAGTAAAGATATATTGAACCTTTTTCCAAAAAGAATTACATGTCATGAAGGCTCGAAGAGTGCTCAAAATATGTGGTTCAACAGATTGCCATAATAGTACACAAAGTTGATAATCCAGTTTCTTCTATTGAGGAGCCTGATCTGCTGGTATAGTACTTCCATCTTCTTCTAGATGATCATGAACTCCTTGACCTAGAAACCAGAGCTCAACAGAAGAAGCCCAAGACAAATAATTTTTTCCATTTAATTTTTCCGTGGTTATAGTCGGAGTCCCGTAAAAGATACGGACATACGCATCCCGACATTTTCCAGGAAACAAGAAAGGACCGACGTGCGTCGTCGAGAGAGGCGAGAGAAAAACGCAGACCCACCACGTTTTGTGACCGAGAACACAAAACAAAGTGCAGATCTGGCACCAGGGCGACGAGGCGAGCCGGATAGAGGTGGCCTGGAGCAAAATAGCCACCGAGAGGGCGGCGCGTGAGGCCCATGCGCGGAGGAAGCCACGGACGAGGGTGGCACGTGGCGGCGCGTGAGGCAGAGATAGAGGAAGCGAACACTGGGGTTGGGTCATGCTCCTCGAGGCGAGCCAAACCCAAGTGTCAGAGAGGAAAAAGGCGCCGGAGAAGACAACACCGGCGGCGAACGGCGGCGGACGGCGGTGAACGGCGATTAATGCCAGAAAAAAAAACAGAGACAGGCAGAGCGGGATGAACCCGCTCTGATACCAACTTGAAATAGAAAAAAGAAAATAAAGAACTGATTTTGAGAGCTTGAAATCATCTTCTTGTGTTCTCTTATTTATAGGAGATAAAAATACAGATTCAGATATACAATTAATAGAGAGACATGATTAATCCTAGAGAAGATAAACAGATGCATTCTAGGAACTAGATCTACAACTAATCTCATAAATGTCCAACAAGATACATTTAATCTAATAAATACTTCAACAGAACCATACCAATCACCTCTATTCCTTTCTTAGCATTTCCAGACTCCTTATGTTTCTGCGCCTAGAAGCTAACAAGTGCTGAAGTTGTCCAGTCTAGTTCCAGTGTTACCATTACAGCATAAGTATACATTAGAAATTTTTTATGAGTCAGTTTGTTTGATTCTCAACCTTGTGAAACATATGAATCCTAACGTCAAGCTTCTACCAAGTCAGGGGAAGCTGTTGAAAAAAACGCCTGTTAGGAAAACTTAAGTATCATACTATCACTAGACTTGATGTGACTTTTGCCATAAGTGCGGTGAGTCAGTTTTTGAAGAGTTTTGAACACCGGTCTCTACCTTTCTCTCTGCCTACCTTTTCAGATGCTGACTGGGAATCAGATTTCTTCTTGCCAAAACAAAACATATGGAACTTGACCAGAATGTATTAAACAAAAGTCGAATGGGTCAGCATATTCCACCTCTTTACCAGAATGCAGACAACATAACAAACCATTTTCCTCTCTTAGATTTCTGGCCATGTGAGACAACTTGGATATTTAATAAGTTCTCCCTCGGTCAACCACCTTAAGTTTAAAGGGGGGGAATTAAAGACAAACATATATAAATTTCATTGTAATTTCGTTTAGCTTTCTTTGTAGCAGATCAGCTTTCCTGTCGTGAGTTAGTTACTTGCTGACATAGCCTAGGTATATATAGTTCGTTTGTCTATACTTTGAACCTAATGAATACACTATAGTTTTCTCTTATCACTGTTTGACTCTGCTCTCTGTTATTACAAATTCTATTATTTATGACTGACTGACTCTTTTTAATCAAAAGTAAGAATGCTAATGCATCACTATATTGACTACAATCCTTACTAGGTTAGCATCCCAGTCAATTTCCTATCACGAAAACAAATACAAGAGGGGAGACCAAACCAAAACCATCAACAAGAAACTAAACAAACCTAAAAAGGTAAATGATATCTATCCTTAAAAAAGTCTAAACTCAGAAAAGAAGGCATTACATCCTATCAACAATTCAACCGACATATTATGCCTGACTTCCTTTGTACACTAATATGTCATTATAAATAAAGCATGTTTGTACCTATGAGACAACATTTAGATATCATTCTTCTCTAGGAAATAAAATCCTAATGTTTACATTGACCATAAATATGACCAACTTGATACGGTGTTAGTGGAGGCCAATAGATGTTAATATTTTTTAACAATAGTCAATTATAAATTGTTTGATACATATACATTTTCATCTTATTGGAAAATAAATTACCTTTTTTCTGTAAAAAGCCACACCATGAATGTTAAATGGTATTTTTCTATCACGGAACGCCATTTGGAAGGCTTTCCCTGATGCCTGAAACAGGAAGAAAGGCAGTAGGAAAAATCATTCAGTCAGAAATAGGGAACTGCTTTTTTACGTAGTTATAATAACAAGAAACAACCTGCCTACGGTAGAGAATTGCAATGTTGCCATAACAACAGTTAGCTGCTGAGTGATTTGATGAAATTTCTATGATTTTGTCAACAATAAATGCGCATTGTGCATCCTCATTGTGACATTCCTTCATAACTATCTGCACATTATTAACAAAATAAATTTTAGCTATATAAATCGGGAAATCACAATTGAATGTACTTTTCAAAACAGCACGCTGCAAGATGTAACCTTGGAACCAGAAGAGTTATCAGTAAGAACATTCTTCAGCTGACACCGCTTGGAATTATTTTGAATGAGAGAAGATGCAGCCTCAACAATGCAACGTGTGGACCGATAGTTTTTGTTAAGCCTAATCTGAACCAAAAAATTTATTCAAGTATCCAATGAAGATATTTAATAATAAATAAAGTATTCTTTCTTCTATCAAATTGTTAATGTATAAAGGTATAGTAGCATAACCAACTCTCCCTTTGGCCTCGAATATAATAAAAAATACTAACCCGTGCTAATTAAGAAGTTAGTTTTAAAAAAATATTTTCTCTTTCTAGACTACCCTTTATCTGAATTTGATATCATTTAAGAATAAAAAGTCACAGGTAATAAAACATCAATCAAATGAAGGGTATTTGAGAAATGGTGTCATTAAATAAGGTAAAATTAGTTAAGATTTGCTTATATTTGAGACCAACGTACAATTGATTTTTTGTTTATGTTTTTGTGATCAGAGGGAATGAAAGCCAAGTATCTAGCAAAAAAATATCATCAGTCAAGAACAAGAGAACCTCTTTGTAGTTTGGAAAATCATTGCGAAAGGACATAAATCCGGAAATGTCAGCTCCGTTGAAACTGTAAATAGACTGTAATAACAGTAAGACATTAGAACAATGGTTAAAAGGATGATCTTTTAAGTGCACAGAAAGAAACAAAACAATACAAATATCACCAAAAACTTATCAAAATTTAGGGATTAAGAAGAAAATATTCATGCCTGATCATCATCACCAACAATTGTTATTTTATGATGAGATGCGAGTATCTTTAGAAACTTGTATTGCATGACACTAGTATCTTGGAATTCATCAATAACAATAGCTTTCCATGAATCCTGACATTCTTTGAAAACTTTTTCATAGTTTAAACAAACGCAAGTTAGTTCAACTAACTGTAACAAAGGAATAGATTTTAATTAATTGTATATTTATGAAAATGAAATTCTTACCTTCAGGAAAATCACCGAGTAGCATCACAGAACAGCTGATCAAGTCATGATAATCCAGAGCATTACAAGATTTTAATATTTTGTTGTAATTCTCAAGAATTTCTGCCTGATTACAGTTCAGAAAAAAAAAATTAGAGAAAAAGAATGTGAAAAGCAGAACAAGTAGTTGGTATTCGTGTGTGCAGGCATGTGGAAAAGCTTTTTATTTATCAGCTTACTCCGGTTTCATTGCCCATTGCACGATATTCGGCAGAAGTTCTTCCCGAAGCTTTGGCCTGAAAATGGTGTAAAGTTATTGCATGTGATAGGATTAACTTTTACCTATTAAGCATAAGAAAATAAAAATAAGAACTGAAAGATTCTTGTCAAGCAATTATAAGTCACAATCATTAGTTTGGCCACTAAGAAATGCAAAATTTTACCATTTAAAAGTCCTGAGTAAGTATTTAGAAGCAAACAGCTCAACTTTCCGGTCCCTAACAAGATGAACAACCAATTGTCTCCTAAAGACTAAAGAACTATCAAGTTTTGATTACAAAGACTTTTTTTGCACATATGTAGATGTCTCCCACAATCCGCGTAGTTACAAGGGAAGTAGCATGACTCACATTAAGAAATAAAGATAGAAATATAAAACCCGGTGAAATTATAGTTTGGAGTAATTTTCTTCATGGTAATTGATTTCTACAAGAAGATAACTTTTTATTAAGAAAATAGAATCAAATATTTAATTACAAATGTTTCTCACATTATGCATTACTAGTCAAAGAAACATGAGAAACCTGTCAAAAATAAAACTATCCATGTTAATTTGGGCTTAGAACTAACTCAACCTAACATAATTAACTTGTATAACAAGGACTTTAATTAGATCTAATTAAGTCATATCATATTTATAGTCTACGTGAAACTAGACACACCCTTCAGGGCAGGTGAATGGATTAGCTTAAGTGGAATGACACTTTACTTCACATACATACACTTCATAATATAACATCAAGGACAAGGGAGCGAGAGCCCTTTCGTAGACATTAATTCCTAGAAAGGCTAATACCTTTAACATGTGATATATGAAACGCATGTCGCTATCCAATATTCTAACATAAAGTTTCTCTCTAAAACTCAAGTTTGCAATTTATTCTTTCTTTTGATTTGTTAATTGGGAATATCCTTCCCCAGATAACATGCATTGAGGCTTGTTGAGCAGTGAATACAAAAGTCTTCCCAGTTTACGAGCAGCAAGACACGTCAAAACCCGCTCCAATATCAACTTGAAATTAGAGAAAATGCTGAAATTGTATCTAAGCCACAGTGCCATATCACAAAATGATATATTTACACAAACAAAGTTTTAATTACAAATGACAACGGTGATTTTAACTTTAATTAGAGCTTTATACCTTAGACATACACTAGTTTCTAGATACTTCTCATAAAAAACATCAACTTCTACAACAAACAGGACTCTTTTCTAAACATAAAAGTTGATTTTTAATATATAAAAGTGCAATTATAATTTTACATCGGAAATGAGAGAGCGAGAGGTAATGTAGCTTTTGCAAAAGATTTCAAACGGAGGCTTAGAATGACAAACTCTTTAAATAAACCAAGTACCTGAGTCACAAACTTTTGCCATTTCTTTGCCTTATCCTTGAACTGTTTAGGATTCTTTTCACTATTGGGCAAATCACCCATTAATACTGCACCATCTTTATTTCCACTCTTATCATTTTCTAACAATCTGATGGCCTCAATAATTGCATTTCGCTGCTGCCCCTGTCCATATATAAAGAATTCAGATGTACGACCTAACCTGCAGCATAATTTGAATACTATTTAGGAATCATTCTAGCAATGAGAGATATAAGCTTACAGATACAATAGATAGCTCACACAGATCCAGTCATATAAGATATGCATGCAATGTGGTCAAGTACTTGGCCATATGGCTTTAAAACAAGATGTGGCGTGGTATACCATTTTTAATGAATTTTTAGTTTATCTTAAATGCTGTTCTTCTATGTCTTTCTCTCATTTCACCAAAAAAGTTTCCTCCAAGGCTCTAAGTGGCACCCCATAGAATGAGCATCCAATACTCAATTCAAATTTTAGGGGGAGTTAATGGAATTATATTGTATATTTTGTTGGACAGGATTGTCCATATCTTTAAGCATGTCTCTTTGTCCTAATGTAAGTTATAAGATAGGATTATCTTTATGGTTTCTCTTTGGCCCAACGTTCATGATTATTTCATGGGAGTTTCCATTTATGACATAAAAGACAAAGTTGACAAAACTTTATTCCTAGCATAATCAAGGTACATGTCATAAGAAATTCAATTTAAAAGGAATATGGTGATGAATTTTTCATTCTTGCAACTCAACTTATAAATATTACAGATAAACTAGCAATTTTTCCCTAAGGCTAGTTCATTCCTAATTTGTAATAAGTCGAAGTCATTATCTTTCAAATTTAAATATATGAAAATGTCCTTAATCTAACTGTTTTATTCTGCTAATTTAATCTCAGCATGTTACCTATTCATGGAAAAAAGTCAACGAAGTATATTCAACACTAAACATGCAAATAGGTTGTTTCTGAATTGATTGATGGGCTGTGAATTATGATAAATGCCACAGCCAGCATTTAAATAACAAGGAAATTAACTGCAACTGTAGCATCTAAAACAGAAGACAGACGAGGACAAAAGTTATATCTTTTAAGTAAGAATTAAGAACAAATTAAAGTTAAATCTGAATCAAATTCAGAGCAACATACTTTTCTCCATGTGAACGACAAAGTTGCAAGGAAAATGAATGAAAAGTGCTAATAGTAAGTTCTTTAGCCGTTGTCTTCCCAGCTATAGCTCCTATACGTTCTCTCATTTCAGAAGCAGCTGATGTTGTAAATGTCATAGCCAGAATGTTTGATGGACTGATGCCCTGCTCATAGTTAGCGGAAAATAGAAATTACAAACAATTGAGGAACAAAATTTATTGAGGTAATAACACTTGATACATAAAGGTAGAAAAAGATGGACAGGGATCAGAGATAAGTGAAAAACATATATCTCTAAGGAACGATTATTTTGCATCACCTCATTGAGGAGCATCAACACACGCCCTACCATTGTGGATGTCTGATATAAAAAATGAATATTCAGCTTCAATATGAAAATAAAAACTCAAATGGAAAAGAAAACGCTAACATCTAATATGGACCAAAAAGGGCCCTAAGTTAGAAGTAGACCTTTCCACTTCCTGGACCAGCTACAATCATTAAAGGGGTCGAAATATCAGTGCAAGCTGCTTCTCTTTGCCTGTCATTTAGGGAGTGCAAGTATTTCAAATAGTCTTCAGGCATGCTGCTATTGCTATTCAGTAAACCTTGCGTGTTTGTCCCCAGTTCCTCTTCTTTAGTAAGTAGCTCAACCCCAGAATTAAGCAGGTAATCATTTCCTAAACCCACAGAAATAATATTGCATCCTGAACTCAGACTAACCTCGCCAGCAATATTGCTCTCGCTCAAAAATTTCTCGTCACACCTATGATCTAACTGCTGCTCTGCTGCTTTCTCTGCAGATTTCTGCTCAACCAAAATGTCAATCTGCTCCAAAATAGAGTCATCAAAATCGTCATCAAGAAGGCCAGTCGCTGCAAAATAATCAACCTCTTTAGGTTTAGAGCCTTCAGGTTCTCTCCTTGGAGTTTCAGAAAGAGATTGACACAGATTCTCATTCGCGGAACCAATTGCAGAAACAGACACGGTCCTTTCATTGAAACTGCTGTGAATTGCCTCAGATGATGGACTATGGTAATTCCCAATCGCATTGAACCTGTTCAGTGGCACCTCCGCAAGAGGAACTCTCTTCGGAACAGAATCCAAACCAGCATCACAAGCATTCTTGATTCTACAAACAGCAACAGATTACGGAACTTCGAATAACGAAATTAATTCGCGCGCAGGCTTTTGAAAATGCATTGACATTTTTTTTTCTTGCATTCGACATTCAAAAGCTAGTTAAATGTAAATTTCATATTCGAGAAAATGGAAAATTGGGGAGGAGTGGAGAGAGAGGGTTACCGGTGGCGGTGAAGCGGAGAGGAATCAGAAGGTCTTTTTCGAGGGATAATGGGCTTTGAAGCACTGAAATAAGAGCTGATCCGGCCACTTTGTTGGTCTGTCATTTCTGTGGGAGGTCGATAACGTCAAACCCTGCTGCGGTTACTGCGAGAGTATGCTGCTGGTCTCATGAAGGAAGCCCCGCATGGCCATGGTTTCTTTCTCCCTATTTTGAATGGGTTTTCTTTGTTTTTCCCTCGCTTAAAAAAAATAAAAAACAAACAAACAAAACAATTTATTCACTTATTTATTTAAAATAAAAAATAGGAAATTGGATTGGGATTTTAAAATATTATTTCTACGTAAGAAAATCTTACATAGTTTAAAGTAATATGTTGGATGGTTATAAATTATATTTTCTTTTATTTGAATTTTCATAAATTTATATGATAAAATTTATGTTTAATTATGTTTTCACTCATTTAGAGTAACATTTTTCAGTCCCTCATAGGTTATTTTAATCCCTGAAATTTAGTCAATATGATTTTAATGTCTGCAAACAATTTAAAAAAAAACATATTTTAGTGATTCAAAATTACTATTAAAAACATGTTATTTTTCAATATTAAGAGACATTTTTTTTTAATTTGAATAATTAAAATCAGAAACATTGTAAATTTCAATTACTATAAACATAATTAAGCTTATAATTTAAATTTTTAAAAATATTTTTTAAATTTTATAATAAATTTATGAATCTTTGAAAGCTATTAAATTAGATTAAATGATACATTTAAAAAATAAAAGGTTGGTCAATTTTCTTTATATTTGAATAGTTAATATTTTTCTAATTTCATTCCCTTTTATATTAATCATTTGTAATAATATTTTTTTAATCAAATTATCAATAATAATAATAATAATAATTATTATTATTATTATTATTATTATTATATATATTCAATAACAAAATAATAGAAAGAATGCAATAAGTTAGGATTCAATTTAAGTAAATTATGAGTATAAGTGGTATAATAAAATAAAGTTTAAAGTTTTATTAAGTAAGCTACAAAAATTATAAATAAAACAGTTTAATCTTTCAAACTTTATTTTCACAAAACTATAAATAATAATTTGTCCACAACTCCCATTCATTTACCCTTTCTCTAAAATTCTCACTCTTTTTTTATCTTTTTCTAAATTCAACCACACCTTAGTGCTCTTAGAAGAAAAAAATATTTTTTACCTTATTAGAATTTCAAATAGAGTAAGTTTTTTTTTTCAATTTTATACTATTTTTGCATATTTAAATTTAGGTTATATGTGGGTCTTGGGGGCTTTCATGTGTAATTTGTTGTGAAAATATGAATTTTAACTAATTTAGAACATTGTGATATACTCAATTCTTTAATTGAGATTTTCTGTAAGTATGATCAAATTTTTTCTGCAAATTTAGTAGTTTTTGCGGTTTTCTGACTTTGACACACTCTTTTTGAGGTAAGAAAAGTTAGTTATTTATTAATTTTTAGAGGACGGAAGGTGGGTTGGTCACATTGATTAAGTTTCAAGAAATTAGATAATGTGATTGTGTATGTGTTGATTTGTAATGATTGTATTGAATGTTAATACTAATTGATTTTTATAAGATTGAAAATGATAGTCTTTTATAATGTATCATTCTTATATTGAATTTAGTAAATTTATTTACAATTTGAAGAATAGTGTTTAGATTTAATTTGATTTGAAACATTAGAAACATGATATATTGAGTGCAAATTATGTAATATGCTACTATCATGAATTCATCCAATAGATCTAAATTCACTCAAGCAATTTTAAGGTAGTGTTAAAAGCGCTTAAATTCTGCTCCACGTTTTTAAATTTGTATAGTGAATTTTAGTGAATATTAGAGGTTTAATTATGTCAAAATTTTGCTCAATATTTTTAAAATCGCTAAGTTGTTTTCGAAAAATCATAAAAAATAGTTTTATACTCTAAGTTAAATTTCATATATGCAAATTCAAGTCTTCAAAAGTAAGAAATCAAATAAAATAAGAATTAGTTAAAAATGGTGTTTACAGAAAAAACTATGAACAAGAGTATAAGGGTAAAATAAAAAAATTATATTTTGTTATAATATGAGAAATTATATGTATTTATCTTATTAAAATACATATTATGAACATAAAATAAGGTGTGTTTAATGTTGTTATGTGTTTTGAAAAAAATGTTCGTTGTGATATAAAAATTACCAAGAGGTATCTTCATGTGTGTAATATTGTATGTATAAATATTGATTTGAAACTCGATAAAATATTTTAATTATAATGATCATTAAAATTATATAGATAAAATTATCAGTACTAAGAGTCGAAGGAGGTTTCGAATGACCTCGTATGTTGAGTGAAAAAAAATTGATTTTAATAAATCATTTAAAAATTTACTCTAGTCACACATGAGTGTATATGTCAAATTAAACATCATTGTGTTATACACTTGAGGAGTTATGGTATAATGGGTACAAATCTCTGATATCTATCACAATATCTAGTGATCTGAAAGTTGTTTAGTGTATGAGTAATGTGAAGATGAGCATGTAATATATGGAAACTTAGTTAAATTATATTGTTTTATTTCATATTTAAATGTTACCTACTTAAATCCAATTACTAATTTATCCTAAACGTTTGGAAATTGCTTTAAATTATAATAATCGTATTTATATTAAAGAATATGTTACAATTAATTCTATTATATGTTAAAAATAATATAAATTTATATTTAGTTTACTTGATATTATATATATTCCTTTAGAAAAAACAAAATTATATTTAAATTACTCTACATATTTTAATTATATATATTATTATTATTATTATTTTGAAAATGTAACCACCGTCACAAAAAAATTATAAAATTTTACATGATTTTGAAATAAGAAATACAAAATATACAAAAAATTAATTTAAATAAATATATAAAATATTTAATTAAAAATAAAAAATAATTACAAAATATATAATTAAATAGAAAAATGTTAAAAATAAATATAAATTTATAAGAAATCTTTCATTATATAGAAATTTTCTTTAAACAATAATGAGATAGACTCGTGAATCATGATTAAAAAGATAAGTTAAAAAATTTAATCTATTTTAAGATATTTAACTATTTTATATATAAATAGTCTTAAATATTTTTTAAAATATATTTTAAGTCTAATTTATTAATTATATTTGTATTAAATAAACTAAACAAATATTATATTTATATTTAACAATATTATATTATTATAAATAGTTTAAGTTTATAGTTTAAATTTAAATATTATAACATATTTTAATAATAATATAATAATATATAATATTTTAAATTATGATATATTATTTTAATTTAATATATAAACATCTCTTGAAAAATGAATTAATTGGTTCTAGTCGAATTAAAGGATTAGATGCGACAAAACAAATTAAATTTATTACATCAGCCTGTCACTTCTTTTGTTCCTATTGTAAAATTTGTTTTTTTTTTTAATATTGAAAATTTTGGGCTTAAGTTATAAAAAATATTGATTAAATATTATTGAGATTTTTTATAAAATAATAATCCTAATTAAATACTAAATAATTTATGGAAATATACAAATTATAGTTTGTTTATTAATGGTCATTAATATTTATTTAAATATTAAGTTTTCTTTTAAATTTTTATTCTCGCGTATCAAAATCAAATTAAAAAAATTAAAAAACACTAAACTCACTACAACAACAAATCTAAAATTTTATTTTACCAATCAGATTAAAATTATTTTTGTATAAAAACTTGTTTTAATGGTTAATGATGATATTAATAAAAATGCAGAGAAAGATTATCTCTTTAACTTTACCTGAACAGAATATTAAAATTTTATGGATTTTCTAGATTATCTAACTATAATAGATAAACTATTTTATTGAAAACTATATACTGAGATTATTTATCTATTGTTATAATAAATTTCATATAAATATGTTAATAATAATACTATTTAATAATAATTTAATTTAAATAATATTTTTTGTTTAAACTTTTAAATTATAATTTAAATATTGCTTTGAATTATTAAATAAATTATATTATGCATTTATATAAAATTTTAATTATTAATATTTATATTTTATCAGTTTAATAATTATATTTAATATAAATACATATAAAATAATTTTGTAAGTTAATTTTTTTATTATTTGAAACAAATATTCATCAACTCGAATATAATTATCTATGAGAAAAATAATTATTAAAATATTTTTATAATAAAATATAAATAATTTATTATGTTTTAACCAATTACATTATTTTCTCATTTTTGTTGTTGTTAATTTGTAATTTTATTATAGTGTTATATAAAATAACAACCAAATAAAACAACATAACATTTGAAATAATTTAAAAAGGTATTTGTGTAATTGTAATGTTGTGTATTTTAATTTATAACATAAAATGAATTTTAAAACTGACTCTACGGAGTGACATTGCATTATCAATAAAATTATAGGAAAGTAAGTAACTAGATTATGATATTATTAAAAGTGAGCTAATAACTGAATCATTAACTCCTATTTAAATACATGAGTCATGTCCATGAGAAAAAAAGAAGAGTAAATTAAAAAGAAAAAAACCATTTAAAACATTTTTAACATCTTTTTATTAAAAGTGTTCATGAAATATACCAAAAATTTAATTAACATTATTTAAACGATATTTTATTTATTCATTTATTTATTTGTATTTAATTTAAATATTCGTATAATTAAAGATTAAAAAAATTTCAATATTTAATATTATGAATAATATATTTTTAAAAAATTAATCAAATAAATTAGTTGACAGACTACCGTTATTTTTTTTATTCATTCTTTTTTTATTATTATTTGTTTTTATTTTGGTCATTTCCTTATTGTTTTTGTCTTTCCGCTCGTATGGTTCTATCTTTTTTTTTTAACTTAAAAATACTATATTACAATTTAATAAAATTATGTTAAAATAACTTTTAATAAAAAAATACTATTAATGTAATAGTATTGATATTATAATAATCCAAATTAGTTAATAAATTTAAAATACATTTGTAGGTCATTTAGGTCTAGTAAAAAGAAAACATGAAGAAAGAAAGAAATGAAAAGTATAATTGGTCGTTTCATAAGAAAAAAGAAGAAGAAAATTGTTTATTTTAAAGATAATAAATAATAAATTAAAATTAAATATTTGTTAAATTATAAAATTATTTATATAATTATTAATTAATTTTTTATTAATATTTTTAAAATACTATATTTAAATTAATATATTATTTTTAACAATATATAGTTTGATATATAATTATATAATATTTTTATTATTAAATTAATTTATTCTAAAATATTTAAAATAAAATTAATAAAATAATATCATATTTTAAATAAATTAATTAAATTATTCATTTAATTTTTCTAATCACTTTCTTATGACATTTTATTAAAATAGTTATATATATAAGTTAATAATAATTATTTAAGTAAGAATAATTTTATAAAATAACATTTCTCTTACCATTTTTTTTTCTACTATATGAGTAGAAAGTAAACATTGGTGAAAAGTGTTTTTTTGTCACTTTTCTAGGTACCAAATGTAAGAACCTTGAAATTATGAAAGTCATAAGTTTTTTTTTCATATATATATATATATATATATATATATATATATATATATATATATATATATATATATCAAAAGTAAAATAAAGTATAACTTTATATTATTCTTAACTCCAAATTTATTCTAGTTGAGTTTTATCACATGTAACAATTGTTCCCTGTAAATATTATTATAAAAGTTCAAAGTAACATAAAAAACATATGCTAATAATTTAATTTAAATATGTAAAATTTAATATGAGACAAAACAAATATAATTTAACTTTAAGTTTTCGTATATCACGTTACATTTATGTAAATTTATATTCACGTCACACACCAAATGATAGTTGCAATATTAGATATTGAATTAGACATAAAAGATTTATACCTATCGTATCACAACTCTCAAAGTGCATAAGAGAAGGGTGTTCTTTGGCATATACACTCATGTGTAATCAGGATATTTAAAATGATTTATCAAGATACAATTTTTGTTTTTTTACATAATAGGCTAAGATATTATAAGCATATTTCAATTCTTACTACCTAATCCTTCTATCTATATGTTTTTTTTCAAATTCCAAATAAATATCTATACATATGACACTACCCATATAGGGATATCTATTAGCAATTCTCATATCATAACACAACATTTTTTAAGGTACATAGTATCTTTAACATATCTTATTTGATGGTCATAACATATATTTTAATATCATAAGGCATACCAATATCATTTCTCATATTGTAAATAATTATAATTTGTTTATTTAACTTTTGCATACTCTTTTAAGCATAACTTTTTTTATATTAATTTTTATTTTATTATATTCCTTATTTTTGGGGTTTTAATTTATATATATGGAACATTTAATTTAAAATTCAGAGTTATTTTTTATAATTTTTTGAAAACAACTAAGTGAATTTCAAATATATTGAGCAAAAATTTGCTAGAATGGAGTCTCTAACATTAAGCAAATTTGAAAACGTTTAAGGTAATTTAAGCATTTTTAACACTGTCTTAAATTCAATGGGTGAATCTAGATCCATTAGACAGATTCATGACAATAACACAGAGTGCATAATTTGTTCAATACATTATTTTCAATATTTCAAATCAAATTAAAGCTAAACATAATTTTTTAAATTATAAATCAATTCACTAAATTAATTTTAAGAATAATACATTTATATAAATAACTATCATTTTCATCATTAAAAAAATCAAATTTACATTCATATTCGATACAATAATCATAAATCAAGACATATATAATCGCACAATCAAAATTGTTAAAAATCAATTAATATGATAAAGTAACCTTCACAATCCAAATTTTCTAACCTAAATTACTATAAAAATTAAATAATAGCTAAGTTATCTTATCTCGGATACAATGGCTCTAAGTAAAAAACATACAAAATTCTTAAAATTTTAGAAAGATAAATCATGTTCACAAAAAAACTTCAATTAACAAACTAAATATATTAGAATACTCTTAAACTAGTTAAAATTAATCGTTTCTCAACAAAGTTTACATACAAGCTCCCGAAATTCATATGCAAACCTAAATAAAATGTGTAAAAATTAATTAAAATTGGAAAAATAATATTCTATTCAAAAATTTGATTGGATAAAGATGGTTTCTTATCTTCCAAGAACATAAAACATGCTTGAATCTGAGAAGGATAAGAGAGGAAGTGAGAAATTTAAAGAAAAAATAAAGAATTTTTTTTGAAGAGATATAATTTTGTAAGATAAAGTTTGAATGATTAAACTTTTTTATTTAAATTTCTTTATAGAATAACGAGTAAAACTTTAAACTTATTCTTATAATATCATTTTTAATTTTAACTCACTTAATATATACTCTCACATTAAATAAGATAAATACTTTCATTCTCTTCAATTACATGCATTAGTCATTTTCCACTCTATAATTCTACATCAAACTAACAAAATAAAATCATAAAAAAATTATCATTAGAAAATTAATCAATTTTAAAATATTAAAAAGAAAGAATGGTGTAAACCAAATAGTAGTCATAACCATATGCTCCCTCTTATATATGTATTAATTTATTTTTTCTTCATTATTTTTAAAAATTAAAAAGAAAATAATATAAAAGAAAAAAGAAATATTTTCTAAGTATTGTAGATTATACATAAAATTGGGAAAAACTATATATATATATATATATGTATATATATATATATATATGTATGTATGTATATTTCAGTAATTAAATTATTAAATGAAACAAGTAAAAATCTTGGGGAGAAGAAAGAAGATGAAGGGTGGATATTAAAGTTAGGTAAAAATAGTGGAAATCAGTGTCTGCTTTGTTCTGTGTCTTTATTGTCTGCATAAATTTGTTTTTGTAACTCGATTTCACCAATCATCGCTTTCCTTCTCGCGCCAAATACAAAAACCACCATCATTTCTCATTCTCCTCCTTCCTCTCTCACTCCCACACCGGTAATAATTTAACTTCGTTCTCTTAAACATCGTCCACCCATGTCACATCTCGGATCTCACCCACCCTTCACTTTCCATCACCAATCAATCCATTCCCTCTCCTTTCCCACACGCACTTGCATCCATGTCTATAAACAAACATCCATAAGAGACTCTGCATTTTTCGTTGTTGGTTTATGACGCTTTGTTTCTCTGTTGAATCGTTGCGTTTTGTAGGGTTTGTGAGATGTCGGATGCGCCAACGAGCCCGAGTCACGAGAGTGGGGGCGAGCAGAGCCCTCGCGGTTCGTCGTCTGGTGCCAGGGAGCAGGACCGCTACCTTCCTATTGCCAACATCAGCCGCATCATGAAGAAGGGTCTGCCTCCCAATGGCAAGATCGCTAAGGACGCCAAAGATACCATGCAAGAATGTGTTTCTGAGTTCATCAGCTTCATCACCAGCGAGTTAGTTAGCAACTATGCATAACAAAAGTTTAAATTCAGATTGTTTTGTTTTTATTTTTTATATAAAGTTGTATTTTTTATTTTATTTTGTTTTGTCTATTGGGGGTTTCTGAGAATGTTTGGTGGACTATATACATAAACATTTTAGCTCAGATGGGATATGTTCTCTTTTTCAATATAAAATTTGTTTTTTATTTTTTTTGGCTATTGGGGGTTTCTGAGGATTTTTAGCTACTGAAATCCGTGCAGGGCGAGTGAGAAATGCCAGAAAGAGAAAAGAAAGACCATTAATGGAGACGATTTGTTATGGGCAATGGCTACTTTAGGTTTTGAAGACTACATAGAGCCGCTTAAGGTGTACCTAGCAAGGTACAGAGAGGTAATTATTTGTTTCTTTTAATTCTGTCTTAATATAGTTTTTGAGGATTCTTACTTCTTATCCGTTTGGATTTGCAGTACGTTTTTTCTATTTTATTCATATGTATACAAAAATTCTGTCATTTTTTTAGCTGATACATATACGACACTGATATATATGTTAAAACTTGAGGAAACAATTGGACTCATCTGATTAAATCCATGCCTATTCCAAGTGTAGAATACACATACAAAAATGTGAATTATTCTTCTCAGTTTTCATTTCCCTTTTCATCTTGAGGTGTGGGTTGGTTTTCGGTTGGATGAGCCAGGTGCATGGGGAACCTAAAATCCATGATGTTCTCATCCATCCCTTTCATGAAGACGTTATAATTAACTGACTTTTTTCTTTTTCCTTTTTATTTGGTGGTGATTTTGGAATGTGCACAATGACACAGGCGGAGGTTAGTAACCCTCCTCTTGGGTTAATCTTGTTATTTACCGTGGATTATTTTTGCCTATGAAAATGTTAATGTTCGAGAACGCAAATTCTTATAGGGTGACACTAAAGGATCTACTAGAGGTGGGGATGGATCTGCTAGACCAGATCAAGTTGGCCATGCAGGTCAAAATTCTCAGGTGTGTTTGCATAACCTTTTTGGAGTTTTGTTTAGTTCAACATTATCATTCTTGTGATATTTTGTTTACGTAAATATGATTTGGTTCATTGTGTGTTGTTCGTTAAATGTTTATAGCAGCTTGTTCATCAGGGTTCACTGAACTATATTAGTTTGCAGGTATACTCTCTCTTTCTCAGTCTCTCTTGAATGCATGAATGCTCAATTTTTTTAGCAAACACGTGAAAAATCAATTGTGGAGAGAGGGCTGATATTCATAAGTAAAGTTCAGTGTCAGGAAATTTGATATTTTTGCACTGTTGCTTGTGCAATTGCTGTTCTAGCTTTGAAATGATCATTTCGATTAATTCTTTATTTTTTGTTAAACTTATGGTTTTGTATTTAGTTCTGATCAATATATTTGAAAGTGTTAGTTTCATTCCATGAATATTTGGTGTTTGTCTTAAGCATACAGATTAGGCGCTCCTTTCAAACAGATCCTTTAGAGGGAGCTTTTAACATGTCTAAATCGAGTTATAATTTTACTGGAAACTTGTTGCTTTAGAAAAACACATGCACTTTAAAGATTCATGGAGGAGACAGGTTTTACCTCTCAGGATATTTAATTGATTTTCAAATTGGTATTCTAACTGAGTTATCTACCTATTGAGAGGTCCATGCCAACAGCTTTGTGTTCATTGGTTTGATTTGTTCAGTTTAAGGTCCCTTTTCACCACTTGACAACCCCACAAATAAAAGCTTTTTTGAATGATTTTGCTGGATAACTTTTTTTGTCACTGGCGTTTGTTTCTTCCATTCTTGTTCCTGTTTGGATAAAGTTTTCTTAGACGGGACAAAGACTATTTCCAAATTTTATTTCATCAAAATTATGAACCTCTTCAATTATTAATGTTAAATTTAAAACCTCTTCAATTATGAACCTTATCCACTATTAATGTGAGAGATATATAATGTATTTGTTTTTCTCCTGGGCTTAAGTAGTTAAGCTGCCCTAACACTTGACCTAGGGATTTCAGAGTTCCATTTAATAATAGTTTTCTATTCTTGGCTACTTTGATTTATAAACTTACTTTTTAGGATTGATTGCCATTGAGCTGTTTTGTTCTCCCTCTCTTCTAATGTTCACGTTCTCTATCTTTTCCAAACTTCTCTCCTCTCTGTTAGTCATTGTTTCTCCTCATTGTACATGATAATGAAGTTCTAGGTTTTGGGGTTATCACATCGACTAGAGTTATGATCAAAATGATCAAATTATAGTATATTAATAGATATAATTGAGTTGATTAAAATCCACTTTCTAATACTAAGCACATGATTACCCTCTCGATCCTCAACAAAAATCCCCAGATCTGTTCACTAGTTAGTTATGGTCGGGTTGAATGATGACTGTCCTAATTCTTTAGACCTTTATATTAATAAAATATGGATGGGTTCATTGGAGTACGTGATAAAAGGTTATGATAACATGGTTCGTTTCTAAAGTTGTCTCATGTTCAAACATAGTGCCAAGACATATTTAGCCTTTCACCATTAAACACAAGGCATTGGTGATGTCTAGGATTATAGCTATCTTATATAAGCCAAAATATAATTCATAACGGCAAGAATAGATATCTCAATATTTTTTTTATTTCTTTTTGCATACTTCATCCTTGCAGTCCTCATATGTGACTTGTTTGTTGATTGTGGTGTTTTTAACATTTAAGATTGGTTGAACATAGGAATTAAAATACTTGTTTAAGTGCATGAGGTGTGATTTCTGTGCTTTAAATTGTTCACTAAGGACATTTGTTCTACCTACTTCTCTTTTAAGACTTATGACGTTTTTTTAATTTGTTGGAATTCGCAGGTGCAACCACAACATTTGGTTATACCTTCAATGCAAAGTCATGAATAGTGTGGGTGTTTCACGCATCAAATTTATTTTACTTTAATGCTTGTATGTATGATGAGTGAAAACAAAGTTTTAATGATTTAAAACTTAGGTTGTTGTGTAGAAGGCATGAGGGTCAGAATTTTGTTGCGGTACTAATGTAGATTTTTTATTAACACATGTTATATTTAGCTGCATGACCAACTCAAGGGAAAGATATGTATGGGGTTGTGCATGTGAATTGCCACGTAGCTTGTCATGGTCAGAAGCATCTGCTTTGAGAGCTTTCTTTAGATCATATAACATTTACAGACACTCCAGTTGTTAATTTTTTTTTTCTTTTTTAAGTTTAGGTCACATAGTTTCGATATCTCATTGATTTTCTCTTTAAAAAATGTTTACTGACCAAAATACAACAGTTCTTGAAAGGGTTGATGTTTATTCCTTATCATCTAGAAAACTCATAAAATGTAAAGTTTGAGTAATGATATACAACTTTTTTTTAATTAATTTTATACACCATTTGATATATTATTATGCATTAGTAATATTAGCTACTTGCAGAGGTAGAGTGATCTCATTGAGGGAGTTTCGGTTTCGTCTTAGGTTTTTAACGGCAAGATGAAGTTATAACATTTACCAAATTTCACTAAAAAAATGCTTTGACAAAAAAAAAACAGTTTAAATTATAACATTAGTTTAAAAATTAATAATTTAAATTTAAATTATTAATAAATTACTTACAGAAGTCCAATTTTTACAAGGTTCTCTATTCATGGATAACGTCATTACTATTATTGAAAATACATCTTTTTTAATTTACGATAATTCTAAAACGGATTAATTGATGAATTAATTTTTTTAATTAATCACAAATAGACCAATAAATTATTTTCTTACCACTATTTTCAAACTTACGCACCCAAACCATCCAAAATTGACACTCAGCGCTTGCACTTTAGTTAATAGAATTGTATGCAATACATTATTATTATTATTATTAAAAAAGTACCTGTTCCATAAGATTATTCAATTAAAAAAACTTTTTAATCATAAATTCTTTTGATTATACCACATATAACCTTATGCTACCTAGTTTGACTAATCAACTGCAATACCTCAAAACATGAAAACTATGCAAAGAAACTAAACTTAAATTCAGTCCTTCAGAGTTACACAAGTCATCATATTAGTTTTCTATCATTTTGGTCACTGTATTAATTCTTCAAAGCTTCTTATGTTATCTATCAAGACAATATTTTAATTTTCAATTTGAGACTGTCCAAATTTGAAGAATAAACACAATTTTATCATATATTTTGTTACCCTCGTAAGCATGTCTGCACATTAAAATATTAATTGGAAACTCAGCTTTCTTAAAATTTGAGTTGTATTTGCGAACCGAATTTGCAAACTCTTGCCAAGTTCACCAAAAACTTCCTTACCATATTAATCCCTTAATTATTTTGATGTATTAAATTAATCTCTTAAATATCTAAAATGAAGAACTAAGCTGGTAACAGCAAATCCTTAAAGGATCAATCTGGTAACATTAATTTGAAGGTTAGTTAAGAAATTTCAACGAAAACACACATAACTTCAGAAGAGCGACTCGGAAGGTTTAAGGAGTAATTAAATAATGCATCCTACAGCAAAAAATAATGGATTCCGGATGAAACAATACTTTGGCAACCATTTAGCAATAAATTGGTTTAGAAGTTTTATTCAGTATGCATATGCTGGCAACTTGTTTTCAGCACTCCCTACAATTGCAGATGTTATTTATTTTTCGTAGGCTCACTATATAAGCTTCCGTTGGAGGCGAGGAGAAAAATATACTGGTCTAACCTGCAAAATCACTTGGACAAACTCAGTCAGCAGAGTAAAAATGCACTGAAACATGTGCTTACCTAGTTAGTGTCTTTGCATATGAACTATTTATAGGACTAAAATGCGGCTAAGTCATCTTCTGGATGTGAGTGAACACGATGCAGAAACTTCCGATCGTAAAACAGTTCGTGGCAGGCATGGCACGAGGAAGCATCCTGAGGTTAAAATGAATAGCATGGCAAGCACCCGGTAGGCTTCTTAGCCCAACAAGGATTAGCGATAGTAACTAAATATTTCTTAGGACAAAATAATATTATGTAAACAATTATTCTGAATCTCACAAGATTTTATAGTGTCTGACAAATTCACCGTAATGTATCTCTCACGGACTGTTCTTGACAGACTCTATAGTTGGTGCTCAAAGCAATCACATTCGAAGTAAATGTCTAAATTGAGCCAAATCAAACAAAGATGCACAGTACACAATACATAGTAAAAATCCTAGGAAAACCAAAGTTTAAGTATTTTCAACTATCTATGGTCTACAGTTACATTTAAATTAGAAGGTCCCAAACTAGCTAACCCGAGGCAGAAATGAAACCAAATTCCTGTCTCAACCGCAGAAACAGGACTGTTTACTGATCAACATTTTTAAATCAATATACAATTGAATGTCAAAATGGATCTATCTAATGTTTTTGATGCTACTGCACACAGACTGAAAGCTTTCATTCTGTAATGACACAAATATATCTAAGTAAATAGAGCAAACAAAGGATGCATTGGTATCACGATAGCTAAAATCACATATAAAATTTGTCCAAGTAATACCCTTGTTTTCTTCCATATTTTTTCTTCAGCAGTCTCAAGATTGTTGCTGCAAAAGTGCGAATTCTTTTCCTTTAGGCTTGAAAAGGCAGGATTGAAAACCAAATGTTTAATAACATCCTCTCCTTATCTTCCCTGTTCTATAGTGTTGGTCAGCAGGCTTTCTTAAAAACATTCTTGTTGTACTAAAATATGTATGACCTAGTAAGGCAATAGTTCAATTAGTCCCAAATCAAAACTAGAAGGAATACAAGTAAAGATGATTTCATCTTTAAGCTAAGCTCTACTGATGTTACTGCATCGTCCATCAGGATAGTGAGCAGTTACTATCACATCCATTACAATACATGCGTGCACCTATCAAAATAATCAATTACCAAAGATTGCACGTGCAATAGCAAAAAGTTACTTACAAAACAATTAGACTGTATTAAGTTCAGAAATGGAGATATCAGGATGCATATCCTGGTCCAGTGTTGTGGCAAAAGACGAAGCTTTGAGTAATGTACTTGGAGTACGGTTAAGCTTGTAATTTACGAGAACTGATCCAAATATGTTGAATTTTTCAGCACCATTGAAAGCAATCTCTGCATCGGAAAACTTCTTAAAAACCACCCTAGCCCGGCTGCTCCCTGTATCAATTTCTGTCTCAGATTCATTTAGAGGTCCAAATCGCCTAAAAATCTTATTCAGTCTCAATTCTGAGGGAACAGAATCCAGCTCAGCAAAATTCAAAATAAGTTCAGCTGGGGAATTCTCATCTACACAACCAGAAGGCTTTTCAGGAATCGCAAGATGATTGTTGTCAGAAAATTGTTTCCTGGAATAGGACCTGCGGGTGTAAACTATAATAGGTTTTTCTGGCTCAGCAGGGGCATGTTGATAGTCTCTTCTGCTGCTTTTCTGTGACTGCTGTTTTTCAGAATCAATCTGGATATCCATGTCAGTCCTTTCCCGTGATCCACCCACAGGTTGTTTCTTCCTTTTAGCACCAACTTTCTCAGTAGGCGAAATTTCTTTTCCATAATCATTGGCCACAATTGTTGAATTCTTAAAATCAGAGAAGAAGCTCACTATAACATTTAAGGAACTATAATCTCCCAGGGGTTCATGTGCTACCCACTGAAGCAAATGAAGCAAATCATCTAGAGATGAATATTCCGCTGGAACAATCAAGCTTGACTTCTGAGTATTCTCAGGATTAGAGGAGAAGACATCAGATCCTTTCCTTGAAAAACCTTTAGCACTTCCATCTTCCATTTGGGACCCGTCTCCAGAACACTTCAACATAGAGGGTGGTCCAGTAAGTTGATTAGCAACCCTTAGAATACGTTCACCAATTCTAAATGATTGCTTTGTTGTATTAGAAACTTTGGCAAGGGAAATTGTTTTTCTCCTATCTTTCATCCCCGAGACACCGGCACAATACTCAATAGTCTTCCTTTTCTTGGAAGAGTCAGGATAAATCAGATTATTAGTGGCATCACCCGACTGATAATCAGCATGTGTAGAATCTGAAGTCCCACCTGCTGATTCAGACAAGCTTCTTTTCTTCTTTTCTCGGTATATTTCATCTTTCAAATTATGCTTGCGTTTGTGACAAGAGCTATTTGTTGTCTTGATTTTTCCTGCACCAGTTTGACCATATTTTTTACTCGAATGACTTGCATGGTTATTAACGTCACTCAAACTTTTATCAGCATCCTTAATTAGGGCATTGGTGTCATTATCCAAACCTCCACAATATTGTAACTCAGGCAAGCAAGAGTAACCCTTTAAACGATGGAAAGCAAGCAACTGAGCCTTAGCAATTAAGAGTTCCAATCGATCAAAGCCACGGGTTGGAAACTCGGACAAAGTTTTCAAGTATTCCAAAAAGTTCTCAGGTGAAAAGGAGTCAACATTTAAAGATTCATCCACTCTGCGTATGAAACTTAGTTCTGGTAGAATGCCAGTATTTTCAACAGTCTGGAGTTTAATCTTGTCATGAGTATCTTCAGGTATGCAGGAACATGCCAACCCAAATTCTGCACGTCTCGAGGCTTCATCCAAAGCACAATCTACAGAATTCTGAAATGCATCTGAATTGCACTGCTTTACAATATTAGAGAAATGAGTCCTAAAGGGCTTAAGTTGAGATAAATCATTCCAGGCAAATGTTCTATCGCCAAAATATGCAACCAAATAACGGCCCTTCTTTAAATGCTTCTGTGCCTCCACAGATGAATCGGAGGGATCAAATATCTGCCCCGGCCACCATGGATGACTTCTCACCTTGCCCCACACCAAATCATACGAAGAAAACTGACGTACCTTTTCTGTTGGAAGCTGATAACTTGCCTGAAAAATGACTCCTGAACTCTTCTTATTTGACACACGCTTTGTGACTTTTCCCCCTATTGTTTTACACTGTTCAGAATCATCAAAATTTTCATCTTCAATTTCCCGCTCTCTACGTGAATCAACCAGCTCATAAATGCCAGCATTCTCTCTAACGCTTTGCCTTTCGTCTGACTCAACCATAACATCACTAATTGCTTCTTTCTCCACTGATTTATTTATCTCCCTGTCATCAATGTTCGTCTGCTCATCCAATGCTTTCAAGGTGGCATCATTTCCACTTAATTCGGCAATCTCATCCTCTCTCTTCCCTTCTAAGAACCTCACAACTTGAGAAGCCTCATTAAGAGCCGCACCAGCTTCTCCACCAGTAGGATTCTCACCCTCACCCTCCTCTTTTGATCCATCAAAATCCACATCATCATTCAGCTCAGCATCAACCTTAGGAGTGCAAACATCATCTTCTATGCATAAATCAGAACCCACCTTTAGATCCTTCTCATCCCCAACTAATGATCCCTCCTTTTCTACAGGCTCCTCTAGGGTTTCTATTTCACCAGCCATCCTCACAATACGGGTCAACGAGGACTCTGAAATTCTACAAGCAGAGACTTTTAACACGTGTGGTCTTTCCATGAAAAAGCTAGACAAACACTGAAAACATGTTAGGAAGTGAAAAAATAAAAATCTCTCCTCAACCAAAAAATTTGGCATAAAGCAAGAAACCCATATGGGAAAATAGTATAAAACTGCCTAAGCTCACACAGGTAGTGAATAAAGATTAAAACTTAGATGGTCGTCAATGAAGTGAACAACAAAAAGTCCAAACAGGAAAGGAAGAATAACAAAACAGGAAAGTTGAATACCAGGTTAGATCTTTGGGAAGTTAAAGCTTGCTCGAGTTTTGGTTTTGGTTTTAATTTGGTAGCCACTAGTTTTTGGAAACTTGGAGAAATATAAAATAATGACTGCGTTGAAGGACAGGGCAGGTGTCTTATTGCAGCCTCATCAAAACTATGAGTTAAGAAGGTTTTTTTAACTAAAAAGGGGTAATTTTTTAAATTTAAATTTTAAAAAATTACCAATTTAATATCACCATTTTAGTATTTTAATTTTTAAAACAGAAATTATATTAAATAATACGTCTTATATATATATATATATATATATATTTATTTATTTATATTTATTTATTTATTTATAAAAATCATATCATACAATACGATTTTTAGTTTTTATATTATAATAATTATTTTATCATTTTTATTGATATTATATTATTATTATTAATATGATGATAATAATAATATTAATAAAAAATTATAATTATTATTTAGTATTAATAATAATAAAATAATATTAATAATCAATATTTATTAGTAAATTTATATTAATATTAAAATTAATAATTATTATTAATATATAAATAATAATAAATTTAATTATTTTTATTTATAATAAGAATATATTATTATTATTACTACTTCACTAAAATATTATTATTAAAAATATTATTTGATAATATTAATAAATTTAATTATTATTTTTATATTACTAATTATTATTAAAAAATATTATTATTAAATTAAAAATTATTGTATTATATTAAATAAAATAAATAAATAAAATTATTTATAATAATAGTAATAATATAAACTTAATAAAATAATAATATTAATAATGAATAATTATTAATAAATTCATATTATTATTTATATAAAAATTAGAAATCATATTGTAATACTATTTTTATATAAATATATAAGTAGTATGACTTTAAAAAAAAAATTGAAACATTAAAATTATGTTATAAAACACAATTTTTTTATATTAAAGTCAAGATTTACTTAAATTTGTAATTTTTTAAAAATTTATTTATTTTAGTAAATTAAAAAATATACTTTTTTTTTAACATAAAAAGGAACAATTAATAACGTGCTTCTAAGTGTTTTGTTACTTTTAGAATGAAACAGATAACTAGGAAGTAGAATAGAGCTACAAGATAAGAAAGTGAAAAATAAAATGGATGAAAAATGACTATAAAAATAAACAAATAAATTATATAATAATTAAATGTTATGTTTAAATGTAATATTTTTAACCCAAAACATTATTTAAAACAATATTTATTTAAATTTAGAAAGAATAATAAGTTTTATTATTTTTTTATTTCAATTTATAAAAAGAACGTTTATTTGGAGTTTTTATACAAATAATACCTTTTTCATATTTATTATTCTTCAAAATATTAAAGAAAATTTTGGATATAAATGGTGTCCGGTTCTAAATACTTGTATCACATTATTAAAAAAAATTGTTTAACTTATTTAAAAATGAAAACAAATTAAAATATGGTAATAAAATTATGAATAAAAAATAAAACATATAAATACAAATAACTCCTAAGTATTTTTATCTAATTATTCTACTTTTGACCTACATTTCATCAAACACAAACATATATAACACCAGTTAACTAATTTAATATGTAAAAATAAAATTATTTATTATATCAACTTAATTACTTAACCTATTAATTTATTTATGTGAATTGAAAATAAATAAAAATTGGTGATATCTAGAATAAAGACATATAATAATATCATCACATCTACTTATACAAGTGAGAAGGTGACGGTCAAGAATAATTAATAAAAAATTATATACCAGAAAAAAGAGAGTTAAATAAATATATTTAATTTTCTCATGTTGTTATATATCTTTCTATACGATTATATTATATACTAATAGTGCTAATAACAGTACAATATTTAATTTAGAATGTTTTGTGTAATATTTTAAAAATATATTTTATATGTAATAAATTATATACAATTTCAAAAAATACTTTTAAAAGAAAGAAGATATGTTTATATATTTTTTCTATAAATAAAAAAATAAAAACTTTTTTTGTAAAGTTATAAATTATTTTCTTAAGCTATTTTGTAAAAAAAATAATATGCTGTAGAGGGTTGAGGGATATATAATAATTTTAATTTTTTTTAATAAATTCTCTTAACAAAACAATTTCTGTCATGCTTATATCATCAAATATGCCCAACCATCAAATATGTCCAACTAAACAACTTTGAACATTTAAAAATTATGATAGTGTTCAGATCATGAAATATGCCCAATTAAATCACACATAAAAGTATGATAATGTTGGGACAATAAGCTATTCGATTATTTAAATCAATAGTCATACAAGAGCATCATCTCATGTTAAACCATACTTACTGCATTTTAGTCTTCCTAGAATAGATCGCAATTAAAATAAACTATGGCGATTTTTTACACAAATCACTATCTAACTTATTATACAAAACTTTGCTATGTTCTGCAAATACAACACTGCAATTATCTCTCATGTGGTAGAGAAATCTCTACATTCAATTAAAGCTATTGTAACCAAGACAATATGTTTCTTTTCCTTAACTACTACCTTCTTTCTCTGTCTTTGTCAATATATTTCAGTACCCTCCAAATTTTATGAACGTACATCAACATCAACATCTATTTAATAAATAGAAAAGATCAATACATATTTATAAAGGATGAGAGCAAAAAATTAAAAACTTATATATATATATATATATATATATATAATAATAATAATAAAAAAATAAAAGCAAAACTATAAAAAAAAACATTTATGACTATTACTATTAATATGAATATTAATATATGGGTTAAAATCAATCTTGAACAAAGAACAGTTCCTCAACATGGAAAGTCAACGGCAATGAGATGGTTCACGACAAAAAAAAAAAAAGAAAAATAATAATAAACCAAAGTCGAATAACCAACTAGAGCATTTATCCACTGAATTATTAAATTTTCAAACCAGTTTTTTAAGCCAGCCATATGCACTCTGTTTTCAATGAAAAGAGACACACAAAAGGGAAAATAACGAAAATAAGAGACAGTAGATAGGTAAATATGTCAAAAAATATAAATGGATATATATGTATTAAAAAAAATGTCAAAAATTCATGAAATATAATAAATATAAAACTACAATCAACCAAATCCAATTTTTAAATCACATTGAAAATAAAAAATATAAATAATTATTATTATAAAATATTTTCTTTTATTTACATATAGAAATAAATTATCATTTTCATTCATTTCTTACAATATTTTACAATAATTGATTTTTGAAAAAAATAATATTTATGTTTGTATTTTATACATAGATAAATATTTTTTAAACTTTTACGGGATATAAATGATTTAAAAGTTGACATTTAAGTGGAGTGAAGTGAAAATTCTCACCATGACATTTACAAGAAAGGTCATAAGAAATTTTAATATATAATCAATTAGTGTATAAATTAAAAAATAAAAAATTTAAAAGTTATAGGAAGATTTTCTTTAAAATATGATATGCTTAAATTAATATTAACTTTTAGATAATTTCATATTTTTTTTTATAATTTATGCATAATTTTGTCAAAATACACCCATGGATGATTTCATTATGATTTTATAAAAAAATAGTAACTCATTTTTTTTAGTTTTGAATTTAAATTAAAGTTACGTATGATGGTAGGTGGATTCGGATAGTATTAGTATTTGGTTAAAGCAGTAATTATTGTTCCTCTTGTTATTTACCATTATTATTTAAAGTGTAATATCAATAATTTGCAATGAACATGTTTATTGTATTTAAAATTTAGTAAATATGCTACAATGTTTAAAAAAGAAGTTTAATTAATTTTAGAGAAAATAATATTTTTATTTTTTTATTGATTCTTAATGAGACTTTTAATATATTAAATTCTAATTAATGAGACTTTTAATATATTAAATTCTAACCAAAATCTACAGTATTTAATTCATTATTAAGGAGTGGTTATTTGATATGGATTTATGAGTATAATACATGGCTTATACATAAAAGCATGATGATTAATTAGCTTCCCGCCAGGAGAGACTAATAAACTTATTTGACTCTTACAAATGACTGGCTTCGATGTTTTGATAGAAGATAAGACAATATTAACTGGAAGGACAAATATCTAGCGAATTAGATATCATAACGAACACGTCTTCAATGGCCTCCATCATCCAAATCTCACCATGTCAACTCTTCTCACTGTCACTGCATTTCCCATTTTCACCCTCACTCTCACCAAAACTCTAATTTCTCTTCCCAAGTCCTATTCCCTCTCCTTTAAATTCAAGTCCCTTGTCTCCCATTGCTCCCTCTCCGACCGCGAGGAGCAGCGCTGGCTCCGTGAAGAACAGCGATGGCTCCGCGACGAACAGCGCTGGCTCCGCGAGGAGCAGCGCTGGGCTCGCGAACGCGATCAGCTCCTCCGCGAGATCTCCGACCTCAAGCTCCAAATCCAGGCGCTGGAGCTTCGCCTCTCCACGCGCGTATTGTCCTCTCCGGCTTCCGTCTCCGACGCCGTCGCGAACGTCACGTTGCTCTTGCAGGTGCTGAAGGACAAGAATCTGGTTCTCGAGAGCGGTTCGAGTGTGCGGAACATGGAGGATGTTAGAACACAAACTGAACACACTCACAAAAATAGAGAAGAAAAGGAAAAGAGAACAAGAGATATTGGTACTGAATCTGAATTTTTATTTCTCGCACACATGTATCACAATGCTTTATGATACTATTACTATTTATAGCACTATTACGAGCTGTTAGTACCTGACTAACATACAACACCAACTGAATTATCTACAACAGAGGAGAAAGGATTCGATGAAGTCGTGGAAAGTGAGAAGGAGGTTGTGGTGGTTGAGGAGTCTGTTAGGGTTGAACAGAGGAGCACATTGCGGAAAGGTTCCGAAGGAGAAGAGGTTCGACAGATGCAGGTTGATCTTCCCCTTTTCTACTCTTGATAATTTTCTTTTTTACGTTTCTAAATAATATATAGGTTCCGTTTGCATAAATTTTCCTAAGTAAATACGACAGAAAAAATTAATTCAACATATCTTATAGTTAAAATAAACTTTTGTACTCAATTGCATAAGTTGATTTTAACTTGTAAGCTAAGCTTAGAATACATAAACTAATTTTCATCTTACAATTGAAATTTAATTGATTTTAATTTCTTACTTACTTCCACAATTGATCACGGAGAAGTTTATCCAAGCATAATTTTAGTTATCGACTTGTATGAGAGTTCATTTGTTGGTGCAATGTGAAATCTCACTTGCTGCATTGAAAATTGAAATAATAGGAAGCATTGCAGAAATTGGGGTTTTACTCGGGCGAGGAAGACATGGATTACTCAAGCTTCTCAAGTGGAACAGAACGTGCAGTGAAGACTTGGCAAGTTAGTGTTGTTCTGCATTATACATGATTTATGAAGCTTTTGATGCAAAGAGAGGAACATTTGTCTTGGATTAATTTTTTATATAAACTGAAAATTTTTGTACTGGATATATAGTGTTCTCCATATGATATCGTGCTATGCCTGTACATTTTTGTTTTGTAATTTTGATGGTTGTGATGTTTGTTTAAAAGGCTGCATTAGGTGCCCCTGAGGATGGTATTATGACAGCTGAACTTCTTGGAAGGCTATATTTAGAGATAAGTAAAAAGGACATGACTCAAGACACACAATCTACTACTGTTTTACCAAAGGTATGCTACTTATATCAGATGTACTTCTTGCACCTTCTTTATTGCAGAGCCTGATAATCTGCCCCTATGTTTGAGACTTTATCACAAACGAACGTCTTGTCCAAAATCAGTAGTATATCTAGTCCCATAAATTATGCATGTTCCAACTAAAATTCGTATCAAAATCAACAAAAAACGTTAAGTTACTCTTAGTAGCTTCACCTTGACTCATGTCTTCTCCACAGAACTGTAAATCCAAACACACAGTTAATCCTATGTGCTTTGGCATGAATCAGGTGCCTCCTTGGACTAGACAGGATAGTTTGTGTAATGAAATCTGAATATTTATATTTCTTTCAATTTTATTGAATTATAATTTTTAATCTTTTTCTTCTCTTTCAATTTTCTGCATTATTTTATTATGTTCTTACAGAAATTTTGGTTTTTGATAGCGTGCATTGGTGTATTCTCGACAATTAGCAAGGACTACCTCTCCCAAAATTTTAACCTTTTGGATGGAGGCCTAGGAATTATTTTACTTCTATCTTATCATTAAGACAACAGAGACAGAATATTATTGTTAAATAATTGAATTTTCATCTTAATCGGTTTGTGAATTATAGGACGGTGAAAATGGAGCTGCAGTTGCTTCTGTGACAGATATTTCAGAGACTCAGCAAAATGTTGTGAAAAGTGACAAGGGAACAGAATTTTCCCATCGAGGAGTTTTTCTTCTTGGAGAGAATCGGTGGGAAGAACCATCAAGACTTGTCACAAGTGATGGAGTTGATAGGAGCAAAAACAAGAATGCAACGACAAAATGCCTTCAATGTCGTGGGGAAGGTCGCTTGTTGTGTACAGGTACGTAATTTATCCCTTGTATTTCAATTAAACTATCATTATCCTGTAGTAGGTTCATTGATCATTGTTTTGGAAGACAAACCTCACTGTAAACTCACTTTTAATTTTGTACAAGCTCCAAGAAACAAGACATGTATATGTATTTTCCAGAAAATAATTTCCCAAATCCTTATGTTATACAAATATCCATTGTCTCATGTCCATTTCCTTCTATATTTCCTGTTTGGAGGAATTTATGACTTAGGGTAGCATTGTCATGCATATTTTGCTGCTAAAATTATTCACGTTATTAGGAGGATCACTGAATAAAAATGAAACCATCACAGATGTCATTTTGAAGGATAATAAGTGCCCTATCATTATAGCATCATCCATCTCCTCAATGATTGGTTCCTTTGAGGCCTTACATTCTGTTGTTTCCTAGGCGGTTTTTGTTTAGATCGGATTCCTCCAACAGAATTTCTTCATAGACATTCTATACATTGTCTAGCCACTATTTAGGTTTTGGTGAAGCCTGTTCATTTTCTCTATATATTCAACTTGTTGAGAAGGCTTTTACCAAATCCCTATTCGTGCGAGTTACTTGAACACAGCCTACTGGGCACTTTGACTATTAAAAACTGTCTCTACGCTACATGAGATTCAATTTGGAAAATCAACCATAGTTTCTACAGCCTTAGACTTAGAACTAACATGGTCATTGCTATCATTGAATTTAGGAATTATTATTATGATAGCAGTAATCATGATAGCAGGCATGGCCCAATAACCCCAGTGGAGCGGTCAGAGTTGGAGTGGTTTAATCTGTCATTCACGTCTCTTGTAACGACCATTCTAAGGGCAACCGTAATATTAATCTCTGACAGATTGATGTTGACTATATGATACCGCTTACCTAAATGCATTATTTATGATCAACGGTGGAAATCTCCCGTCAACTTCTATTTCTTTAATTGCAGAATGTGATGGATCTGGTGAGCCAAATATTGAACCTCAAGTAAGAAATACACAAGCATTTTAAGAAAATTTACTTTTATGGTTATTTACCGTTGTTGCACAAGCTCTGGATCTTATCAATGAATTCTTTAATGCAGTTTTTGGAATGGGTGGATCAGGGTACAAAATGCCCATATTGTGAAGGTCTAGGGTATACTGTATGTGATTTATGTGGAGGAAAAACTATGGTATAGAGGAACCACACATTTTTCTTCATCGTTACACAGGTATATAGTCATCAATTTCCAATGCATCACAAAATTTTGCATATGTATCTTGTTTAGTTGTTATTTTTTGTTCCTGATTGAACTAATAAAGATACTAAGTCAACAACAATTTTTATAGTGAACGTTTGTGCAACTACAAAAACAGAACTGAGAAATTCAGGGCTTTGGAGCTTTCAGTGTTGTGTGAATTCTATAGAAAACCCCGCAACATACAACATAGATTGAACGGAGTGATACCCAAGAACAAAGAATTTTAGAACCGAATAAATCTGTTTGTATTGATCACGAATGATACAACTGAGGGTATTTAAAGACACAATTCTGTTTTTTCTATTAACTGTCAATTATTATCCTCAACCGTCATAACAGAAAACAAACTTCTGACTAATTAGAAGTGATTACACCAATCGTTTCAACTAACTTTTTAGTTATAAAAGTTTAAGTTTACTCAACACGGAGGAGACACTTTTGAACCTTCAAAATGAATGAGGTCATATATGATTCTGAGTATATTCAGAGATTCATTTTCCCCTTGTCCGAGTTACGTCCATTTCAAATTTTATTTGTTAAATCAGAAAAATACGTAAAGCTGTGATAATTTGGAGATGCTTCATAGGTAGACTGTCATTTTTTAATACTCTTATAGATCGTAAGCCAAAAAAATATTCGTGGCTGACGACAATGAGAAATCGAGAACTGCACGAAGGCTCTTGTAGCAACGGTTGCTCTAGTATAAGCGATTTGAGATTAAATAGCTATAGATGGTCAGTGAATAAAATTATCGGAGTTAAAAAATGGTTAGCAGAATGTTGTTAACAGTGTACTTATTGTCTAAGTGTCGAATTAATTATTTTTTACTCATGCAGGACAGGCACGCTCTTTGAATACATAAATTCAATTATCAGAAATTAAAATGTAATTTTCTTAGTTGAAAAATTAAAAAATTATTTATCCTAAAATTTAGGATTTAAAATACATAATAAAAAAAGGTAAGCAGTTCCTAGTTTCATATCTTAATAAATGCATGTCTGATTGCACATAAATTCAATTATAAGAAATTCAATTATCAGAAATTGAAAATCGAATAGTAGTCAGTCCTGAGTTAGACATCGAACTGAGAGAAGAATAAGGCATGCAATATTAGCACAATGATATTATTTCAATTGTCAAATAATTGTACAAGTATCGGATTTTTATTTATAACATTTAAAAATTGGTATTGGGTTAGTCACACCTTAAATGCTCCTTACCACAGCAATTGTGCGCATAAGATCCGGCACCATATATTTATCCTCCTAGATCAAAACATTGCCAGCTATGTCATATATTTTAATAATTGGAGAAACATTTTAGAAATTGGAAGGTGGTAAATTATATCTTGAGTGCTCAAATAAATGAGAATGTACAGTTCAATAGCTACAGTGAAGGGTGACTAATACTGCTTAAACTAACGGGCTATATAAATTACACGTTACAATAGGGCTATGCTTATTTCTAAATCGTTATCCTTAGGCCTTGACCACAATTATTACATCTTCTCTAGGTGAGGGTTGGGTCAGGAATAATGTGAAAAGGTTACCTATACAAAAATTTTATGTTCTTACACGTCGATCAGCAAGCAGAGTGAAACACAGAATTGCTAAAACATGTTGCTTTTGTTACTATCTTTCTCACATCTGTTTCATTACGAGAGAATCCTCCAATAACAGGAGATAAGTGGATTCTGTCCATGATATTGATTTTAGGGGCCTCAAGAATTGCCTTGGGCCGATTATTGCATATTGCATACCCCAAATGGCCAGGGGCCTCATGTACATGAGCGACCTGTAGTGTCCATCCATTGTCCATGCCTCTGGAGTCTGAAACCAATACCTGAAATGGGGATAAAGGTGATGAATGAACCGAATGAATGGATGAATTTTCTAATGGATAAACAATTTATGCATACAATTTAGATTTGTCACATTTAAACCACTGAACAACTTACGGAATACGTGATTTTCATCAAGAATTAAATAATTATCATATAATAATTGAAAATCTCTAGTGTGTGAAGTGCATACTAATTTGTAAGTTAATTTTAACATATGGATGCAACGAGCGAGCACAATATGCACGAAGCACACTTACAAGTTGATTGTACATTTTGTGATAAAAATACATAATTATTTATTTTTATTTACCCATCAGAAAATTCTATCCCTACTTCAGGTGTGAAAAAACAATTATGGATGGCAGGACAAAAGATGTTTTACCCGTGTCCATCCTCGGACCAGCCTGCTAGAAATATCCCCTCGGCAGTGATGAAGGCCTCTTCTTCCATTCCAGCAAGCAACACCATAGGTCACCCCTGTCCATACTTCTCGAGACTGCATACAGGTCTCATCGACCTTACCGTTGGGATGCATGCCATTTACAGAACCCATTCTACCTCCTTTAACTTTCATTACATTGAAATCGTAAACCTTCCGGAGAGCACTTTTGATTTTGGAATCCTCAAAAAGGGAGGGAAGTCCTGAGGATGCAGTATACCATTGCCCAGCCAATTGATCTGCTTGAATGGATTTACTGTTACCACTTGATCCACTGTCATAGTTAAAATACGAATCATTTCACAGTTTTTCTTCAAATTCTGGCTTAGCCTTCAAAAACTTCCTTTTGCATATTTCCGCAAAATCTCTATCACCCAATTCAATGGCCATTGCTGCTGCAGCTTGTAGAGCCGCAAGCCAGACAGCCACAATAGGTTCTCACACAATGGACTGTCCATGTATCATATGTTTGATCAGGGAACCCATCGTTCTCAATAAGACCATCGCCATCTCTATCAAATTGGTCCATGTACTCCATTGCAGCCCGAACAGCAGGCCACACATCAATTCTAAATTGCAAATCACTTGTTGCAGCAAAATCTCGATACACCTGAAGAACAAACTTCGGATTCAAGTCCTTCCACTTGCTAGTATCATGGGATGTTATAGGCATTCATTTCATACCACGGATCATATGTCCCCAGATCATGTGGCGCTGCCCCGTAAACCTTGCGAATTCCCCAGTTTCCCTCTGCCAGAAACTTTACTTTTCTTCCATCTTCACACAAGACCGCTCTAGCAAAGTCACGCTGTATATTTAATTCAATCCTAGGAAAGAGTTCAAGAAGGGCAAATGAAGCATAGAAGTGCACATCATATGTGCACCACATGATATATTCCACTCCTTCTAAGTACAAGAACCTCCAATATCATCATCATCATCATCATCTCTACATAGTTCTTCATCCACACAATTATGTCCTGTAATAGCAGTAGATTCGTATGTACACTCTGTTGTACGCTACACAACTGTCCTTTTTCTGCCATTCATTTTGTATTCAGTTTTTTTGACAACTACATTTTCCAACTCCCTCACTTGATCTTGGTCATTCTGCATACTCTAAGATAGCGAAGGAGAGTCTGGCCGAAAGATTAAGCAGTCTTAATGATTTCATTAAGAAGAAACTGATAAAAAGGCGAACTATGAAAAATCCAAACGTTCATTTAAAACCAAAAGGTATCAAAAAGTTAAAAATGGAACAAGGAAATTTTTTTAGTGGTAAACAGCCCAAAAGAAATTTTACTGAGCCCTTGGAAGAAAAAAAGAAAAATATAAAAGCTTAAAAAAATTGAAAATTTAATCTAGAGATTTGGACTACTTAAGAAATTAAGATGTTTTAAGGATGAAGAATTTGATTATGGATAAAGATATTCAATATAGTAAGCTTTATGAGTACAGTGGACAATACTATTAAAACAAAACAATGATCTATATATAGGGAAAGATCTCAAGCAGAAAGTTAGGACTAGCTTTTAATTGTTCGTTTCTTTCTGAAATCGATCAAAGAACACCAGAAAATATGATATCACCACAACATCAAATTGTGATCCTAAACAACAACTCCTTACATAGGAATTCAAATACTTGTTTAAGTGTATGAAGTGTGTGATTCTTTGCTTTAAATTGTTCACTAAACGTCTGTTCTACCTACTTTTCTTTTAAGACTTGTGACATTTTCTTAATCTGTTGGAATTTGCAGTGCAGCCACAACATCTGGTTATAGCTTCAATGCAGAGTCATGAATAGTGATGATGCTTCACGCATCAAATGTGTTTCACTTAAATACTTGTACGCTTGACATAGGTGGAAACAAAGGTTTAATGTTTTAAAATTTTAAATTGTTGTGTAGAAGGCATGAGTGTCAAAATTTTGTTATTGTACATGTGTAGTATTACAATTATGAGAATTAGCTACTTGTTGCAGAGGTATATTATTGACGGAGCTTCGGTTTCAGGTTATCGGAAGTTTTTAATTGCTAAACGAAGAGTTATAACTTTTACCAAAATTTATTAAAAAAAAAACTGACAAAAAATAAAGTTTAAATGATAATAATTTTAATTTCAATAATTCAAAAATATCCTAAAAAGGTACATTTTTACGTGTTTCTGTCACCTTAATACTACTATTACAATTATTGTATATATATATATATATATATATATATATATATATATATTTACGATAACTCCAGACGGATTAGTTCACAAAACTAATTAATAGATGGATTAATATTATTTAGTTAATAAAAAATAGATCAATAGAGTAATGGACTTGGAGTATGGTTAAGCTTGTAATTTACGAGAACTGATCCAAATATGTTGAACTTTTCAGCACTATTGAAAGCAATCTCTCTATTAATTTCTGTCTCAGATGCATTTAGAGGTCCAAATCGCCTAAAATTCTTATTCAGTCTCATTTCTGAGGGAACAGAATCCAGCCCAGCAAAGTTCAAAATAAGTTCAGATGGGAATTCTCATCTACACAACCAGAAGGCTTTTCAGGAACCGCAAGATGATTGTTGTCAGAAAATTGTTTCCTGGAAATAGGACCTACGCAGACTAAGGTACTGTTCAATACTTTTTCTTTTGTTCTGACTGCATGTATACTCTCGATAACTAGAAGGAAAAAAATCCTGTGACCTGTTGCTGTTGTAATCCATTTCGAATGCAATTCATACTTTCTTGTATGCAATTGTAAACGTAAGAATCTTGAGAAATCTGAATTTCTCGTTGTATACTAGAAGGAAAAGAAATCCTTTTATCTGTTGGTATTATAATCAAGTTCGTGTGCAGTTCATTCAATTTTCGTCCATTCAATAAAACTAGAAGAATCATAAGAATTCTAAGGTACTTAATGCAGGTATTTATTATTTGGTCCACTGGAGGATGCATTTTTCAGCTACAGCATTGACCACCTTAGCCAGTCCATTTCATAAGGGATGAATGAAGCTGAAAGAAGGAAAAACAATTAAAGGAGTCAAATAATGTGAGAAACTGGATCCCAATTCTCAGGTTCAGTATTTTTGTTTTGTTCGTTTTCTTTAGAACCTGCAGATTTGAGGAAAAGTTTTGAGCAATGATTTTAGTAACTATGACCAAAGCAATTACTTTGTCTTGACAGCTATTGAGAATTCATTCTACCAATTTGTTATTGCTGACAATTACCACATGGCTTGGTTTGTGTAGTACACGAGTTTCTTGTTGTAGAATGCAAATTATTAAGGACGAATATACCAGGGGATTGTAACAAAAAACGAAAAGTGATATGGATCATATATGATTGTGGATGGAGACAGCAATGGCGTTTAGACTGATTTCAGCTATCTTCTCTCAGGAGTAGGTATATGTACTTTAAAACTAAAAGGATATAATAATAAAGCTGGCTAGCATGCATGCATTCATCACGAACTGTATTAATATATTTTCTTATTTTATTCCTAACAAACATGTACATCAAAATTCTCTTAATTAAAACAAGAAAAATTATATATTGACAACTGGGTTTACAAATATTCATTTGACAACCACGATTAATAATGTAATAATAGTAATCTATTATTATTTGAGCGACCTCGATGTTACTTTCAAGAGCAACATTCTTTTGATAGTTGCTTGAATAAAAATATCAGAATGCAGCTGTATTTTCTGATGCCATTCAATAATAATATAGTAATAAGATAAAACTTAAATCTAGTCTCATAGTTCATAAGTTTTTGTAGCATCATTCTCTAATCAGAATTAGAGTTTTATTTTGATAATTTATGTTAGTCCTTTATGTAAACCATTGTCACATTATTATCAGAATAAACCTTAATTTTAGTTACATCGGTATAAGAAAAAAACTTACAAGAAATATGTATATATATAAAATGCTTTTTCCTTAAGTTTTGTCTATTATTGCATTGCATTGCCACCACAATGTATGTGATTGAATTTAGGTAGTGGGGTTTCCAAATCATTTACGCCTTCAGTTCCTATTTAGTTTGTTTGAGCAGATTAATTCCACCGTAGGCATTGGTAAATTTCGAGAAGACTCCAACTTCAAAAATTTATCTGGAAGCACGTAATAGTAGATTATGTTATATAAAGGAGAAAAAAAAATGTATTCTACAAAAGATTACAAACCAAATTCTTTGAAAACGCACGCAGACTAAACAACAGGGAAAATCTGTCATTTGCTATTGCAATGACAGAGATTCCAAAAATCAAACATTAACCCAAGTAACCAGCTCAGTATATGGAACCTTATATATCTACTTAAAAAACCAAAAGAAAGGAATCCTGATTCATATGACAAAAAGTTGTAACCATGATAACTAACAATAAGTACTAAAATATCAAAGTTGATGATGAGAATCCTGACAGTGAATTGTTTCAGAATGTAAAGAAAGCAATTATTAGTATACCAACCTGCAAAATATCCCTTTGATTATGCAAGCAACATAAATCATGTGACTAATCTAACAAGCAATCTACAATTCAAGTAACAAACTTGTATTATACGATACAGGTAAATGAACCACATAGAACTGTAACCAAGACTATCTGAAGATAATAATAGACACCTCCCACACCATAAAATGTTTTTAATGATAAGATATAAAGTTCTAACTTCTATCAAAATCCATAAAATTAAAAATTTGGACAAAAGAAAAAAATTTAAATTATAACATTAATTCAGAAATTAATAATTTTAATTTTAATAATTAAAAAATATCCTTATAAAAGTCATTTTTTTTATTTCCATCACCTCTGCATGAATAATACGTACTATTATATAATTATTGAATATATATATATATATATATATATATACATATATATATATATATATTTAAATTTACTATTATATAATTACTACAATGTGTCCTGCAAACCGTTATAAACATTTGTTAAAGGCCTTATTATTCAATATAAGGCCAAATGATGAACATACACTAATATTTGGGAATATATACTCTTAGATTTTTAGTCACTAAAGTTTCTTTATATTTATATAATTTTTCATAACTCTTATTTCTCTATCCTTCAATTAAACCAATTTTTTTAAAATAATTTTATATTTCAAAAGTAATGGTGTTTATTTTCTTACATTTTTTTTATTATCCTCTACTATTACTCGGTACATTAAAACTTTGATTATTAACATAAGAGTGACGAATTAGAAGAAAACGTTCTATATTATAAAATAAAATTTCCATACTTCAACCAACAAGTATTTTCGGAATAAATATAAATAGTGAGAGTTTTAATTAAAAGACAAAATAATAAAAAATAAAAATATTTATAAAGAATATGCCTAATATACTTACAGGCATTAGAGGTAAGCATACAAAGAGAGGAACGTGCGAAAATTAGACTAGCCTATATTTTGTTAACTATATTTTAATTTTAAATTTAAGACTGTCCAAATTTAAAGAATAATCAGAATTTTATTATATAAATATATATAACTATTAAAAGGATTACTGCTTTGTCTTATTTTACATGCTAAGTAAAATAAATTTAATGACCTAAACTGATTTATTTAAATAAAACTAGACTAAAACTTTTATAGCCTACAATATTAGGTTAATAGAATAATAGGATGTTTTTTATTTAATTAATTTTTTTAAAATATCTTTTATCTATATATATATTTATATATATAATTTTGATAAAAAATATCATTTATTTATTTATTCAAAATTAATTCATAACCTGTTTATACAAAATAAAAGTTATAAAATATGATCGAGTAAAAAATTTTAAACCTCACCAAAGTTTAAATATTTTTTTAAATAATTTCATCAACGAATAATTAAAGCAAATAAAAATTCATAAAAAATCATAATGTAATTTGCATCTAATTACCGGATCTAATAAACCGCCATAATAAGTTTTTAATGATATGATATAAAGTTCTAATTTCTATCAAAATCCATAAAAAAAAATACTTGGATAAAAGAAAAAGGTTAAATTATAACATTAATTCAGAAATTAATAATTTTAATTTTAATAACTAAAAAATATCCTTAAAAAGTCAATTTTTTTGTGTTTCTATCACCTCTCCATACTTTTATAATTATTGTGTGTGTGTGTATATATATATATATATATATATATATATATATATATATATATATATATATATATATATATATATATTTAAATTTACTATAACCAAAAAATTATTTTTATTATTATTAAATTACCTGTTTCATAAGATGTTTTTGGATAAAAGGTTTAGAATATTTGTATCACTAAAACCTACAATCGAAAGTATTGGCAATCACACTAAAAACTTAGAACAATATAGCTTGACAAGGTAAAGTTGAAGTATATCATTTTAGTAAACTAAAAATGGGGATTGATATGATGATATCATAGCATATTTGAACAAACACGAGTAATTAAATTAGAATATGTAATTAAATGTGACTTAGCATTAGAATTTACTTACCCACACTCATTGCTATCTTCAGAAGAGACGTTAGAAATATGCACATGAAAAGAGGAATGTGCGAAAATTTGAGTTGTCCTTATCTTGACAATTTTACATGAATGAAAACAAAGTTTAATTAACTGAATATTATTGATGGAGTTTTAGTTTCAAACCATCTTAAGATTTTAATCACAAAAAAAAAAAATTAAGAAGAGAAAAAAATTATAAAATTATTTTGAAAATTAATAATTTTGATTTTAATAATTCAAAAATATAGTAAGAAAGTCTAATTTTTTAAATGTTTCTATCACGATAACATTATTATCATTATTATTACACTTATTATTTTTTTCTCTTTTATTATTATTATTATTTGTTGAAAGTCAGATCGCTTACCTCAGTATCATTTAGTATGATTTAAATACATATTAGACTATTCCACATATTGCTAAATGTTGGAACCTTAACATTATTATTATTATTATTATTATTATTATTATTATTATTATTATTATTATTATTATTATTATTATTATTATTATTATTATTATTATTATTATTATTATTATTATTATCTTGAACATTTCAATCATAAATTGTTTTCAACTTAATATAAATAACCTCATGCTGTTACTTAATTTGCTTAAATCAACTGTTATGCCTCTTAACATAGACTATACTAAAATTCAGTGCTTGAGTACACAAGTCACCATATTAGTTTTTAAAAATTTATATTTTGTTACACTATATTTTAATTTTAAATTTGAGACTGTACAAAGAATAATCATAATTTTATTATATATATATATATATATATATATATATATATATATATATATATATTAAAATGGGCATCTAATTCGAGTTGTTCTTAGTGTACAGGTTAAATAAAACAAGTTTAATGACTAACTTATTTATTTAAAGTAGATCACAATTTTGCACTTAATACTATATTAAGGTCAATAGACTATCAAGTATTTTTTATTTAATTAAAACTTTTAAAAAAATCTCTTATCTATCTTTTTTTATATATATATATATATATATATATATATATATATATATAATTTTGATAAAAAAATATATCATTTATTTATTTATTTAAAATAATAGTCATAATTCGCATACAAAATTTTACCAAAATTTTAAACCTCACCAAAGTTTTTTTTTTTTTTTTAATAATTTCATCAATGTCTCGTAGCACCAATAATTAAAAGTTAATAAAATTTCATAAAAAAAAAATCACCATGTAGGTTCCATCTAATTACTATATCTAAGAAAGCACCACCCAACTTAACTACATTTCTTTAACATATATTTATGAAATTCTCTTATTTTACGTCTTAACATATTTAATATTTTTTCTAATTTTGAAAAAAAGCTTTTTACTCATATTGATATGTCTATAACACCTTACATGAAAAATATTCTTACCATACCATCATTTTGTGAGATATTGTCTAATGTGAGAGAAAATATATTTTCTTTTATTACCCAATCTTTACGTACGAAGTATAAAACCTTACCTAATAGTTATCTAAAATGACAAAATTAGAGTAATTTACTATTAGGTAGAAATTATAATTGTACATAAACAAAAAGTTCAAATATAAAACTATATTATTTATAGTTTTAGATGATTGTTTGTAGTTTTAGATGATTGCTCCATAAATCTTTTGGGTTTATACAATTTTTAGTACCCTTACTTTTACATTTTTCTACCATTCAACTAGATCAATTTTTTCAAAATAATTTCATACTTTAGGAGTAATGGTTCTTATTTTCTTTATCATTCCATTCTTTGTTCAATGTTATCTCATACTATTAATTAAGGGTGTTAAAATAAGCATAGTCCGATAAGCTAATTTGAAAAATATGCCAAGTTAAGTCAAAAGATTTATGGTCTAAATAGAACTAGACAAATTTTGGTCCGACCTATTTAAGTCAGACTTAAATGAACTTATACCATACTAGTCCGTAAACTTATGAACTGATCCGTTTTATAAAATAATAATTATTTTACCAATAAAATAAAAGTAATATTACTTTAATTATCGAGATTTATAATGTATATCACATAAAAGTTATCGAGATTTATAACGTGTATCACAGAAAAGAAAAAACTAAAAGATGTATTATCTAATTTTTCTCGATAGAATATTTTAAATCAATTACTATAAATATTTCAATTACAGAGGTTAATAACATGTATAAAAAAAAGAAAATAAATAAATGATGTGTTATTTAATATTTCTAGGATATTTTAAATTAATTACTATAAGTACTTTAATTACAAAGATATATAACGTATATTTAACTGAAAAGAAAAAAAAAGTAAAAAATGTGTTTATCTAAAAAAAATTTAATTAAACAAAAAATAGTCTATTTAGCTAACGTAAGATTAAATTAGATAAAAATTTTTGTCAATTTTAAAATATAGGTGAAACTGACCCACTAATTTTTCTTTTCCTTAACCCTTAGAGTCAGGTTAATCTAGGCTGAATAACTGATTTTGACTACTCTACTATTACTCTTTACATCATACATGTTACCGTAAATAATACAATAATACAATAAATATAAAATAAAAATTATACTTGACTTAAGAGGAGACGTGGAGACATGTGAAAAGAAAATGTGAGAAATCACAAAAAATGTAACTACAAATAAATAAATAAAAAAAACCAAAATAAATAAAATTTACACTTAAAGTTTATTATTTTTCTAAATATTATATATATATATATTAATAAAATAATATTATTTTTATTTTATTTAAAAAAATATTATTTTATAAAATAAAGATGATCCATAAACCTATAAACAAACCTAATTTAAACTCATTTAAATTATGATTGAAACGAATCAGACCAAAATCAGACCAAAATTAAACCGATCAATTTTTTTATATTTTTGGAGTTATCCATGCTAAACCTATTTTCACACAAGAAATAAACTTATTTTAACACTCTAATACATCATATTTGGCATTAATTAAAACAAAGGTTTAATTAACTATTTCTAGAAGTATATTATTGACGAAATTTCAATTTCAAACCATCCTAAGATTTTAATGACAAGAGACAAAAAATATTAAATTATAACACTATTTTAAAAATTAATAAATTTAATTTTAATAATTCAAAAATTATCTTAAGAAAGTCGGTGTTTTAAGTGTTTGTATCACCTTTTATATGGATAACACTGTTATAATAATAATAATAATAATAATAATAATATTATTATTATTATTATTATTATTATTATTATTATTATTATTATTATTTGATAAATTCTTTTGAACACTATATAGATAATCTTATACTAGTATACTACTACTACTTAATTTGGCTAAATCAACTACTATGCCTCTCGACATAAAACTAAGATGCAATAAGATTAAACTTACATTGAGTCATTCAAAGTACATAGGTCACCATATTAATTCTTCAAAACTTCATTTTAGTTATCTATCAAAACCATATTTTAATTTTCAATTTGAGATAGTCCAAATTTGAAGAATAATCAGAATTTTATCACATTTGGTTACTTCATAAGCATGTCAGCTCATTAAAAGCAAGACTTGAGTTGTATTTGCAAATTATCAGCAAGTTCTCCAAAAATATCTTACCATATTAATCCCTTAATTTTTTTGATGTAATTAAATTAATCTCTTAAATATCTAAATGAAAAACTACGGTGGTAACAACAAAATAATGGGGTGAAATAATACTTTGGCAGCCATTTAGAAATAAATTGGTTTATAAGTTTTATTCAGTTATGTATATGCTGCCATGTTTTCAGCAATCCCTACAATTGCAGATGTTATTTATTTTTGGCAGACTCACTATATAAGCTTCCGTTGGAGGCGAGGAGAAAAATCTACTGGTCTAACCTGCAAAATCACTTGGACAACTCAGTCAGCAGAGTAAAAATGCACTGAAACATGTGCTTACCTAGTGTCTTTGCATATGATCTATTGATAGGGGACTCAAATGCAGCTAAATCATCTTCTGGATGTGAGTGAATCAGAGCAAGGATACCCGAGCTAGGTTATGAAGTAATCCTGTACGAAGCAGAAGCTTCCGATCATAAACAGTTCGTGGCAAGCATGGCATGCGCAAGCTCCTAGGAACGAGCCTGAGGCTCAAGATGAATAGCCCAACAAGGATTAGTGATAGTAACTAACTACTTCAATGAATAATTTCTTTGGACAAAAGGATATTATGTAAACAATTATTCTGAATCTCACTTACTAGATTTTATAGTACGACTAATTCACCATAATATATCTCTCGGACTGTTCTTCTCGGACTCTATACTTGGTGCTCAAAACAATCGCTTTTGAAGTAAATGTCTGAATTCAACAAAATCAAAACGATGCACAGTACACAATACACAGTAAAAATCCAAGGAAAACCAAAGTTGAAGTATTTTCAACTATCTAAATTAGGAAGCCCCAAACCCAAGGAAGAAATGAAATCAAATTCCTGTCTCAACCGCAGAAACAGGACTGTTTACTAATCAACATTTTTAAACCAATATACAATTGAATGTCAAAATGGATCTATTTAATGTTTTTGATGCTACTGCTCCCAGACTGAAAACTTTCATTTTGTAATGACACAGATAAATTTAAGTAAATAGAGCTAATAGAGGACGCATTGGTACCACAATAGCTGGATGAATGAAAGCTGAAAGAAGGGAAAAACAATTGAAGAAAGTCAAATAATATGAGAAACTGGACCCCAATTCTCAAGTTCAGTATTGAATTGCATTGCTACCACAACATATGCGATGGAATTTAGATAGTGGGGTGACCCACTTTACCTGTTTCCATCATTTACCCCTTCAGTTCCTACTTAGTTTGAACAGATTAATTCCACAATAGGCATTGTTAAATTTTGAGCTGACTCCAACTTCAAAAAAATTTCTGGAAGCACGTAATAATAGATTGTGTTATATAGAGGAGAAATCCACAAAAGATTATACAAACCAAATTCTTAGAAAACGCAGACGAAACAACAGGAAAAATCTAAATGTTGCAGCACATACTAGTTGCCATGACAGAGATTCCAAAAATCAAACATTAACCCATGTAATCAGCTCAGTATATGCAACATTAGATATCTACTTAAAAAACCAAAAGAAAGGAATCCTGATTCATATGAAAAAAAGTTGTAACAATGGTAACTAACAATAAGCACTAAAATCTCAAAGTTGATGATGAGAATCCTGACAGTGAAGGATTTCAGATTGAAAAGAAAGCAATTATTAGTATACTAACCTGCAAAATATCCTTTGATTATGCAAGCAACATAAATCATGTGACTAATCTAACAAGTTACAATTCAAGTAACAAACTTGTATTATACGATTTAGGTAAATGATCCACATAGAACTATAAGCAAGACTATCTGAAGCTAATAATACCTCCCTTACCTCTTCCCATCGTCATGGACTTATGGAAAAATGGCCACAGTGGCAACCACCAACCTCCATACCCAACAACAACCAACAAAAGTAGCATTGTAATTATTAAAGATATTGAACAGAAAATCTGACTTTGAATCACTTGAGAGAAAATAAAAGAAATATTATAAATATTTAGGTATGTCTCCACAACCCAAATCACCTCATATTTATAATAGAAGGTTATAGAGATACATTGATGAAAGAGGAGATGCAAAGATTAACTACTAGAAGATACCACTCATAGATGGATACAACTAATTAATCCTAATCTAATAAATATAAATCTGCTCAAACTTTTGAAACACAAATTTGTGCCAACTTGAAATGGATTGTCAACACGTTCTAAACATTTATTGCTATCAAAAAACAAACCAAATACATATCTATACCATCTTGAGCAACAACTCCTCAAAAACAAAATAGAAAACAACATTTTACTGCCTCTGGAATGAAGAGATCCACTAGGTATCACACGAAAGAGAAACTAGTCCCTGCCAATTTTATAAACATACATCAACCTCAACTCTACTGCCTCTGGAATACTGGAATGAAGAGATCCACTTAATAGGAATCACTAGTCCCTGCAAATTTTATAAACATACATCAACCTCAGTAAATAAATAAATAGATACTCAGTAAACATACATAGAGAGATTTATAAAGAAGGAGTGCAAAAGGATTAAAAAACTTATATATATATATATATATATATATATATATATATATATATACACACACACATAAAGAATGAAAGCAAAAAGATCAGAAACATATATGACTTTGAATATGGATATTAGTAGATGTCAGATGTGGTTAAAATCAATCATTGAGCAAGCAACTACTGCCCAATGGTGTTACATAACTTAATCAAAAGTAGAATATATCATCCATCAACATTGAAACTTGAAACGGGAACACCCAGCTCATTTTATCATGAAGATTACGACTAAATTCTAATGATATCAGAGCACAGAAGGCCTGTTAAAGCAGGATCAAAATATCAAATCCTATCTTCTGACAAAGCATATTTGTTGTATCATATGGTGTATCATGCTAGACAACCCAAAGTACACGTGTCTTCCCACAAATAACATACTTGTAAAAAATATATTATGCCATCTTCTAAGATAGTAAACATTTGATAAATTTGAAATCTGCACACATTTCGTGAATTGTATGTACATGTAAAAGATCAACCGCAGTATTGAGATGAGAACAAGGTGTTTAAATCACCCAAGTTGTTCAAATTCCATTATATAATGGTTTAAAAAAATTACAACAACTTCATAGCCACCACTATTAGCTATTTATTTAAGCAAACAACAGGCACAACTGCAACATTATGAAGAATGTTGTTAATTGATGCTAAATTTATATTGCCAAAAGGTTAGACAATTTTACAACATTAAACTTTTAAGTTGTAACAACATATTAATATGTCCACTGCTTATATTTGAGCGTACAAATAAAGCTATTTATTTAAGCAAACAACAGGCATAACTGCAACATTATGAAGAATGTTGTTAATTGATGCTAAATTTATATTGCCAAAAGGTTAGACAATTTTACAACATTAAACTTCTAAGTTGTAACAACATATTAATATGTCCACTGCTTATATTTGAGTGTCATTTGTAGTTTTCACTATTACAAATAAAGAGATTCTATTAAGATATAAGGACTCTGAAAGAGCCAATGACACTGAACTGAATACAAATGGTTAGCAAAACAATAGTAAGCAAAAGTCAAATAACCCAAAAGGAATGAAGTAAATATTACTCAGCACACATCGAACTAGTGCAACAATGGCTACATGTTTGTTTGTATAGTGTGATGCAGATGGCAATATGGAAGAGAAGCACAGATTATATCAAATTTAATATAATAAAAAATTAAAAATAAACTCTCCACGGATTGTGTGTTTATGAGTGCAGCAGCTTATTAAACATTATTATCATCATATTAATTTCACCAAATCACCAATCATTCACAATCAAAATGTATTAGAACACCAAGATGTCAATTTGAAAGAGTTTAGGAATTAGGGACCTAAGTACATTTAAGACATAAGAGTTTATTAGTTTAATAATAACATTCTTAATAAAGAAATTCAATGGAACCAGAGCATAAATGTCAAAAGGGCTGAGTTTCTAGGATTCTGCTCAATAGGTTGCCAATAAGAAGATCATCAAAGAAGTCAGTTAAACAAATTTATTCACTATTTTCTTAAAATAGATGTCAGCCTCACAAAACATGAAGGATTTTGTTTCCTTTGAAGCTTATAAAAGACGTAACAAGTTTTATCATGATAAATCCATGGTTTTCAAGAGGTGAAGTAATCTGGGATAGATTTCTGACACTGATGGCTCACAGTTTGCTGCTATGTAACGAAAGTTCTGACAGCTACTTATGCCTCCAGCTATTACACTTCAATTAAAAAAAAAAAGATATTTTGTTCTTATGCAGATGCAGAATAGTTCATTAAAGTAGAATAGACCCCTCTGAGGCTCTCTCACTTAAAAGGTAAGATGGTTTACCTTAATGTTTTTGGATAAAATGTTTGTATTTAGAATATTAAGGAAATACAGAGTTCATTTTACCAGACCACAATCACTAATGCCTATAAATCAAAAGTATTGTCAATCACACTATATCATTTTAACAAGGTAAAAACCATAGATATGATAGCATATTAGCATAGCATATTTGAACAAACACAATCTGTAATTAGAGGTGGCTTAGCATTAGAGTTTACTTACCAGTACTTTATCATCCCATCCCAGCCACACGTCGCTACCTTGCTCTGTTCCAAGGGATGCCACTCACAACCAATGCAAACCCCCTCATGACACTTGAGTGTTCTGAACACCTTGCAGCTCTTCCAGTCCCAGAACCAACACTTCCCCTCACCATCCCCTGACATAACAAATCGCCCATCCGGAGAAAAATTGACCTGACAGGCATATCCCGCTACAATGTGTCCTGCAAACCTCTTCTTCTTGTTAAGTTGGAACTTCTCCCTTGTGCTATAGATAAGTATCTGGTTATCCAAGCTCTGCGCCGCAAGCCAATTGGCATTCGGATGAAGCGAAATAGAAGGCATAGAGTGCATGTGGGGCTCACTAATATACTTGATCACCACAGGAATACCAAATTCCCACACCCGGAGGGACTTGTCGTCACTGGAAGTAACAAATCTCCTGTTGCTATCAACAAAGGTTATGGTATTCACAGCCCCCAAATGTTGATCATACTCCTGAGTTATCTGTCCGCTATTCATATCCCACTGAACAATCTTCTTGTCACTCATTCCAGCCAACAAAATATTCTGCTTATCCTCATCCGGATTAAGCTTCACAACATAGGGAATTTTCCCAGTGGAGAAAGTCGATATCACCTGCCCCGTTTCAGTGTCCCAATACTTGATATTCTTGTCATAACCAGCACTCAAAAACTTGGTCCCATCATTGCTGAAACAAATATCCCTTACAGCTGCCGAATGTCCCTGGTAAGTCCTCATACACTTGCCAGAGTTGAAAACATCCCAAATCTTAACCGTGTGATCCATGCTTGCAGAGAGAATCAAGTGGCCATACTTAGGGAAAAACCGAATAGCGGAAACCCCTTTGGTGTGTCCACTCCATGTATGAACTAATCTCTTAGGTATATAACAATGATCATTACTAGCCTTAGCATCCTTAGGAGGCGCAATCCAAGACCTACCCTGATAATCCCTCTCCTCTTTCCCATGAAAGGTACTCTTATCTTTAACAACCTCAACTTTTTCCCCACCAAAGCCACTCTTCTCTTCCCCTTTCTTCTTCGCATACTCCTCCGCGTACTTCTTCTGTTCCTCCGTCAACTCTCCTTGCAACCCTTCCTTCTTCCCTGCCCAGGGGCTCTTCTTGTTCTTCAGAAGCCACGCCTCGGAGGCCGGGTTTTCAATCTCTTCTTCTCCATCCTCGTTGTCGCTGGCGCCTTCGTCGTCGTTTTGGTCAGATATTTTCTTGTCCTTGGCTTCGGTTTTGCGCCTCTTTTTCTGCTGGTGGCGGGGAATGTTGTAGACGGAGACGGCATTGTTAGAGCGAAGGGCGTCGAGATCGCCAACATAATTATTGGCGGAGGGGTCGGCCGCGTAGCCGAACTTGTGGAAGGTGTTGTACTGCTCGTCGAAGAGGAAGGGTTCGATGGCGGCGTCCTCGACAAAGCCGAGCTTGTGATTACGCATGCCCTGGGCGATGCCGTCCTTGGCGTAGGGGTGGGCGGGACCCTGAATGGGAGCCCAGAGCTGGTCGTAAGACGGGTTGAAGCCCACCAGATGCTGGGTCGGGTCGATGGGCCGCGAGAGGGCCGAAGAGGAGGAGACGGTGAGGGCCAGCATGGTGTCGTCCACCTCGGGCGCGCAAGAACGGCCCTGGAGGAGGCGCGGCGGAGAGCTAGGGTTTTGGGATGGCGAGCCTGGATCGTCGTCATTTTGGTCCTCTGAGTATTGCTGAAGGAGATCCATTGTGGAGAGTGACTGGTGCCTTTTCTTTACTCTTACCAGTGTTCGGCCAAATTTTGAAGGGATAGGGTGAAATTCATTCTATATATTCTATTTATATGTAATAATAAGAACATAATAATAACTTAAAAATTAATAATTGATGTAAAATATTATATAAAATAATAATATATACAAAATAATTAATAAAATAAATAAATATAATAATTTTCATTTTTTAGTTTTTAACAACTAAATAAACTATAACAAAATTTAAAAATTATTTAAAAAAAAACTAAAATACTAATAACTGTTTTAAAAAAAGTTCTAAATTTATTTTAAATAGATTTTTTATATAAAAATTATTTTTTTAATTTATAAATAACAAACTTTATTTAAAAACGAAATATATATATATATATATATATACATATATATATATATATATATATATATATAGATAGATGAAAAAAAGATAGGTTAAATTATTTATTTTTAATACACTTATCAATTATTATTCTTTTAACATTATATTATACGTCACAAATTTTACAGAGCAAGTAACTTACAAAAAACTCCTTGCTTAAAAAAACACATTTCTTTATTAATTTTTTACATGATATTGATTCTTAAGTCATTTAATCATGTAACCAAAATATGTAGACGTGTTTTTATATTTGTTTTACCTTTTACAAACTAACTATTTTCTTTTCCATGTTTGATAATGATAGCATCCATGACACGTAACCCATGAGATAAAATGTATAACGAGACATTCTACAATTTTCATTTAACGTCTCCCTCCTCTCTCTTCTGTTACCGAAATTGTCAAACAGCATGACACTTTTTTAAATGGTATTCAATTAATTCACAAGACAACTCTCCCAATAAAAAAAGTTTACTTCATTATATTTTAAAGTCCTAAATTTTTGAATGGTTGGGATTTCAGTGTTTTTTTTTTTAATTACTCTCTCAAAGTTGAAAAAAGTGATTTTAATGTCTAAATAATAAATTTGAAATATTAAAATGATCTTTTTTTAATGATTTATATTAGGATTTAAAGATTAAATGATTTATTAATTTTGAAGAATTAAAATGTAATTTTCTTAGTTCAAAAATTAAAAAATTATTTATCCTAAAATTTAGGATTTAAAATACATAATAAAAAAAAAGGGTAAGCAGTTCCTAGTTTCATATCTTAATAAATGCATGTCTGATTGCACATAAATTCAATTATAAGAAATTCAATTATCAGAAATTGATAATCGGATAGTAGTCAGTCCTGAGTTAGACATCGAACTGAGAAGAATAAGGCATGCAATATTAACAAAATGATATTATTTCAATTGTCAAATAACATTTAAAAATGAGAAGAATAAGGCATGAAAATCGTAATTTTATTTATAACATTTAAAAATTGGTATTGGGTTAGTCACACCTTCGATGCACCTTACCACAAAGCAATTGTGCGCATAACATCCCGCACCATATATTTATCCTCCTGTAGATCAAAACGTTGCCAGCTATGTCATATATTTTAATAATTGGAGAAACATTTTAGAAATTGGAAGGTGGTAAATTATATCTTGAGTGCTCAAATAAATGAGAATGTACAGTTCAACAGTTACAGTGAAAAGTGTCTAATACTGCTTAAACTAACGGGCTATATAAATTACAAGTTACAATAGGGCTCTGCTTATTTCTAAATCATTATGCTTAGGCCTTGACCACAATTATTACATCCTCTCTAGGTGAGGGTTGGGTAAGGAATAATGTGAAAAGGTTACCTATACAAAAATTTTATGTTCTTACACGTCGATCAGCAAGCACAGTGAAACACAGAATTGCTAAAACATCTTGCTTTTGTTACTATCTTTCTCACACCTGTTTCATTGTGAGAGAATCCTCCAATAACAGGAGACAAGTGGATTCTGTCCATGATATTGATTTTAGGGGCCTCAAGAATTGCCTTGGGCCGATTTATTGCATATTGCATACCCCAAATGGCCAGGGGCCTCATGTACATGAGCGACCTGTAGTGTCCATCCATTGTCCATGCCTCTGGAGTCTGAAACCAATACCTGAAATGGGGATAAAGGTGATGAATGAACCGAATGAATTTTCTAATGGATAAACAATTTATGCATACAATTTAGATTTGTCACATTTAAACCACTGAACAACTTACGGAATACGTGATTTTCATCAAGAATTAAAAATTCATAGAATAATTGAAAATCTCTAGTGTGTGAAGTGCATACTAATTTGTAAGTTAATTTTAACATATGGATGCATACGAGCGAGCACAAAATGCACGAAGTACACTTCCAAGTTGATTGTACATTTGGTGATAAAAATACATAATTATTTATTTTTATTTACCCATCAGAAAACTCTATCCCTACTTCAGGTGTGAAAAAACAATTATGGAAGACAGGACAAAAGATGTTTTACCCGTATCCATCCTCGGACCAGCCTGCTAGAAATATCCCCTCGGCAGTGGTGAAGGCCTCTTCTTCCATTCCAGCAAATATCATTGTTGCAGCAACACCATAGGTCACCCCTGTCCATACTTCTCGAGACTGCATACAGGTCTCATCGACCTTACCGTTGGGATGCATGCCATTTACAGCACCCATTCTACCTCCTTTAACTTTCATTACATTGAAATCGTAAACCTTCCGGAGAGCACTTTTGATTTTGGAATCCTCAAAAAGGGAGGGAAGTCCTGAGGATGCAGTATACCATTGCCCAGCCAATTGATCTGCTTGAATGGATTTACTGTTACCACTTGATCCACTGTCATAGTTAAAATACGAACCATTCCACAGTTTTTCTTCAAATGCTGGCTTAGCCTTCAAAAACTTCCTTTTGCATATTTCCGCAAAATCTCTATCACCCAATTCAAGGGCCATTGCTGCTGCAGCTTGTAGAGCCGCAAGCCAAAGACAACCACAATAGGTGCTTACACCATGGACTGTCCATGTATCATATGTTTGATCAGGGAACCCATCGTTCTCAATAAGACCATCGCCATCTCTATCAAATTGGTCCATGTACTCCATTGCAGCCCGAACAGCAGGCCACACATCAATTCCAAATTGCAAATCACTTGTTGCAGCAAAATCTCGATACACCTGAAGAACAAATTTCGGATTCAAGTCCTTCCACTTGCTAGTATCATGGATGTTATAGGCATTCATTTCATACCACGGATCATGTGTCCCCAGATCATGTGGCACTGCCCCATAAACCTTGCGAATTCCCCAGTTTCCCTCTGCCAGAAACTTTACTTTTCTTCCATCTTCACACAAGACAGCTCTAGCGAAGTCACGCTGTATATTTAATTCAATCCTAGGAAAGAGTTCAAGAAGGGCAAATGAAGCATAGAAGTGCACATCATATGTGCACCACATGATGTATTCCACTCCTTCTAAGTACAAGAACCTTCCAACATCGTCATCATCTCTACATAGTTCTTCATCCACACAATTATGTCCTGTAATAGCAGTAGATTCGTATGTACATTCTGTTGTACGCTCGACAACTGTCCTTTTTCTGCCATTCATTTTGTCTTCAGTTTCTTTGACAACAGCATTTTCCAACTCCCTCACCTGATCTTGGTCATTTCGCATACTTGAAGATAGCAAAGGAGAGTCTGGCAGAAAGATTAAGCAGTCTTAATGATTTCATTAAGAAGAAACTGATAAAAGGTGAAGTATGAAAAAACCAAACGTTCATTAAAAACCAATGGCAATATAATGTACTTATATTTCATACATACCAATCCAAATTGTTCCTCCGGCAACAAGAAAGTAGAGTTCATTGAATAATGTAAATTTATACCTGTAAAAATAAATTATAAATACATTAATGCATATTCTCCTAGACCAATAGAAACCACTATATGACAAGGGACAGCTTACAAATAAGGGAAAGAAAGACATAAGAAACTTCCCAAGAGCATACATGTTTGCTTAGTTTTGACTTTAAAAACAGAAGTAACAGTATGCTTTACCAAATGACAATGTGATTGATTACCTCTGACTTATATATAGGTCCCATATACCTAACCTTTGAACAAATGAAATTTATTACTATAATTAAATATAAGTCTAAAATGTAACTCTTTGCACAAAAGTGCCAAGCATCAGCTGGGAAAAACCATGTTTTAAAATAATAATATTAATAATAAACTGGAAATGAACCATAAGAAACAAACAAAAATCCAGTGATACTTTCAAATTAAAATACCATAGAAGCTAAATTGAGAATTACCATTCTGGTAGTGTCTCATCCTTAAGAATAGGATTCTGCCATTTCTCAATCTCTTCTTCCCACCGGTTGTAATCTATTTAGAATTCAAAATCTAATAAGATCTTCAAATGCCACAGATGAAGCATCAATCATTTCAGAAACATTTGTTTCTTTTTTTTCTCTTTGGAAATGTAATTATATAGAATACCAATGTTATAAACCACAACAATCAAATCATACAACATACGTGTCAATGCATCATGGGCCAGGTCAACTGCAGCTTTCTCAGAAGTCCCATAAAATTTTGTATATCTCCTGCAGCAAAAGAATTGAGCAAATTTAAATTACTAAATTACAATTATAAAAAGACATTTGGTTGTAGGTATGCTGTTTGGCAACAACAGGCACAACCTCTTTCTCCAAAAAGAACTGAGGGGTATTACAAAGTTTAGCCTTTCCCAAATAAAGCAAGAATAACACTATTAATTTGGAGCTTCAGTAAAACTTTATTTAGGATATAATAATATTTAAGTGCAGGAAAGCAAGAAAACCTTCGTAGAAGCAAAATATAAGAATAAAATATCAAGAGATACAATGGTCATTTTCACCATATATGCCTCTAGAGTAAAGGAAGAAGAGTTTCATCACTTGGATCATATACCATTAAAAAAATAACAGCAGACATTTGAAATGCATAGTATTTGAGGAAAATGACCTCCCTAATTAATTATATGAAAATTGTTTTGCCAAATTTAGTATCCACCACATGTTGAAATCATAAGGGTTCTGTTTGAAATGGACGAGACAGATTTAAAAAATCTTCCTGTAAGTTTAGCTAATCGAAGGCACATCTGCTCCACTAACTACTAAAAATATCATTCAATTTTGCTAAAGCTTAAATGCAACTCATATCCCTTCAATGAAGGTAGTTAAACCATATCATGAATTCCGTCACTCGTACAGGCAGGTGTATGCATACAACTATTATATAAGATATGGAGAACATGTTCAAGGATAATATTCTTGCATAACAATAATTACCTGTTGAAAGTGCTACCTTTCACGAACTTTACTTTTGGAGATGACCAAGCAAGACTAAATGCAACCGTGCATTTTCCGTGGGGTTCAACCCATGTAGAAGCTGCAACAGCAGCACATAGTGTCTCTCCAGCTGATGAGGGCATGCTAGGTCCAGAATTGAAATTCTCTTGGTCAAATTGCCCATCCTTAAAGAAACATATAATAATTTCAATTAGGATCAACTCTGTATACTTTCCGTACCAAAAATATTTGGAAGAATTTAGTGCTTAACTATAAATATCATTTAGAACCAACCCCCCCCCCCCCAAAAAAAAAAAAAGAGCAACCAATACCTTCACCATTTTACTCCACATGCCTTTTGCTGTTAAGCAACTTCCTTCAGACAACCCAAAACATGGCAAAACAGAAACACTAACATTTTGTGTTTCGCATGCAGCTATGGAAAAAGTAACAGGAAGGTTTCCTTTTGCTGTCCTGTAACATTGTAATGGCCTTAATATATACAACAAAATCATCATTTACATAGCAGTTTAGGAGACATAAGACCCTAATTACAATTTACAAGTACATATATACCCCCACCCACACAGATGTATTACACATATACATGCATGCAAATAAATATGTCAAACCTGAATAGTGGAAATTGTAAACACAATTGTAGAAACTATGAGCATCTCCAATGGTACTTGTTTATTGAAATGTTTAAGTAAAATACTAGTTGTTTGAAACAACTTTCCATTGAAGAAATTCTAAGTGGCATGATAAGTTGTTTAAATTTTTTAGTTAGTTACTTCACCAAACAACTTACAAAAATAAATTAAACAAAGTAAATGATGGGAGAGAATGGGTTCTTTAAAATTTCTTAAGAAAATTTCTATTAGAACGAAATCTAGTGAGTTGTTTAAATATGATGTGCCATAATAAATCTATATTTTATGTTTTACAAGGTGATAAGCAACACGTATAAGTTGTTCCTACTAGAAGCTCCCTAAGTATACATTACAAACAAATATTATTGCACAGTTCTAGAAATTGGCATCAATAAATAGTTGAAATTTCATAGTTTGCTTTTACAAGTTGATGAAAAATCCCAAACCAGAAAGATAGACCAAAGTAAAAATAATCTATTTCAGAATAGTGTTTTAGTTTGCATCTATTTTGGAGATAAGCTATTAACCCACCTCACTAGCTCAGTTCCCTTGGTTGTAATTTCACCATGTATTTTTTTGTGAGACTTTTTATATAAAAAGTAATAACCAGAAGTTTATGATTTAGTACTTAATCAAGCTAAAATGTTATCATTTCCAAGAGACGATCACCCAATATCCTTTTCCTTTTCACAAACACAAAGATTTTAACAGAACAGGGTACAAAGAGTTAGGATAGGTCTCCAAGGAAAAAACATGAATGCACCAAAGGACTGAAAAAAAGAAACAAGAAAAGGAATTTCAACAACAAGGAGCACCTTAATGACGAGGGAATCATATATGCAAGGGACTCTGGAACTCAAGATATCTGAGGATTTAGGTGTAAGTGAAAGTGGCCACTTTTTCTTCTCTTCATAATTACTGATTCTGTTTCAGCTCACTCTGCTTTTGCTATTTCTACTGTTGATTTAGGTTTAGGGACTCATGTTTCTAGCATCATGCATGGAGAAAAGACACGGAACTAGACACAGCAGGAATTTCTTTTATGTATGGAGCTCTAATAAAAAGCTTGCAAGAATTACAAGGTGATTCCTCAAGAGTCTGACAGCAAAATATATCCTTAAATACTCATTTTAAAATCCATAAACACAACCCTACATGTTGCAAATCCAAGAGTAGAATCTCAGGGTATAAATATGTTTTTTTAAGAAGAAATTGTGGGAGAAAGATAATTGGGAATGACAAAGGTAGTGCTAACCTCACTTGAGATAAGATCTCTAAGAAAATTAGGCAGGTTGCATAAGAAGTATTGAGTTATGGACTTAAATAAAGAATCATGGTGGTGCAAGTGTTCAAGAAATGGTAAGAAATAAAAGTGTTTTAAGCCCTTCCATGGGTCCAATAATGATGAAAATTGGACTAGGTATCAGAAAGCTAAAAATGGAACAAGGAAATTTTTTTAGTGAACAGTCCAAAACTTCTAAGGAGTTTTACTGAGATCTTGGAAGAAAAAAATGAAAATATAAAAGTTTGAAAACATAGCAAAATTTAATCTAGACATTTGGACTACTTAAGAAATTAAGATGTATTAAGGATGAAAGAATTTGAAGATGGATCAAGATATTCAAGATAAATGGGAAAACTATTTTAGCAAGTTTTATGATGATGGGCAAAAATCAATTTGTAATACAGAAGGATCAACAAGCTAATGACCAACAAAAATTGGTCTATTATTAGGATGGAAAAAAGGTGAGCCTGACCCGCCTCTTACCGCGAAAAACGGGGCAGGGTGGGCGGACCAGCCTGCCAATATTTTTTTAAAAATAATTTTTATATATATTTTAAAAAATATATATATATATATCTTTAATTATATGAATTATTTTTAAATTTTTATTTACTAATATTTTTATTAGATAAATTAAAAAAATATTATACTTATATGTCAAAAATAACTAATTATAATCAATAATTCAAATTTAATTAATCAATTTTTATAATTTAAATTATAATATTATAATATATTTACATATTTTAATAACATAACAAAAAAAATATAATATTTTTAATTATAATTCTTTTTATTTTAATTTTAATATATAAATAATTTTTATAGTGGGCCAAGGACTTGGCCCGCTGAATTGAAGGGTTAGGCAGGGACAGGCTAAAACTACCAAACCCATCCGCCTAAACTTGGCGAGCTGGCTGGCGGCTCGTTTGGTCTAACTCGTTTTGTCATCTTTATCTACTATTGTAAAATTAGAGTTAACTAGGAAAAAAAAAAACCTTTACAATGATTAAGGACAAGGAAGATATTCAAGATTCTGTGAAGTATAAGGGATAAACTTAAGAGCCGGATTGGAACGATTAAGTATACATTCTACTTTTGTTCACGATTTTGCAACTACTAGGAGCAAATATATTCCTTGTTTTCTCCAGTAAGTAGCCAACCTTTTAAATTAATCATTGCAAAACCGGTAATTTTTTACATCAAAGTAATTTTTATATAATCCATACAAAATTCATTAGCCACAAATGAATTCTGAATTAACATGTCCAAATCAAATATATGCAGATCATCTAATAATTTATTTTCACACATTATATATTTCTTTGCATACTGTGTGTTCCCTAAATAATAGGTATATCACAAAAATACTTCCCAAAGTTGAGTTATTCCTCCCCTTCATCGATTCCAGTAAATCCATAATTTTTTTATGAATAAAAGGCAGCTAAAACCTAGCTTATGATTACAGTGCAGAATACTGTTATAACAAAACAATGAGCTATAGAGAAAGATCTTAGGACTAGTTTTTAATTGTTCTTTTCTTTCTGAAATCAACCAAAGACCACCTATTATATCACCACAACATCAAGTTGTGATCCCAAACTCCAACTCGTTACATGTTTTCAATCTCTTAAAAAAATACCTTTCCTTTTTTATCTCATTATGTTTAGCATTGGACAAGCTGGGGAATAAACTCTCAAAAATTGTAGTACTCCGCGGATTCTAGTTCATATCAGGCTCAACTTGTTAATAAAGATAAGCTAGGGCACTTTTAGACTATTCAGAACCTTAAGTCATTGACTTATTAAGCACTTGCATGTAAACAATAAAGAGAAATCAAACCAACCGTCATATATAGCTATAAGTTTTGATAACTTGCTTGTGATATAGAAGTACACCGGAGACTCCATCTTCAGCTCTATAAATGAAAAATAAAAAAAGAGTTAAAATTGTTTAAGGCTTACTCTATTTTGAAGCACAAACATATCAGCTTAAAGAAAAAACTTACTGGAATGGTTCATTCACATGATCTCCTGACAGGTGTGAGCTTCCACCAATGGAATTCTGCAGAAAAATAATATTAATGGTTATTTATCAATGGCCCTGTCACTGAACCCCCCACTCAAATATCTTTTCGTGGCAAGTGAAGACAAGACAACACTTCAGAATAAAATAATATCTTACCGCCCAAGTAAATAGAAGGCTGACTTTAGCTCTTTCTTTACCAGTGTTCACCAACTACCAAAGAAACAAGTAAAAGTTTTTTATAAGACTGGGAATATATATTACTTCACATCAAGACCCTGAAATTAAACATGGATACATAGGATAATATGAAAATAATGCCAAATATAGAAAATGTAAGCAATATTAAGTTCTTCACCCACTTTGGTTAATGGAATTCCATGAACCATGATAGTTCAAATAATCACAGAGGGAGATTTGGCTTCCAAAAGGATTTACCAAGTTGGAACAACACCCCATTCAAAAATTGATTTGGAAAAAGGATTTCTCAAAAACATCTTAAGGATGAAAAGTGTCAAAGTCAAGGTGAAGCCATTAATTTGCAACAATCAAGCAGCCTTGTACAATGCATCCAATCCATTTTTTCATGAGAGAATCAAATATATACAGATGAATTGTCATTTCATAATATAGTAGATTTTATGCTTATTTGACATAAACTAGTAAAAATGCAATTAAAGTTTTCCTCTAAAGAACAAAACAGCAGCAACTAGTTTGTATTTGGTATAATTTGATATGTCAATAAAAGGAAAACAAAAAAACCAAACAATAGTGTAAGGAAATTGGCCACTCTATTCTGTGAATACAACTTTACACACCGTATAAACAAAAACAGCAGCAGGTAGACTACTTTCTCTATAATTATGTGGTATGAATGGGGATATTTGCCGACAAGATATTTTTAGTTCTGGGTCTGGCTCACCTGAGAATATGAAAACAGTTATTAAACATACTTCATAAGGATCATACACATTTAGCAAATGAAGAACTAATTAATATAAATGAAGATACCATCATAAACTGTCCAAGCTCTTGGAAACAAAGCATGGTAGGTTGAGTGCTGCCCACTTAGGTTCCATCCCCATGATGATATTCCCTGATCATCAGGTTTCCTGCTAGATCTGAAAAATAGATCGCATAAATTTGAGTCTATGTACATTTATCTATATATATATGAAAAGCACCCAAAAAACCCAAATGTCAGCAGAATAAAAAATTCAGATCACACTTATTGCCAGACCGGACAAGTAACATTTTGGCAACTAGGTTGGTTTTGTCAATCTACTCTCTTGGTGTTGAATAGGTAACAGTGGTATATTAGTCAAAGCTTGGTAGAATATTGTGTTATGCCGCCAAAATATTACTTAGAAACCACACATATATTCTGCTAAGCCTATCAATTAATTTCATCGGCAGAAGCTTTTCTCAAAAATGAAGATGAAAATGTTCTGCAAAACTAGAGTTTCTTTTTTCTATATATAGCTTCATTTAAACAATAAAAAGGCCGACAATTATAGAACCACAATGAAATTGCAACGGTAAAATAAGAGAAATTTTTGGTAGAAATTGCAGATATTAACTTATCAATCATTATCATCCAAGTGGACAACAGATAGTTATACTTATATGTAGGGACTGATTGGGTCAAATTGTACCAATGATACTTTCTATTACCACTGACTAGTATTTTCTTATTACTAGTCAGTTAGTTGAGATATGAAGATGGGCATATTGTAATATGAAAAAGAAATTTATAAAAATGTTAAACAGTGTTATTAATATGTGTGCAAGACTGTTATCGTTATGAAACATTGTTTTACAAACTTCTAAACATGCCACCTTACCCTAAACCTTCATGCTGGCCAGGAGCCAAAACTGATGCAAAATTTTTGTTTCCTCCCTCTCTACTTATAAAAATCTGCAACAGAAGTAAATAAACCATATAATATGTTTTATAAACCGCAGTTCAGAATGGGCATAAACAATAAACATCATTCCAGTTAAAAGGGAAAACCAGAGGTTTTTGCTAGAAGGCTTCTAACACTATCTTTGAAGTAATATACATATAAAGTAACAAGTGAAACTAGAAAGTAAGTTCTGTACTTCAGTTTTCTCTTATCTGAACAAAGCTCGGGCCTCTATTTCATCATGCACATAGCAATTGATACTGATAGAATTAAAAAGCTCAAATACACAATTCAATTATCTTTGATTAACTTATTTCTATTTCTTCTTGCACAAAAGCACACTGGCTCCTAAATCATCTGTTTGCCTTTTTACACGATTAATTTGTGATCCTTATCAATATTATCATAAATTAAAAAAATAATACTTGTTAAAAATCAATCAATTCCCACCACTATTTCAACTTCTATATTTCTGCCCATCAGCCCCGAACCCTTGATATAAGGGTCTCACAATCTCATTGACCAACTCAACCACTAGTTAACCATACCACAGCTAAAATTTTGTATTTATATTTTAAAATACATTTAAACTATTATCCTTAATCTTGTGAATTATAATTTTAAATAATTCATTTCAAAAGATACATGCTGAGCACATTAATGACAATCAGGGGAATAAATCCCACAATTAGAGAAGAATATAGCACATCAATAGGAAGTGGGAAAACAGGAGGACTCACAGAGAACTGATTGGCCATGACAGGTGACGCTTCACATAAGCTAGGAATAATTTGCCATTGTCGGAACTCACCTCTAAATCCTCTTGATATGCTGCCACTCCTGCTTAACGATAAATGGTGATGTTTAAATCAATACAATGAAGAAAAAGATTGTTTGTCTAAAGCCAAATGGATAAACCCATTTGTAAAGAATGGTATACAGGATTAGAAAGTCAGGCAATTAATCGGAAGCTTTCAATTGGATCAAATCATACCCCATCCCTCCAAGTGGAACTCCTTGAGATGCAGATGGCTTGCAACTTTCGCGAGTGAAAGGATCAATAGGTGCTTTCTGCAGAAATCACACCAAGAAAAGGAATGCTAAGTTTCAACTTACTAATCTAATGTACCCACCACACACAATTAAAGATCAATGAATGACCAAAAAAACAAATTGAAATATACCCTTCCATGAGAAGCCTCTTCCCTAACATATGACCAAATGCGTATCCCTAATCGAACCTGGAATTTAAGAACACCATGGACAATCAGATTAGATAGAGGGAGAGATGCAAAATAAAAATAAAAAAACTAACTACATAAATAAGAATACGCTAAGGAATTCCATATATTAAACCAGTGAGTCCACGTTATTAGTTGTAGTTCCGGAATGAGAGAGGGAGGGAGGAAAAAACACACTCGCCATTTTTATAGCTTCCATAAAAGTTACTCTGAATTCTTTAAGAAGATTTGCATGGCTGTTTAATCTCCTTCTCCATGCTTGCTCAGGGGGAGCAGAACTATCATAATCAAACTGCAAAAACCATGCCAGGGACACGGATTACGTTCAAATGAGATCAACTATCACTATCAATAACATGTGAATGTAGCACCATGTAATCAACTATCAACAACAGACGTGAATGTGGCACCAGCAGTTGGCTGAGCGACCATTTTAGTTTAGTTCACACTCTTTTCTTCCTTTTTCGTCGTTTGATAGTATCAGGTAGATCGTCTTTTTCACAAAGAACCACAAAATTCAAAGCTAAATAACACGCTAACGCAAAATTTCCAGATAAAGCATCATGCGAAAACCAGGACGCAAATTCATAAAACAACAAAGAGCAACTTAATCAATTAATAAATAAATAAAACAGTATAGAGTTTCCAAATGAATTCTATCAGCAAATAAATAAATCAATAAATAATTACTACCATGTCGTTCAGCTGAGTAATATAATTCTTTTAATTTACACTTTACTTCATTATTTTTTTTCTTTAGTTTAATTGTAACAGGTAAACCGTTCGTGTTTTCCGCCAAACATAAGCATTCAGACTTTAAAATTAAAATCACATGCAAACGCAAAAAACTCAGATATCACAAAAGTGCGGCATCATCAGAAGACAGAAAGCCAATTCACCAAAGACGGAGAGCAACTTAATAAGAACAATAAAAAAAGACGCTATCGAATTTCCAAAATGAATTAAGTTATCAACAAAAGCAAAATCAAACCATGTCAATCAGCTTCAGAAGAATCCGATATTCCAAATATGACAAATAATATATACAAAAAAAAAATGAATTATATACCAGCTGCAGAGTGGATTTACTAATATACTCTCCCGGAGGCCATGAATTCTTTCTGCAATGAAAAATGTTGCCACTAACCATGCTTCCACAACACACAACTCTTTCGGAACAACGAGAGATATCAAACGAGAAGAATAAACAAACTTGCACTTCAGTTCTCCTAAATCTCGCTCACAAAGCGAGGATAAACAAAAAAATAAAAAACGTGTGTATGTGTGTTTGAAGTTGGAGTGAAATAGTCACGAATGAGATCGAATATCTCGTGATTGATCGGAGAAATTGATGATCGAATATCACGTGATTCTTTGGGGAGATTCTATTCGGAGTTGAGCGCAGCGCATCAGAGCGAATGATGCGTGGCGAGAGGAGATACCGCCGCCTGTTCCGCCGAGTCCGCAAATCGCTCTTTGGAAATCTAACTCGGATCCACAGTGGAGCAAGAAAAGAGAGAGAGAGAGAGAAAAGGTTTGAATGGAAAAATAAAATAGCATGCCATGTTCTGGTGGCCACTCTTTAATTGTTTTTTATTTTTTTTTCTCTCTCATAATAATTATGATTGAAATTTTGCGTTCGTAAAGTAAAAGTGTGTTTATATATTTGGTGGTGAGCAACTTTCGTTTGGATTAGAAATGTAAATAAATGGCCATTGCAATTTGTCGGTCTCTTTCGCTTGATCGCTTTTAAATAACGGTCCACCTTGATGTCGATCTCGTAGACTATATTTTTAGAATTTTTCTTCTTCGATTATTTAATCATTTAATGTAAAAAGTAAATAAAATAACATTTACTAGCTTCTTAAAATAAATAGATAAAATAATATGTCCTCTGTTTGGACACATGTTTTTAACACAGTTTATACCATGTTAATGACGCTGTTCTAACGTCAAACGCCCGCGTCTGAGCGATTATTTCAATTGTACAAACAAACACCGAGGGGGTCAAGGAGAGTTGTTACATTCTTTTCGTCCCGGAGGAACGCAAACCACAAATTTACAATTTGTTCTTACACGTATTTTAACTTGCGAGGGGTATTATATTACAAAATTTTTGATAAATAATTTGTATATATGATAAAATAATCTATTATAATTATATTTTAGAATCTGAAATTAATTTGCATTTATAAAGTATATTCTTTCTGTCGTGTATATAAAAAACAAAATGTTAGTTAATGTTATTTGACAATATCATAAATTTAAACATGTGTTACATAACAAATTAAAATACTAACTGAAAATTAAAAAAGTATATGTTGCTGGTAATAGAATATCGTTCAGTTACTAAAACTGTTTGATAGAATTATTTATTAAAGTAAATGAATGATATATATATATATATATATATATATATATATATATATATATATATATATATATATATATGAGAGATGTTTTATATAAATTTTAATTTTATTTTATTAATAACCAAAATTTATAATTTTCAATTTTAATTGCCTAAACTTTTGTATTATAACTATTTATAAAAAAAAACTTTTCAATTATTTTTTTAGTGAATAATATCATTAATCTTTTATCTTTAAATATATCCAATCAATATTAAAAATCATAATTTTTAAGTAGAATAATTAAAAGAATGTAATGTAATGTACATAAATTACGAAGGAAAATGATCTTCCTCGTATTTTTAGTTTATATATATATATATATATATATATATATATATATATATATATATATTATACCCATTTTTATTTTTACTAAATAGTATTTATTTAAAATAATTAACTTGATTTTCATAATTCATATTTTACTTACAAAAAATAAAAATATAAAGAAGTATATCTTATTTCTTATAAATACAATGGATGTGTTTGTTTATTAAAAAATATTTAGATTTGAATGCTTATTTTATTTTAAAATTAAAATAAATATGAGCTTTATTAATATGAGAAAAATAAATAGAATTTCGATACATTTTAAATTTGAATGTTGAAATAATAACATAAATATTGCAAAAATACAATGATAATTTAACTAAATGCTAAAAATACCATAAATAAATATTAAAATAAATAATATATCTATTTTTATCAATATCTTAAATATAGAACAACGAATCTTATCTACGTAAAACAATAATAAAATGGTACTTATGAGTGGAAATTTAATAATACAAGGAAAACAAAAAATAAATTGTAATAATATATTACCTAATATAAAAATAGTAAGAATGATATTAACTAATTTAAATTACAAAAAAGTATAAACTAAAAGCTAACACTGACAAAATTTAATCAAAGTAGTGGTTTAAAAAAAAAAAATCTAGAAACTGCTATTAAAAAATTTGTTATAAAAAACTGTAGAAAAGGTCAAGCAAGGTTATATAGTAACATAATTGTTTTCTATACATCCAAAAAAAAAATGATAAAATATTACAAATACATTCACCTACATGGAGAATGTGAAGTATCTCTATATTTTATTGCCATTTATAGATAATATATGATTAAAATTTATATTAACAAGTTATTACAGTATGGGTGTCCCTTAAGTAAAATTTTGAATTTTCTTATATAAATTAATCATCGGGATAATTCATATAATAATATAATTAGCAAAAACTATTATTTAAATTAATTCCAATTAATGAATTACTATTTTAATATAGTTTCACACTCCACATATTTCACTCAAAGGATATATAATTTGGGATAAAAAGTAAAAATAGATAATGATTAATAAGCATAAGAAAATGTATCTCTTAAAAAAAATATAATATTTAATTTAAGTTATTAAGTACCCTCTCTAGTTAATAATTTGGTTTGAATTAGAAAATAAATATTTTTACATATGTATGTAAGGAAGAAAATTACGTCAGAAAAAAAAACTTAAATAGATTCCAAAACGTATAAAATGATCAGATATAGTTTCATAATCAAAACCATAAAAAGAAAAATTATTTTTTATTTCATTAACATATATTTATATCATTTTTTTTTTCATCCAAATTAAGAAGAGAAATCTTAAATTTTTAAAAGTTAAAAGCTCTTTTTCATTTGAACATAAGATTACTTTTCAATTCTTTCAAATTTAAATTTTGAATTAGTTTTACATTTAAATTAAATTAGATTAACGTCTTTTACCTCATGAAGCATGACGTCTTTTCTCTCTCGTCAGATCCTTTTGCTGTGAGTACATTATTTTCATATCATGTACGTTTATTCCCTCGTGATTTTGGTGGAAATAGTTAATCTCCTCCGCTGCTCATTCGTTTCCTTTAGGAAAAAACTTGTCTTTTTTTTTTTAATCCATGGATTCTTCCAAAATTATTTTTATATTTCAGATAAATTTATAAAGTTATAAATTTAGGTAGGTGGGTTTGAACTTAGACTTTGTCATATAGAATCTCTTATGAAATTATGTAGATAAATTATAAAATTTAAAAGCACGTGATACAATGAAATAAAGTAAAAAAAGAAGAAGGTAAAAACACGTTTAGACAAACTATTTCCTAACCACCTATGAAATATAAAATAAAAAAGAAAAAAAAAATCATAAACTAAAATTTAAACCGTGTGAACTTTAGGAGAAACGATCTGTTGAAAATTGACAGCTACGTTGGACAGTTTTTACTAAGGAAACTCATTTGCCTACTTCGGAAGAAAACTCAATTTCAAAGTTGCATTCAAGAAAGAGTAAAAAACTAGACAACCCATGACTTCTACGTGAATATTCATATCAAATATAGTTTGGTGAGATGGAAAAATAAATTACCAAATTCAAATAAAGTCTGTTAAATTGAAACAATCATGATCATGCACTTGAGATTTTTAAGGGTGAGTTTGCTTCCCGTATTACTTGTTCATTCATGTACATTTTCAACAGTCCTTAATGTTCGATTGAGATTTTTAGGCTCATAGAAGACGCATCAGCCATACTTTACCACCACAATTGTTATTCCCTTTTGCTCAATTGACAAGACGAATCAGTGTGGATACATCAACTCCTGTTACTTGATTTAAACTACAGTGAAGCTTTTATTTACAGGAAAACAATCTGGAATCTGAAACTTTGTTACTGGCAATTCCAAATCCCGATTATACTATTATACAAACACTTGCAACATTTTAAAATAGTCGATGACAATATTGAGCCATATTTATATATTTATTTTAACCTTTATAGGATTATGTTTGGAGTGACCTTCAAGCATGCTTATAGGTCATTACCATCGATAATGACAATTAACATGACACCATATACATTTATACTGAATTCCAATCCAAGTTCTTTTGAAAATCATTAGAACCATTAACTTCAATTTCCTTTTCAAATAACTGAGGCACAGAACATTTTCAGCATATGCCTTAAAGTGAACCAATTATATTTAAGCGAAAATAACTACATACTTTGAGTGGCTTTCTTGTCTACACGGAGTAAAAGGTTTTAAGAGTACATTGGTATCAATGCTAACCCCGGGAAACAGTACAAAATTCCTCTCAAACACACGTAAAATGTCTAAATCAATGCCAATCTATTATTCCCCCGAGTGTGGTGGATCCCACCCCCTCCCATACTTCATTGAAGCCCAATTCCTCATTATCAACACCTTCCATTTCGTAATCCCACCAACCACGGCCATTAGCATCTGGTCATAGAAAAATGTAATAATAATGTCTAAGAATTCAAACCCGTAGTCTAAAACACAATATGTGTAAGCAATCATACAGTGATTATAAGGAGGCCTGGGCCTTTTGTTGCTAGATTCATTCTCAATTTGTCTTTTTGGCTTCAACTTTGATTCGCCTCCAAGAACTACCACATGCTTTCGTGCAGTTTGGCTCTCATTTCCACCTATGATAAAAATGGCATGAAATGAAAACCAAAACCTTGGCAGAAAAGGTCCTGCATGCCTTTATATTGATTCAGATTTCTAGAGTATCTGATCTTTCTTTCAATTAACCTTATAATCATCTTTATGTTGGCAGTTTTTCAAAGAACCGTAAACAGTGAAAAAATTATTGTCTTATTTTTTGTTTCTGTCCATTCAATCTCAAATATTCGCAGTAAATGGCTTCTGAATATATTTTCAGGCAAGCTATTACATTCACAGCAATTATCCAATAACAGAAGCATTCTGAGGGTGAAAAGTGAAAACAACTTTGATTTAAAAGTTATGGTCAAAATCATAAATCATATCTGCAACCAAGGCAAAGAAGCTAGTTTCCAAATCTTCTATAGGAGTTTTACCACGAATCACAACACCAAGCTAGCCACAGCAAAAAGGTTTTACACAGTTGACTCTGTATACAGTATAGACAACCATCTTTTGTTTCACTTCTATTGATGTGTTCAAGGCGAAAAAATATTTAATAGATGTAAAATATTTTGCATTTAAACAAAAATATCCTTTTATCTCATTACTTGTTCTGATAAATTACTATTATAGCAATTTTAAATATGGATATTGGTGGAAAATAATAATTTATGATAATATGAAAAATATCATTAGTTTTGACGAAAGAAATGGAGAGAATAAAACATCAATACATAAGTAACAAATGCTGTAATTCATAAATATTATGTCGAATAGGGTTGTCAACCATGAAAAAATCTTGTCAAAGTCCCAATTAAAAGTAATGCAAGGTTAGGCTCCCAATTCTCATCAAATTCAGGCCGAACAAACAGAAAGCTCAAGTCATACTACAGTTCCCAAACGAAAGCTCATGACTCAAGCAAGGAGGAAAATGACGAAATCAGAGACCCAATTCTACTTGATTTTTCAAAGATGGATTTAAATAGGTTGTTAGCAAAGATTTCAAGCAAAATAGACTGAACCGAACTTTTTTATGTCATCAATGCATGCTTCTAGGCAAAGAAGCTAATGTGCAACTATTATTCAGGAAAGGGTCTCGCAAATAATACTGTAATTAGAATACTGGTTTGAAAATTCCAATCAGGATATGAATAACATGTAAAATAGCAAATGTAAGAGTATTGAAAGATCAACTTTTTAAATAAATCTTTTTACTATAGATATGGCTTTCAGGTAGTGGATATTCTGCACAGAAGAAAGGAACATAAAAAAACAAAGTAAATGTAAAACGCTAATTTTAACTTTTAAGAACCCCAAAAGGTCAAATTTGTTAGTACAGGGAGGCAAACCTTCAAACGGGGTTTTCCTTTTCTTTGACTCTTGAATGTTATCCACAACTGAGTTTTCTAATTCACCAACACCAATTTGACTGACAAAGTCTCTCTTGTCCTCTTGAGTGTGCTTGAAGCTTTCAAAAATCACCTTACCATCACTTCCACTGTTTTTCTCCTCTTCAACTTCTTTGACAGTTCCACCTTCCTCACCTCTTCTTAAACGCAAAGGTGACAGAAAAGGCGTCGATTTCCCCTTTTTAAAAAAAAAAAAAAAAAAAAACAAGAACAGAGAATTTCATCAGAAAAATTAACACTTTTTTTCTTTTTCTATTTTTAAATTGGAGAAAACAAGCAAATTATCATTTTTTAATTATTTTTACGAAATCGCATCTTCTATGTTCAAGTTATACGCGGTGGACGTCTCCCTCTTTGGTATCAAACACGGTTACATATTCAAAACTTAAATTCTACATCATTGGTTGAACTCGAACTAGGTACAATTTATCCAGTAATTGCTGTGTGGTTCATAATAACTAATTGATGGCATAACTTTACCATTTAATTTTAATAAACGGATATAAAATTATTAAAATGATAGAAAATTACCGGAACCGTTTGAGGAAGATGGGGAGATTTTTGCTGCTTGGAGGAGAGGAAGTTTGAAAGCGAAGAATGCGCGATGTCGCTCTTGCGTGAAGTTTGATTTCTCACGCTTCCTTCAGAACTGGTTCCAGCAAAAATGCTTTATCACAAATTAATCAAAATTTTTTAAAGTTTAGGAAAGAAACAGATGTGACTCACGGAGGATTGCGTGGTGGGAGATTGCGGAACGTTGAAGCAATGGTTCGTTGCCCGAAAGCCCTAATCGTCGTTTGTTTTTTTGAGTTCATCGCATTCGTGAAAATGCCCAGAATACGGGAATTTCAATTTGTTGTCTTATTTTTTTCTTCTTTTATTTCAAATGAACAAATCGAAGACTCGTGAAAGTTTTTCCGGGAAAGAGGTAAAACTCAAAATTCTTTCTTTCCGCGCCAAAAATAAATAATTGACTTCAGTTGGATTGATTTTAAGAAGATAAATAATTCTATTCAATTCTTTTAACATTTTAACCTTTTCTTTCATCATTAAAAAAATTTATTTTAGAATTAAAATTATTTTTTTGTTTTAGATTTATTTTTTTATGAAAAATATGAAACAAATAATAACTCCTAATCTGTTCATGTTCAACTATACAAATTTTGTTAACCATATATTCAACTTTAGTAGGATTACGCCGAAGAAAATTCTTACATTTGTCTAATAAAATATTAAATATAATTAAAAATATAAAATATCTTATTTATAAGCCCTTTATAAATAATAACAAAATATTTTTCAAATATAAATTTTTGAAAATAAATTTACACGACTTAACAATTACATTGATATATTCAAATAATATATATATATATATATATATATATATATATATATATATATATTAAATGGGTCAATTTAAAAATGAATTAAAATAAATCTAAATTTGATTAAAAGTTTAATCTTTTTTTTATGTGTTTGTTGGAAGTGTGAGACACTTATTAGTCGGTAGGTACCCTCTATCCTTAACCAAAAAGAACATGATATGTACACAGAGTTATCTCTTTAGATTTCACCGACATTATTCGAAATCGAGTACGGTAGTTTAAGTTAGAAACTTGTTTGTTTGAATGTTAACTTTAGTGTAATTTTATAACTTTAACTCAATCAAATACAACGGTTTATTTTTAGTTCATTTAATCGTTGTTAAGTGGTTTAATTAACACACAAAAATGTTTATTTTGTAACTAAATAAAACGCCGTTGACGTTTGAACAGAAATAACATTTTATTGTTTTATTTTATTATATCTTTTTGCTAGACATCAACAACCACATGCATGGCCATTGCCGGGTTAAAGAATTTTTGGAAATCAAGTTGGGTTGTTCTTCTCTGAAAAGTCAACACGAGCAGTGCATAACATGTATGAGTTAAATATTCAATAGTGGCATCAATAAACAAATGAACAAACTTCATGCTTTTGCATCTATGTATATTTTTTACCTATACCTTTCCATTAATCTGTAACAATTAAAAAATTAAAATCTTTATATTTAATGTAGTTCACGATTTTAAAAGCTATTTATCATATTACATGGATTAATGAACTTTCATAAAAAAAAAAAATTGCATATAATATTGACCTAGCGTGTACTATTTATTGATACAGGAAAACCAAACACGCGTAAGCTTTTGTTTTTATCACATGTGCATTGCAATTTGCACAGGCTTTTTGGTAATCCAGTGTCGGTTAAATACGATGACTTTAGAGTGTAGGTTTCTGGAATTTTTATAAAGCCAAACCGTTCCCTGTTTTAAACATTTTTAAATCACTTCATATTCATAATCAAGTTGGAAATGAATTCTAAATTGTTTCGCAAATATAATTTTATAATGATAAGTTTTATCATAGAATATTTTCATAAAGTAATTTGGAATGTGTTATTTTAAAACTCAATAATATATTTTGAATGTTATTTTCTGTAAAGTGTGAAAAAATATATATATAAAAAAAATATTTTCACCATTAACGGGAAAGTGTAGGAAGAAATGTGAGGTGGAAAAAGCGATTATCCAAACTTCAACGTTTGTTGGCTACTGAAATATTTGAAAATTATGCTCATGGCACGATAATCAACTTTTGCTAAGAAACAAGTAACAGTAACATTTGTTAAGCAATGTGAATAAACAAGATGTTAGAGGGTTGAATTTATTTGTCAAGAGAAAAATTGATGTTTGGTATTTTCATTTGCAGCAATGAATCCACAAAGTGAAATGCTTGCTATGAAGTGAGGAAAATTTGTCAAGTGTAGACCAGTTAACATTTGAATAAATGGCTTTTACTCATTTTCAGCTTATATGAATGATGCTGCTTCTACACTATGGTTTTCTTCTATACAACAATGGCAATAACTTGAGCAATTATTTTCATCTTTCTTTCGTATTTGCATGCATTAATGTACAAGGAAAAGGGTAAGTTTCATCGATTGCCAATGTTATGTTTCCTTTTGGGAAGTGCAGCTGACATGTTGCGAAGTCTATTTTTAATATCTGTGAAGGTTGGTCTGGCTGCAGGATCAGGACTCCAGCACTCTTCCATCAGTTTTTTCCACTCGGGATCACATCGTTTTGGAATAGGAGGCCTGAGCGTATTATTGACAATACCTCCTTCATTAAATAATTAGTAGTAAACAAACTCATCATCAGAATTCAAACAAAGTTTATTTCTGTTCAAATTGATAATGGGGATGATGCAGTATGCTATGGTCATTCATAATTTGGAACATGTTATCACACCTAAGTTCACGCATGCATTACAAGTATCTGGCTCTGGCTAACTAAGTTACCTAAAATATGCCAGAAACAATAGCATTACAAGTCTTGGAGTTGATACAAGTTCAATAGCATGGCATTTCTTTCTCTTAGACAAGAATATGTTTAAAGGCTAAACTGCAAAGATACAGTTAGAATTAGAAAATATTCTGGTAGTGTTATATGTACAGATTAGTGTTAATTGTTTCTTTGTAACCGTAAGTTTGTTATGATTATGTGGCTGATATCACGTATTGTAATCTGTATATTAACTTTGTCTCACTCACAAAGTAAATAAGGAAAATCATTTTCTAATTCCAAACTGATTGAAGCTCTTTGTTTTCTTTCTCTCTTGATCTTGGTTACCATTCTTTCACGATTTGCTGTTCTAAGCTTTTTGCCATGGAAATTTCCTTTTTCACATGATATCAAAAGCTCTGATGCTGCGGAAAACTCTGATTCTCCATTCTCTGCCTATTCTTTCTCTTTCTTCATGGCAAATATGAATTTAACCCTAAATTCTCTCAATGATCCAACTAGTGCATATTATATGCATCTTAACGAAAGTCCAGGAGCTGTTCATGTTTATGCTCAATTAGTTGGAACTAACTAACATTCCTGGTCACGTGCAATGATTATGCATTCAAGTCCAAAACAAATTATAATTTATGGATGGATCGATGTTCGCTGCTTGGGACAGATGCAACACATTAGTTTTATCATGGATAACTCATTTTTTGGATCAATCTATTGTGCAAAGCGTAATGTGGCTTGAGACTGCTTTTAAGGTATAGACTGATCTTAAAGAACGTTTTTATCAAGGAGATATGTTTGGAATATGCGAATTGCAAGAAGAATTATATTTTGCTAAACAAGAAAGTTTATCTGTTAGTGCCTACTTCACACAATTGAAGGGATCGTGGCAGGAATTGGACAATTTCAGACCAATTCTTCCCTGTTTATGTCAGATACAATGTTCATGTTCATTGATTCCCACTATTAGATCCTATAGAGAATATGATTATGTGATTAGATTTTTAAAAGGATTGAATGACCAATATGCTGCTATTAGATCTCAAATTATGTCCAAGTATCAACAAGGTTTTTTCAATGCTTGTGCAACAAGAGAGACAAATGAATGTTATTTCTGATGATGTGAAAGTCTTAGCTAATACTACTGAATATTCAGTCAACAGAGGCAATTTCGATAATAATTCTGGTAAAGGAAAGAATTATAGAGGCAGAGGAAATTTTAATTCATCAGGAAGAGGTAGAGGATATTTAGACAGAGGTCAATCTTCAAAAGTCTGCACCTATTGCAACAGGAATTGTCACACTGAGGATGTGTGCTACAAGAAACATGGTTTTCCTACCAATTACTTCAAAAATTCCAATAGTGCAGTGAATAATAATTACTCAGGAAATAATGATGATGACAATGCAGATAAGTTGTCATAAAAGGAAACTCAAGAGGAATCCAATCTGTTTTTCACTCCTGATCAACATAAAGCTATTTTAGCAATGCTCAAACAATCATCAAATTCATAGTCAATGCATAGCACAAACCAAATAACCACATTAAATACATCAACCAAAAACCACTCAGCTTCAGGTAACCTACATGATTTGTGATGCTTAGTCAAAACCAACACATGGATACTTGACACAGGAGCTACAGACCATGTTTGTTACTCCTTGTCAGAGTTTCAATCCTTTAGAAAAATCCAACCTATTTCAGTAAAGCTACCAAATGGTAGTGAGGTTATTACTCAAATTGCAGACACTGTAATGTTTTCCAATCAATTCTATTTGTCTAATGTCCTTTACATACCTAGTTTTAACTTCAACCTAATATCAGTATCCAAACTAACCAAATTTCTCCATTTGTAAAATGATTTTTTCTGATTTGACTTGTTCTATACAGGATCTCCTTACATTGAGGATTATTGGTGTAGCTGAGCTCAAAGGGGCCTTGTATGCTTTGAAATCCAAGGGTTTAACCACTTCATATACTCCTGATATATACCATACTACTCATAATACACATACGGCTCAATCTGTTTCTGATATTTCTAATATGAAACTTTAGCATAGAAGACTTGGACATCCATCTCATGATAAGCTTTTAGTAATAAGTATTAATTTTCCTTTCATTTCCTGTACAGAACAAAAGTTAAAAGATGCTTGTGATGTATGTCATTTTGCAAAGCACAAGAAATTACCTTTTCCTTGCAATAGTGATCATGCTTCTCATGCTTTTAACATAATAAAGGTAGACATTTGGGGTCCTATTTCTATTCCTTCTACTTTAGGACATAGATATTTTTTTTTACTATTGTTGATGATTTTACAAGACACACATGGATATACTTTATAAAAGTGAAATCTAAAGTTCCAAAATTAATTGAATTTTTTAGCAATCACATTGAAACACAATTTGGTACAAATCTGAAATGCATAAGATCTGACAATGGACCTGAGTTTAAACTTACTGCTTTCTTTAATTCTAAAGGGATTCTTCACCAAACTTCTTGTGTTGAGACACCTCAACAAAATGGTACTGTTGAACGGAAACATCAACATATTTTGGAAGTGTCTAGGGCCTTACTGTTTCAATCTTCTTTACCTAAGTGTTTTTGGAATTTTGCTGTAGCCCATGCTACATATTTGATCAATAGACAACCCTCAAAATTACTTGATAATAAATCACCATATCAATTACTCTATAATCAAAATCCAAATATTGTTGACTTGAAGGTTTTTGGATGTTTATGTTTTGCTGCTACTTTAACTGCTAATAGAAAGAAACTTGATCCTAGGTCAAGAAAATAATTTCTTGGATTTAAGTCTGGGACAAAAGGATACATCATGTTTGATTTAAAAAGCAAAGAAACCTTTATATCAAAAAATGTTAGTTTTTATGAACATATGTTTCCTTTTGCTCACAGTACTCATACTACTAATCATGATAAATGTTCAAGTTCTACTTTGCCTATAATACCTTTTTCTGAACTTGATCAATTTCTCAACTATCCAGAATCTCATTCTAACTCAGAACCGCATAATGTATTATCTCCACCTCATATCTCTATAACCAATCATGATGAACTCAATTCTTCACATTCATCCACCTCTTCTGATTCCAATCATAATATAGAACCTGATCCTATGCATAATATAAAACCTGAACCCGCACTTAGAAGATCCAATAGAGTTTATCAGCCCCCCAAATACCTAAAAGATTTTCATTGTCAACTAGCTTCAACAAGAGTTTCAGCTGCATCAACAGAATCAAACGTCAAGTATCCTCTCTCACATTGCCTATCATATGATAAACTTTCTTCTTCCCATAAATCATTTACTTTAGCCATATTTAATATTTCTGAACCAAAGATCTATGCTGAGGCTGTGAATGATGAGTGTTGGAGAAAAGCTATTGATGCTGAACTGTTGGCTTTAGAGAAAAACAAGACATGGAAACTCATAGTTTTACCACAGAATAAGAAGACTATAGGGTGCAAGTGGGTATTTAAAGTGAAACATCATGCAAATGACACTATTGAAAGATATAAAGCAAGATTGGTCGCTAAGGGGTACACTCAAACAGCAGGACTTGATTATCTTGAAACATTCAGTCCTTTTGTTAAGATGACAATGGTGAGAGTGCTTCTCACCTTAGCAGCATCCTTCAATTGGCATCTTCACCAATTAGATGTCAATACAACCTTCTTACATGGAGATTTGCCAGAAGAAGTATATATGCTACCTCCTCCTGGACTTGTTCTTCATGATTAGACATTGGTTTGCAAATTAGAAAAGTCATTATATGGCTTAAAGCAGGTAAGCAAGCAGTGGAATGCTAAGCTGACAACAATATTTTTGTCCTGTGGTTACATTCAGTCAAGAGCAGATTATTCTCTTTTTATAAAATCTGAATCTGATGCATTTACTGCAATTCTTATGTATGTTGATGATTTAGTCTTGGCTGGAACCTCTCTAGTTGAGATTAATCATATGAAACATGTTCTTATTAAGGATTTAGGTCAACTGAAATATTTTTTAGGTATGGAGGTTGCTAGATCCTCAGAGGGGATTTCTCTGCGTCAAAGAAAATATGCACTTGACTTGTTACAAGATTTTGGTTTACTTGCATCTAAACCTGTGTCTACACCAATGGACAACAATGCTAAATTGTCCTGAACATCAGGTTCTTCTTATCCTAATGTAACTGGCTATAGGAAAATCATTGGAAGATTGATTTATCTAACCCACACACGTCCTGATTTATCCTATGCAGTGGGGCACTTGAGTTAATTTCTAGACAAGCCATCAACTCTTCACTATCAGACAACCTTGAGAGTTCTCAAATATTTGAAAAATGAACCTAGCAAAGGTTTATTTTTTCCAGCTTGTTCAGATTTGGCTCTTAAAGGTTTTAGTGATTCTGACTGGGGTCTTGCCTTGATACCAGAAGGTCTATAACTGGATTTTGTTTCTTTCTAGGCCAATCACTCATATCTTGGAAGAGCAAGATGCAGAGAACAATTTCAAGGTCTTCAACTGAAGCTGAATATAGAGCTTTAGCCTTGACAAGATATGAAGCTCAATGGTTGACATATTTGATGGCTGATTTCAAGATTAATTGTGCTCCAATAGCTTTATTTTGTGACAATCAATCAGTCCTTCATATTGCAGCTAATCTCGTTTATTATGAAAGGACCAAACACATAGAAATTTATTGTCAATTTATTCGAGAAAAGGTGCAGAATGAAATTGTACATCTTCTTCCTGTCAAAAGTATTCAACAATTGACAGATGTTTTCACAAAAACCTTGGCTGCTGGTCCTTTCATTTGAATATTTCCAAGTTTGGAATGTGTAATATACACCTTCCAGCAGCTTGAGGGGGCTGTTAGAATTAGAAAATATTCAGTTACTGTTATATGCACAAATTAGTGTTAGTTGTTTCTTTGTAACCGTAAGTTTGTTATGATTATGTGGCTGAGATCACATCTTGTAATTTGTATATTAACTTTGTCTCACTCACAAAGTAAATAAGGAAAATCATTTTCTAATTTCAAACTGATTAAAGCTCTTTGTTTTCACTCTCTCTTGATCTTGGTTACCATTCTTTCACGATTTGCTGTTCTAAGCTTTTTGCCATGGAGATTTTCTTTTTCACAGATACACTACAGTTGCCTGTAATAACTTCCATATCCATCATAGAAAGGATCACTGCTACTGGAGGTTTTAGTTATGTATAACAAAACCTTACCTATGATAGCGCCACAGTGCATGTTAGCATATGGTTCTTCCCCAGTCAAGATTTCCCACATTGCAATGCCAAATGAGAAAATATCAACCTACAGGAAACAATTTGTTCACCAACAAGTGCTTGGTCAATATCAAAGTAAACAAGACAGAAAGACAGTGAAGTTCCTAACCTTCTCAGATACCCTACAGCTGTTACCATCCAGTAATTCAGGTGCCATCCATGGAAGGGTTCCTCGGACACCACCCGAAACAAGTGTATTACGTTTTATTCTGGATAGGCCAAAATCTCCAACCTATAGATGAGACATCCACCAAGGAGGTTATTCCAATAATTTGTCTTTCAACAAATTTCTAGAGGGAAAAATGAAAGATATTCCGAAAATATATTTTACTAAACAGATATAAAAAGAAAAGCTAATAATCAGTACCGAAGTTACAAGTTAGATAAGAATTGGGATTAAATGTAATTGGTAGAACCGACTTTAACAAGTAATATAAGACAATAAAATGTATCCTTTCTCATGATAACAAATGCTCAGGGCATAACTAGTTTAAAATCTCAGAAGTCAGAAAAAAAATTAAGTTTTCTTTTTCTCAAAATACCTTGCATACAGGTCGTTCAGGATCACCCAGATTAACAAGTAAATTATCACACTTCAGATCAAAATGAACAATATTTTTCAAATGCAGATACTCCATCCCAAAGGCTGCATCCATTGTGATCAGGAGCCTTTTACGACGATCAAGCACTCTGCACAATGTATAATTTAATAAGAGTGATAAATCGCAAATGTAGTTAACAGTTAGCAAGTTAGATACTTAGGCTAGCTCACTTTTCCCTCTTCATAAGCACATTCCTCAGTGATCCATGCACCATGTATTCTGTTACTGTTGCCAATGTTCCACCAGGGCCATCTGGAACTACCCCATAAAAGGCCACCACATTTGGATGGTGAAGAGTTGACAGAATCTGTGCCTCTCTCCAAAAATCTTTAATCTGGAGAAACAGATGCAGCAAGGATATAGCTGAGAAACATTGTCAAACAAGAGGCTTTTATGTGAATATGCATTAACGGTCAGTTAGAAACAATTCTCCAAATCAATGGAATTTAATTCCTCATTCACCATGAAAGTGTTTTTCAATGTATAACTTTATACGGGCAATGGTATTAACATAACTTTGAGAGGTAAACTAAATAAATAATTCTAGCAAATTCAATTAGTTTATCATTTATGGGACCTACCAACCGCTCTTGCTCTGACAATCTACCAGCAAAACAACTACTTTTTATTCTCTTAATGGCAACATCTGTTCCCCTCCACTTTCCATGATAAACTGTCCCAAAGGTTCCAGATCCTAATTCTTGCAGTTCTTCAAGATCATCATTCTCAATATTCTGCATTTTTACATATGAAGAACTAGTTTAAACACACATGCTTGGGGTTTTTAATCTGCATTGTTCTAATACTATTAAAATAGATTCAAGGAAAGGAAAGTAAAAAATAAAATAAAGAAGACAACAACTGGAGGAGAGACTGCATTACAGGAGGGATTACGCCTACCTAAATTTTCTCATTTGCAAATACCGCTACTAGTCTTCAAGTGATTAACAGAAATATTATTTATAACTATTGTCTGGTGATTCTATTTTGTAATATAGAAGATCATGAAAATATAATTTCAGAGTTTCACCCACAAACACACATATAATGATATGGCCAGACAGTTTCTGGGTTTCTAACATAATCCTGTTGGTCAGTTTGGTCAGTAGTCTCTAAATGGTCAATAAACTAGGCCAGGCCAATTTAGTTCTTCACTATAGGAAACACAGCTCCAATCTAAAAGTTTTATCAGGCAAATGGACCTTGTTCATTTAAGGCCAGCTACTTCCTTTTAAGTCCAAGACGAGGTGTTTTCCAAGCCTTAGAAAGCAATCAAGGCATGAACTCATCATTTCATGAATGAAAAGGTTGGCTATATTTTTAGCCTGATGAAAACGAGGTTCACCAACCAAATCTCAAGATAAATGAAGCTATCCAGGCTTAATTGAGGCTACGCTAGATAGGGACATTCTTTCAGACCTAAAGCACGACCTTGCAGATGATGGGTAACCTCCTTGCCAGTGCAAAAAGTTTAACAGGTTGGCTCATTCAAGTCAATATCACTTTGTACCTCTAAATCAAAGTAAAAACAGGCAAGCCTAGTATTGGTAACAGTATTCATAGGCCAAACAAAACAATAGCTTTAAGAAAACTACTTATGCTTTAAACAGATAGTAGACCATTGGCCAAGACTTAAATAACACTCTTAACTATTAAGCATCAAATTTATGAAATTCAACTTTGACAATACAATTTAGAGTGTACAACATTTATCATCATCCTTGTGTTGAAAAATTAGCAAGCAACACGTTTCATCAAAAACAGAGACGGGAAAGAAATATATATATATATATATTTTTTTTTTTTTTTTTACCATGGTAAAAAAATTGAAGACAGAAATAATAAAGTTCAACTATATACCAAACTACATAGGTTCACCTGTAAACCATAAATTTCAGTCTCTGTTTCAGCAATTACTCTATCACCGTTGAAGTTTCCACCCTCAGACTTTGCATGCTATAATTTCGACAAGAACCTCATGTCAATTTTAAAATAAGTTATCTTGAACCATCAACAGAACTTCATGTGCAGATTCTCACCTTACTTTCAGATTCTGGACTATCACATTCTATCCCTCTTTTTTCAGGAGATGTAGGTTCAACTTCAACCTTTTCATCTACATTTGAGACAACTTTTAAGCACGACTGGATGCCTGAAGAAATATAATCCATTGATCCCTTGGAAGCAGACACTGGCTTGTTGACACAAAATTCATTGATATATTCAGAAGACTGATTCTTAATGACTGTGTTTTCTTCCTTTTGGTGCAGGTAGTACGCAGGATCTTCAAGAGGGATAACAACCTCTCTCAGGGAAGAACCTATGTCCATATACTGAATTGAAATATGAAAATGCTGAGATTATTATATACAAGCTTGCAGTTGATTTGATAAAATTCAAAAGTGATGTACTTACCGAGATGGGTAATGAGGATTCTTTGTCAGTTTGGGACTTGAAAGAGCCAGGGAAAAGTGGTTGACTGTCTTTTGCCACCGGCAGAGCATATTGGCGATGCATTGATGAATTTCGGCTCCTCATGGAAAACTCAGAAGTGGTTCTGTCTAATGGTGGGACCGGTGGTTGCCCCCTCGGGTTTTTGATGGATTCTAAAGAGACAAATGATAAAGAAGATGCATTGCATTCACTGCTTTGTAAATCTGGAGATGAGCAAACACCATGCGGGGAGTAGATGTACTGTAAATGTTTAAAATCTCTGGCATTTTCTGGGGGCATAGCTCCAACATTTTTGTCAAAGAAATCATTGCTTCTTTCTGCACGTTGCAAGCTCTCTTTACCAATTTCTGATACTTTCTTAAAATTATCAGTCATTCCATAAATGGGCAAATTTTGATACTTAGTCAAGGGCTCTATCCTATCAAATATCTCTCCAGGCTGTAATGAACATTCTTCTAAAGGAGTTAATTTTGTTGATGATGGAAAATTGTCCCTCTCTACATTGAGGGGAGATTGCAAGTGGACTTTATAGTTCTCATCACTCTCGTTAAGTGTTGACTCAGAGCGTGCATGCAACATTCTGTACCGAGATCCCTCTCTGAAATCAGATTCTGACAATAAACTTGTGGACTCGTGGGGATGAGAGACAATATTGTTAAAATGATATGAGCCATCATTGGTAAGTAAAGGCCTCTCATAACGCGTATTATTTATATTACATATTGCAGAAGAGACAAAGTCATTGCATTTGTTCTGTCTATGAAGATGAAGATTCTCACCAGGCCTCCTAATCTGGTCAGACTCCATTATATATTGATTATTAGGATGATAATTCACGTGTGTAGGCCCTTGAGCAAGATTGTTATAGTATGAAACTGGATCAACATAATTGGTATTGTCTACATATAAAGCATTGTCACTTGGAACTTTTTCCGTGACAAAGCTTTCATTAATAGCATTATATGGTTTATCCATAAATAGCTGTACATTAGAATTTTGGGGATCTTTAGGCTGTACACAAACAGGAGAAAAAGGAGGCATTTGATTGAAGGACTTGCCAGCTAGGGCTGTAAAATATTGAGGACAGGGTTTTGAGAGTAGGCCTGTCAAATTTGCAGAGGTGCAATCTTTCATCTCGGAAGCAAATGCAGATGTCGATGAGTCTCTATGGAAATGCGAACTGTTGTAATCAGAGCCATTTCCAAACTGGCTAGTATGGCTTGCCAAACTCAGCCCACTGGAATTCTTTAGTGGACTTGGATCCAACATACCATTAACAGCAACAACATAATGATAATCTGCATCACTTTGCTGATTGACTATTGCTTCATTGGATCCTGGACTCTCAGATTCATTTGAAGGTATGAGAAAAATCCTCAGCCGCTGAGAGCCTCCAGCTCTTTCTAGCTCTTCATACTCCTCGATCATATGATGAAGATCCTCATTGGAACAAACAGATATAAGAGCATCAAGATCCTCTCCAGGAAGCTGGTACTTGATAGTGTGAGTTTGACTGCAGATAGCAGAAGTCTTCCTAAGAAGTTCCTCCCATGCCATGTTCTTCTTGATTGATATTATCCGTGTCTCTCCACCCACATATCTGAGCTTCCCATCATTTGGTCTTGGTAGTATTCTACCTCCAAAGCTACATAGAAACTTTATCTTCTTATAGGAAGAACCTTTTGAGAATACTGATCCATAAGGATGGTATGCATGAGGAGAGTCAATGCCGTACATAGATGGAGTGTTTGGTCCTGAATTAATTTGATCACTACCACTTTGCTCAGACAAATTACCTGATATTTGTCTACAAAATGTACCCGATGCTTGTCTAAAACCGCTATATTCAGGCTGGTATCTGTTCAAATTATTGGAATAAGTCCTGTTGTCACCTTCAGCAAAACATCCTCTGGCAAATGTAATCTCTGACAAATCCGGGAGACTATCGGAATCTGATCTCCTAAGCCCAAGAACATGCTTTAGATCCTCATAAACCATCTGATGATTATTATCTTTAATATTAACATCCAAACAGTTTGGCAGACGCAGGTCTGTGTCAGTTATGGCAGGAATTCTTCTTAAGGCAACTCGATCTCGTAAGAACTCTGCAGAAAACTCTTCACCCGTCTGTAGACATATATTGCGTCCATCATCCTCAGAAGAGACTCTGTCGCCTAAACCAAGACTCACCGCATCTATATATTGCTTTTCTAAAATGCCAGGATCCTCATTGTTCATCGTGGATTATCATATAGTTAGTTTCATATAACCACTTTTTGCACTGGAGCACTGAATTCTCGACATCTAACCACGTTTAGCCAGTGCTGGTGTTTAATTCTATTGTAAATTACCCATTACAGACACAAAGTCTAACATAATCCTTTATACTTTCACTTCAATGCCAATTTCCAGTAAACAACTTATCCAACAAAAGATTTTCCCAATCTTAAACAGTGTACAAATTTTCATTCGCTATGCACCCGTCTAAATTACCAGATTTCGAAGGTGACGTAATCACCAAATCCCTCTAAAATCAATTAAATTCAGCAGAGAAACTTGAATAATTATGATGGAGAACCAACAAACTTCCTGGGAATTCTACACAATCGTTCCATTAGCAATCATAAGAGAAACATGAATGTTCACCACCATTGATACCACCATGGTTACATGCTATTTCCTGTAGAGATATGGTCCTGAAAAGGAACCTGCCCCAGTTCCATGAAGGAACTTAAAAATTTCAACCCTGCAACAACAACAGGAACACAAACAACAAAATATAAAGTGAGCAAAGAAGGAATCAAAGGATACCCATTTCTTCTTTTCAAATTAACCCAAAAGAAATAAAAGCGTTGCATTTGCAAAATTATAATAAAAAGTGGAGCCTTTGGTCTTTACTATACAAAAAGCAATTATTTTGTGAAATGGCTACCTCTTTGTTTGCCCATGCACTGGAAATGATGTTTGAAGATTGTTGAAATAAGAATGCAAGGTTTTGGGGTAGGGTTGGAGGAACCCAAAAGAGAAAAATGGGAGTTGAAGCTTTGTTTTTGATAGGAGGAGAGAGAAAGTTGGTTTGTGAGGCCAGAGAATAAGAGAGAGAGGAAGAGGAAAACGTTCCATGATGCTCGGAGTTTCCTACGAAGATGTCGGAGAACAATTGTACTTGCTTAAAATGGCGCAGTAAGGATACGGATTGGACAGTGCATCAAAACAAGGCTCTTCCAACTTCCCTTCAAAACAAAACATTCCTCAATCTTTCCGTTTCTACATAGGCCACATCATAGTCTTCTTGTTTTACGTTAGTTTCTTTTATGCTTAAATACTATGTTTTTTTTCTTTTAAGTTTTATCTCTACTCTTTTTTTTTTTTAATATTTGTTTGATTGTAGTTTATATATTTTAATTAATATTTGTTGTTAGATAAGATATGCACTTAATTTATAAATAAAAACTAAATATTATTATTATTTATTATAATTTAATAATTAAGATGAGTTATTATTTTAAATTATTAAAAAATAATGATAAAAAATTAAATAAATATTTTTAATATATATATATATATATAATTATTGTTTATTAAAAAATAATACTGATAAGTTTAACTTAGAAGTTCCATTATATATTACATTTTTTTTTCAAAAAGCCAGTTCGTTAGTATATTTTTATTTATTTACTCTTTAATTACTTGAACTAATATTTAAATTTTAGTCAACAATTTTTTTCTATTCCTTTAGCTATCAACTAGTATTCATTAGTAGTTTCTCCCATTAAATATTATCATATTAAGTGATACTCTTCGCATAAATTACTGATTCCATGCATTAATTCTATGATAAAATATTGTTGTTTTGGAAGATTATCTAGTAACTTTAATACCTTGCAGAGTTTTTTATAGCGTAAAATCATTAAATAAGGTTTGGAAATAAAAAAAATTGCTTGAGAAATGCACATTGAGATTTTGAAGTGTTTAAACAAAATTAATGATTTGTCATTTTGCTTATTCTTGGACATTTTGTTTATTATTGGTTGATAATTTTGAGTTTGAATTAGGATTTAACGAATCGTTAACATATATTGATGATAATTGTTTGATGTAAATAACTATTATTTTTTTGGGCCACTAACTCATTTTTATTGAGTCTTGAATATATATTTTTTTACTATAAACCGAGTATTCGGAAATGTTAACAGTAAAATGTGTTTTTTGAAATGTTAAAATCGATTACAAAAAAATTAATAAAAAAGTATTTTTTTTTTTGCAAACTAAAAAAATATGTTAATCTTAATCTCTCTGTATATTTTTCGAACCAAGTAACTAAGAAAGTTTTCATACAAAATGTGCTTTGATAAGTGCATTTGTCTTATATATTTTCAAATAGTTTTTTTTTCTTTTTAAATACTACATATTAAACGAATTCATCTAGAAAACTAGGATCATAGAGAAAGATATAAAATAATATTTGAGAATGAAAAATATGTAACTTGACTTTTAAAAACATTATGATATATATATATATATATATATATATATATATATATATATATTCATATTTATATTTTAACATAAGACAGTGAGTTTAAAAAATTATGATATTTATAGTTTTTTTACAAAATTGAAACACGGTAGCAATTGCATAGTACAAGAAACTATATTTTTTTAAAAGTTAAAACTAATTTAAAAATACTAAACTAAATTTATCGACCAAAATTATAATCAAGCATAGCATACAAAAAAACCCCAAGGGCAGGAGTGGAATCCCGGAAAAGAAAAATATTGGCTTGTATTGGTTTGGCATTGGCGGGAAAAGCACGAAGCCAGAAAACACAATCGAAAATGGATATATGCAGAACGGAAAAAGGAAAGAGAACAGAGAAGTGAGAGAGAGAGTGTGTCAAATGGCGGAAGGTAGCTCCACCACCGATATTCAGAGAATACTCGCAGCCATCAAATCCTCCGAGGCAAGCTTCTTCTTCTTACAATCATCTTCGTTTCTACTTGTAAACTGCACTCTGTCACTCTGGTCTCAGATTTTAGGGTTTTATGCAGATTGTGGAGGATCGCGTTCAGTTGTTTAACGATTTTGGACGCATAGAATTGAAGAACGTGTCCGAGTCCGACTATGCTTCCGTCCTTAACTGCCTTGTAGTATCCTTGTTTGCTTTCTTTCCAATCACATATCGATGTTTGTGCTCATTTAAAACTCGCTGCAAACTGCGTTAGAACTTTCTAGTCAATCACTTGTAGCATCCTTCTAGTTTGATGCCTTATTAGTTTTTTTATCACTTTATTCGTGCTCATGCTTGAAATTACAATATTAATGTTAATTCAAACAATATATAAACCTCATTAAAAAAAAAATTAAGAGTAAGAAAAACTGTGTTATATTGAAACTTCATGACTTTTGTTTGTTTAGTCAATATGGTACTGCTTTAAAGTATCCGCAAGCATCATTTATGGCTAATCTTGGCCTAAGAACCCGATTGGTTATTTTTAGTGGTCTGCAACTATTTATTTTTATCCACAAGACTAAGGGGTCCAAACCTTATTGCATTTGGCCTAATGGCATGTTAGTGAAACTTCATGACTTTAGCTATTATTGTACTTGTATGCTATTTTGGAATTCTATTGATTGCTTGCATTCTTGTTTCCACCTTAACTGCTAGCTTGACCTTTTGGGAGAACTTCACATGTTTGGATGTGACCCAGTGCATGCTTAATAGAAGTATCATACAAGTGGCTTTGAACCTTATAGATTTTAACCGATCCAGTTGCCTACCACAAATTCTCACTCTTGGGGTCAAGGTCTTCACTTGTCTCTTGTTTTTACTTTATCTTTATCCTTTATATATCCTATAGCACTTTCACATCTCTTAACTTTTTATTTATTTATTTTTTATAACTTAATCTCACTATTAGGCTAATGTCTGGTGTGGCAAGCATCTAAAGATGAGCCTCTTCTCAACGGAAGAATCTCACGAAGATAAGCATAGCTCAGTATTTTTCCAGGTGAAGCTCTTTGTCATAGATTGAACTCTCAAATAACCCTCTTAATAAGTTTTTGTACAGAAGGAAAAAGAAAGCTTCTTACTATGCTTGTTGTATGAATCTTCTCATGATCATCTAATGGTTTGCTCTTGATTTGTGCTTTGTAATTGATCTATGCTGCATGTACTTTTGTTTTTTTATCGACTGCTTCTTTTCTTGTTCGGAATCATTTATATAATGGTGGTAATGAGAATGTGGTTGCTCTTAAGCATATGCACAAGTCTTTTTGATTTGTGTAAAGCTCTTGGAAGAATTCAATTCGTTTCATCCTTGAAACATTCATTTGATAATTTTCTTAGTCACATCATTTTCTACTTAGCTATTTTTGTGCTGTGTTTGCAGCTTCTTGTGGAGATCCTAAGGTTTTCTGCATCAACATTTTCAACTTTGTTGAAATTCACTGATTTTGGTGACAAGGAATTCATGGACAATGTAGAAATCTTCATTTTAGAAGTATTAAATCTGACTAAGGACTCTATATCGCATGCTAAGGTAATATGTTTCTCTCAAAACTTGACATTGGGAACAGTTTATATGTTTTTTTTTTTTGTTACTAAATATGTTTTGATCTATTGCCAGTTATTATTTTCTTTCAACCGTATTATTTAATCATGCATCTCCGCATTATTAAAGAAGTGTGACTTTGGCAACTGGTTAAAAACTCAATATGTATTTAGTGGTTCCATAAACAAATTTCTGATTGTAGATCAGAACTAAACTCAATAATTTATCACTCCTTTGACAAATGGGATGCCTCTGAGATTTTGATGTCCCTGAGATGTTATAAGTTTCAATGAAGTCCTTGAGTGGTTAAATATTTGATTTCTATAAATGTTCTATGAAGTCAGTGTAGGGGTAAAGCTCATAAGAGCAAAAAATAATGTTGCAAAGATTATATTTCTCGTATTCTTAATTTACTGTGCAAATTTTTGTATCTGTTTCTAAGCATAAATTTTTTAGTGCTCCTAAGCAGAAAATTCAATCATTTGGATCAGAAACATTGAAGGTTGCACACATGGTGCTTGATGCTGTGGTAAAATTTTGCAAGGCGCGTTCTGAAATAGTAAACTGGGTGGGTAGTGATGAAAATGGGTTGAGGCTTGACAGACCTATTACCGTTGATCATGTTATCTGCATAACAAAATGTGCAATAGAAAAGTTGTCTCAGATTGGTGTTTTTGCTGCAACTGATGGTGGAAATTCTGTCAATATTCTTAATGTCTCCTGGAAAGGTGTTGTTTCTTTGCTTCAAGTTGGCGGCGGGCATTTTACAGAAGTTAACGTAGCAAATATAGTGTTAACTTTGCTTGCGTTGATAACGGGGCCTCTGAAATGTGCTGCCCAGGCTTGGTCTTCATCACTGAATGAAGCCATTTCTGTAACTGAAGCTAAAAGGATCTTTGTGCCGGTGAAATTTTACCTAATTAATGCTCTTAAAATATGCTTAATGTATCCTCATCAGGCGTATACAGTTTACAAGGAAATTACACTGTGTGTTCTCAAGATCACATGTTTTTGGATTTTTTTAAGTAATGAAAACCTTCTGAAATGTGCATCTGTGGTAATTACCGAACTACTGGAAGAAACAACACTGGATCTGCTATTATCTTTGATAAATTCTCAAAAACTGAAACTGGAACAGAAATTGGAGGTGCTAGAATGGTTATTCATGAATAAAGGGGATTCTCATTCTGTCCTTGATTGTCCAACTCTAAGTGATTGTAACCTTGAATGGGTTAATGATATCTTTTGCAATAGCTGTGAAAGTATGAACAGAGCAAAAATACTAATACTTGGTCGAGTTGTATTGTTTATTAACTTCCTTAGATATTCTCATGGGCTTGGTGGTGATGTGATAATAGCAATAACTCGGAAGCTCAATTGGTTTTTGGATATTTTAGTTGAGGAAGATGTCTATTCAAACATACTTGTTTTGCAATTTCCTTTATTGTATGGCTCTGGAAAAACAGCAGAACTGGTGTCACAGCCTATTTTTACTTCTCTCTTGCAAGCATTCAAGACCTTCATGATTGTGATCTCTTCAAGTACAGCTTGGGATGAGTTTGAGTCTTTCTTACTAGAGAACTTCCTTCATCCTCACTTTCTGTGCTGGGAGATTGTGATGGAATGCTGGTGCTTTATGCTGCGACATGCTGAAACACAAATGGCAAATAACATCCTTAGCAAACTATGCTCATTACTTAAGCTGTTGGCATCCTCGGATTCAGTTTTCCTGCTTCATTCTTCCTTCAGAAAGTTGGCAAGATCCATATGCATGCTTTTAACCTTTGGTGCACAGTCAATGGTTAACGAGGTGTACATGTCTCTTGTTAGTGATGGCAGGTCACAGTTGTCACCAATTTTTTGTTTGGCTCTGTTCATGGAAGGTTTTCCGCTTGATTTACTGACAGATGAGTTGAGAAACACTTCCATTCAAAGAATTAAGTCTGATTATTTAGACTTCGTAGACAACTTTGATGAAGCATCCATGGTAGCATGCTCCTCTGGTTTGTTTGGTATTCCAGTTTTTATTCTTTCTGCTTCTTTGCCATCACTGTAAGTATTCCGGGTTCTGTTACATTCCATCCATTTTTGGATTATTAAAAGTCACAATGAAATATATAAAGTATAACCTTCATTAACAAATATAACATGCTGACCATTTTTGCTATTAATTTGTTATTATCTCTGTCATGGTTACTTGTATAGTCTGTATACACCTATGAACACAAGGATTTTTATTAGTTCTGTATAATTTATTCCGTCTTTATATCAAAGACTCCTTATATCTTGCGAGCGAAACTCAGATTTTAGTTTGACCTCTCACAATCAAATGCATGTGTTCCATCTGATCTGACTGTTTTACTGATGGACTCGATTTTGCATTATTTTAACCTTTCACTGAACCTGAATGTTATATTGGTACCAGCTTTAAGATTAGTGTTCCCATTTTCGTGCAGCCCGGAGGGACTATCGGATATTGATGCAAGGACCTTGAAGTTTTTGGTTGCAATTTCTTCTAATTACAAAAGTACTGTGGACAAAGTAATTAAGGACCGTTATCTCCAGCTTTTCAGTGAAACTCTAGGGATCATCTCATATTTGGAACAACTGTATGCTTTAGATGATATTGAACGAGCCATCATGGAGACTGAAAATATCTTTTTGTCGGCGCCTCCAGTCTTTTTGAACAAATGCAAACCACGTTTGGCTCAATTCCTTGCAGGACTCGTACACACGGAAATTTCAGATAGTGATGATGATGCAAAGAGCTGCGCAGTGTGGGAATTATATCACTTGCTCTTGAGAGAGCGGCATTGGGCACTTATTCACTTGGCAATTACAGCATTTGGATATTTTGCTTCTCGGACTACTTGCAATAAGCTATGGAGATTTGTTCCACAGGATGCAGCACTTTCATATGATATAGTTTCAGGAGTGGAGTCAAATCAGGAAACATTTATGGTTGAGTTTGGAAAATTTCTTAAAAAGGAAATAGCTCTTCTTACAGTTGCACCAAGCCCTGAACAGCATGAGCTGCTTGGTAGAGATGGTCTTGTGTTGAAACAGATGGTCCAAATGATTTCAGCTATTGCTGAAGAGAAAGAGAGATGTGACAACATGGAAGTCGATCGCGAAAACCAATCAAATAAAAAAAGAAAACTTCCTGATGGAATTAGCAGAGGAGTGGAATTATTGAAAAGTGGTTTAAAGATTATTGGTGATGGTCTTTCCCAGTGGCAGGTTAATCACTTTGATACCGCTGAACAGCATGTAAAATATTTGACTCAATTTTCTCAACTTGAAAACGCAATTACTCACTTTGAGGAATTGACAGGGAGCGGTGAGGTATGTTCGTCTTCTATGCAGAATGATTCTCGAGGTTGATTATTCATTGTAAAAAAATCTTCAGTAAAATTTAATTCATCCTACCTATTCTATCTTGTATCATAGTAATTTAGCATTATGTAGAACTCGTGTACAAAATCTGTATGTCCCCTTCTAGCTTTCTTTTACTTTAAAATACAAGTGATAGATATGAATTATATTTATTGGTGTTGGGGTGGGGTGTGAATAGAGACAGATAAAAGAAAGGAAAAGAGAGAAAGTGAGAGACAAGATGAATAGCGACATGTATCACATTCAGTAAATCAAGGTGATAAATATTGGACTTATATTAAAATTTTTATTCAATTATAATTCTTATATTTTGTAAAATTTAAAACGATTTTTTACACAATATTGATATTTATATTTTGGTAAATTTGCAATTTTTTTCTTTGATTTTTTTAACATAATTGTGATTTTAATTTTTAATTTTTGTAATTTTTTCAATCTTTAATTTTTAGAATGTTTATCGTTATATTTGAATTGAGTAATTTTGACCTAATGATTGAAAACAAAATTAATAGTTAATTGGATTTATTAAAATGTAAAAAATATTAAAGAATTATGTTTTTTAAGTATAGTGGCTACTATTTCTCTTTAGTTAATTCACCATTTTTTTTCTTCCCATTCTTAAAATTCAAAAGAAAATTGCCTAGCACATAGGATGTGCGATAGAAAAATCATGTTGAAATTGTTAAATTTGGTTTGTTAAATGTTAAATTGTGTGACCGAGAGTAATCGATAATATATATATATATATATATATATATATATATATATATATATATATATATATAAATTAAAGGTATTATTTGATTTAATTTTGAATTTTAATATTTGAAATCTAAAAAATTATTTCTGGAAATAAGCTAAAAAAAATATTTTGTTTAATAATTATTTTAGATGAAAATTAATGATATTAAAAATAAATAAAAAAATTAAAATAATTTTGATAATTTTATGATGAAGAAAGTAAAATAAATAATATAATTATTAGTAAAATTGTAAATATTCTTCTTAAAAATAGAAAACTTAAGATAAAAATATATATTATTAATTAATTTTTTAATTTTAAAACTTTTTCAACAAAATAGTTATTAAATAATTAAAAAAAAAACAAAAGTTAAAAGCTATTTTTAAAAATAATAAAAGAAATAAATCTTAAGATATCATTCTAATTTTTTTTAATAATTTTGTTTATATGTGTGTGAAGTTTTTTTTTTAATGATTGATATTAAGTTGAAAATAATCTTCTTAATGGAGGCTTGTTGTTATATAAGTTTAGTCAAACTAAGTCTCATTACAATTGAATAATATATTAGATAAAAACTTGTACTTTAAGCTTTATCTCTCATAGTTACGTAACTTATAAATATGGTTTAGATATACAAGATTATTTTGGATATTATCTTTTATAATAAATATAGAGATATAAATAATAATAAGATAATAATTAATTTTATAAAATAATTAACGGGATACACAAAAAGATGCAAAATATAATAATAGTTCGTAAATATAAAAAAAAAAAAAAAAAAAGAGTCTATGAAATAAATGAAAGTTTGATTACTTAACATCAAAGCAAATACAATCATCTTAAACTATTGCTTTCACTTCACATGCAGACAGTGAGGGTGATGATAGGAAAGAAACATGCTTAACATTATGACAGCTGTTCATATACTAAACAATACATACTTGATGTCATATACCACTCCAATGACATCTATATTTATATATTTATTTATTTAGTTTTTTTCTTTTTTGTCACTTATACGAGTGTTGAAACATTAAGAGATTATTTTTTCCTTTTCAAAGTTACTTTCTTAGGACGATGCCAAGAGTTTTTCTCTAATAACCCTAATAAAAGCCACCATTTTTTCATGGTCTGGGAGGTTTTCTTTAACAACTGGAACATCCTTGAAATTATTATACCATGAATGCAAGTGAGGGAATTTCTCATCTTCAAGCACCTTTGCTTCGACAATATCTTGTGCAACCTCAAGAAATTTGAATAAGGACCCAAAAGCTATGTCCACTATGTTGATAATGTCTCCCCCAAAAATTTTCTTCTCATCACCAAAACACTGATTCTCAACAACCGTGAGAACCTCCCATACCTTCTCTACGTTCTTCTCTCGTTCTTCGTCGTTGTTGCTACGGAAGAATGCCACAAATGCAGAAAACTTCAAAAATTGACCCCAAATATCATTGTTAATATACCATGGTACACTAAATTGCTAAATTTAAGGTAGATGAATATTAATTGTATAGATGCATAGGCTCATGATCATGATGAAAAAAGAAAGAAAAAAAAGAAGAAGAGAAATTTGTAGTGCAAGATTAAGTTTTTGAAAAAGTACCATCTCATCCTCAGCATACTTAACCCAGAATCGTGCCAAAGCTCTCTCGTAGGGATCAGCAGGAAGCACTGAGTTATGTGGCCAAATCTCATCAATGTATTCAACAATAAGCATGGACTCACATAAAGGCTTTTCATTATGAACCAGCACTGGAGTTTTCTTGTGTACTGGGTTGAGTTGAAGAAGTTGAGGACTCTTATTGTACCGGTCTTCCTCTATGTTTTGATATGGTATACCCTTTAACTTTAAGGTCCATACCACCCTCAAAGTAAAGGGACTATACCAAAATCCATGAAGCTTCACCTCTGCCATCTTTGCCTTATATTGTTTCCAAATACAACAACACTAACCTATTTATATGTCATCATGATGCTTTTTTTTCATCGGTGGGGTTATCTTATCTTATCTACCACAACAATTTTCAGGAGTAAAAACAAGAGTATTGAATAAAAAAAAGTACTAAAATTTTGTCTTGGTGACTAAGTAATTGATTTATTCAAAGTCTGTGAACCTCGTTAAAATATAGAGTTCAAAGCTGATTTCAATACATTCTTAAAATTGAAACATTATTATCATAATAAGTTATTGATTTTTCTATCATTGACTAATGTACTTAGTCTTTATTAATATTTTAGAAAATTTAAATCCTTGAAATATAGAATACAATTAACAGATATATTTAGTTTAAATTATATATTTTTTATTTTAAGCATTAAACACAAACATATATATATATATATATATATATATATATATATATATATATATATATTTCTTCAATTGTATACTTAGCTTGAACAAAATTATTTGCTATATAATTTAGTTATTGAGGATAAGATTTTCTAATTTTTGTACCAGGTATAGTGTAAATATAATTTATCTCATCTGTTCTTGTGGAAAATACGTAGTAGAGTTGTTATTGAGTTTTGGTACATTATCTTAAAATTTTCTTTACTCAACATTATAGAAATATAAGCATCAACCACTTCATGGGTGTCGTAATGGCTTACATCACAAATTAATAAATACAGGTACTTCCATCTTTTGTATTATAATATTTTTATTATTTGAATAATTATAATATTTATAAAAATATTTTGTTTTAATAACAATAGTCAACATCAACTTTTTTTTTTTTGCATAACTTTTATCTGTTTATTATAGGAAATGAAAAATAAACAAATCAAAACGAAAGTTCAGCCTTTTTTCTTTTCTTTATTCCAATTAAAATTTTATAATAAAAATAAAAAAGTAATGTATTTTTTTTTCTAATGATGTTTATATCATTTAAAAAGAGAGAGTATGAACTTATAAAAAATGGAAGTGAGTATAACAAAGCCATTAATATTAATTTAGTGGTGATAGATTTAATTAAGAAAAAATTAATAATATATTGAGAGTTTAAAATATTTTTTATGCTGCCACTTAATCATAAAAATAAGTTCATTGTTTTTGTGGTAGTTATTTAAAAAAATTATACTGATATATGAAATTTGTATGCTATATATTCAAATAATTTATATAATTTGTTAACTTCAAACTCCGTTATTACACTTATTAAAAAAAAAACTACTCTGTCTCGTTGGATTTTTCAAAGTCACGTGTTTTTTAAAGCCGCCCCCAAAATTTTAAAAGTCATACATATTAAACTTTTTCTCCCTTTTTAAACTTGAATTAATGTACATTTCTTTTCTTTTTTTCTTTTTAAGTGTTATTTCTTGAAAGTGAAATTTAAATAGGTCAAAATGCTTTTTTATGAAAAAGGTTACTTAACATGTTACCTAATAATATCTAGGGCAATTCATCAAGCAAAAGACTAATAATATTATTATATTAAGTCATTTGATTGTTATTTATTAGTGATATACATTTTTTACTTTGGTGGATCATTGGATATAATTATACTTAGACAAACTAAACAAAAGTTGATAATAATATATATATCTCTGAATGTTACACATGCTTCATAAAAGCTTCAACCTTTTTTCTTTTCTCACGAAGATGCCAAAAGTCGTGCTCTAAGAGATTTAAGAAAAGCCAACATTTTTTCCTGGTCAGGTAGGTTTGGTGCAATGATTGGTTCAGTCTTGAAGTTATTAAACCATGAATACAAACGAGGGAATTTCTGAGCTTCAAGAACTTCCACTTCAAACATATCTTCCAACACCGTAACATATTTGATTATGGACCCAAAAGCAAGCTCCACAACATTAATTGTGTCTCCTCCCAACAATTTTTCTTCCTTTCCAAAACAATGATCTTCGACAACTCTGAAATGCTCCCAAAGTTTTTCTATGTTCTTCTTCCTCTCTTCAACATCTTTGCTGCGAAAGAGTGCTCTAACTCCACTACTCTTCAAAATTCAACCCAATGTTATTCTCATTATGTGCTCTAAATTTACAAGGAATTGAATCACGAGATATTTATTAAATGAGATTTTTAATAAAAATTGTTTAAAAATAAAATTAAATATTTTATTATGAATTTTACTTTAAGAATGATTTAAAACTTATCTGAAATTCTTATATAAATATTTTTTTAATTTTAAATAATTTTCTCAATTTTTAAATAATTCATACATAAAATTTATAATAAAATATTTATTTTATTCCTAAACAGTTTTTATTAATAATTTTCTAAAAATGAAATTCAACAAATCAATAAAAAAATTGATTCAAAATAAATGAAGTTACTACGAAAATCATAGTAGATATTGTTTTAATCATTTGACGATATTTTTAAGGCTTGTTGTATATCTTTCATATATTTAATCATGATTTTAATCCTTGAAGTTGGTTTACTAAATTACTAAAAAATCAATTTTATTGTTTATGAAGTAAAAAAGATGTTAAGAATGAATTTAGAGATCGGAGACTAGAATATATTTTAAATTCGAAAAACTAAAATAGTTATTTATCTGAGAAACCGAAAAATTATATCAATACTTTGAAAACATTTATTACCACCCTCTAACTAAACTACTAATTAGTGAATGATGAAAAGAATAAAAAATTGATAAAAAAAATGAAGTTGTAAATAGTTACCAGATTTTCATCAGAGTAATTAACCCAGAACCGTGCGAGAGCTTTGTGGTAGGGATGAAGAGGAAGAAGTGGATTTTGAGGCCATAACTCATCGATGTATTCAATGATAAGCATGGATTCACATATTGGTTTTCCAGCATGAACAAGAACTGGGACTTTCTTGAACACCGGATTGTACTCAAGAAGTTCAGGACTCTTGTTGTATCGATCTTCCTCAATGTTTTCATAGGGTATACCCTTCAACTCTAAGGCCCACTTCACCCTCAAAGCGAAGGGACTGTACCAAAATCCATGTAACTTCACATCTCCCATTTTTCTAAGATTCTGTTAATCCTTCTAAGCCAATCAAACCCTATTTATAGAGTGATTCATGGAGTGATTGGTCAAACAACCTCAAATTTTGAAAATAAAATTAAATATGCTTATTCACTGCTATTGCTATCAAACAAACACTTCTTAAGGTCTTGTTCCGTGGGGAATAGTTTTATTTATTTATTTATTTAATTCCCCTAATGAGTAAATATAGAAAATAATAATATAAAATTGAGCAAAATTTTATTAGAATTAAGTATTTGTGTTTTATAATTTCCATTTGGAGTATAAAAGCAGAAGGGGAATAATATCTGCACTTTTGTTCATGCATGTAATACATGATTAAGAAAAAACATAATAAAAAATAGTCAAATTATCCAATGAAAACACCAATATGCATAATTATTTAAAATTTTAATTATTATATTTAAATGAATAACTTTTTATGTTTAATCCTTCAGAACAATAACAAGAGAAACTAAATTTTTGAAATATAAAAAATGTAAATGGAAAAGTTAAGACGGATATAAATAAAAAATGAAATAATGACAGTGACGAATTTGAAGTTTGGGTGTTAAAAGAGATTGGGAAGGTTAGATTGGGAAATGAGGGAATCAATGCAATCGTAAGTGCTTGCGTCATCCATCATTTTATTATAAAATAAAGTCTCTTTCTTTAGTTTGATTTCAAATTATTTTTTGTTTTATTTAATTACTAATTTACTTTTAAAATTTCTATTTTTTGTTTCTATATTCAAAAGTTATTCATTTTAATCTTTAAACATATCATTTTTTAACTCTTTAAACTCCATACATATATCGTTACGGTAGAGAACATGTGAGACCTACGCTACACCGGATTCATTTACTGATGGCTTGCATCTCTCTGTGCTGAATAATAGAGAAAATGTCATAAGCATTTTTCAATTCTTGAATAATAATAATAATAATATTATTATTATTATTATTATTATTATTATTATTAACTTTATCATCTTATGAAACATGTAATATGATTGCTTTATGTTGATTTAAAATTTTATTTAACTTAATTTTTATAAATTTGTATTAATAATGTATAATATTATCCTTTTTTTCATAATGTAATGTAATTATTAAACTGTAAATTAGCTAATACCTTTATCTCCCTTATCACCATTTTCATAATTGGGTGAAAAACAATAATGTGAAATAGAAATGAAAAAACACAAATAAGTAAGTAAAGTTTATTATAAATATAAAATAAATACTTTGATGAATGTTACAAATACTTTATCTATTTACTTATTAATATATATCATAATATCTACATTGTAGCGTTGATATTTTTATTTCAGTTTATCTTTTAAGAAATTGTTTAAATAATTTATTTCATATTAAAAAAATCCACGAGTATTCATGAATAGAATCAATTTTATAAATAATATATTTAAAAAGAAAATTTACTTTAATAAAATATTTCTAAGTTTATATATTTAAGTAGATTTATTTATTGTATATATACAAAATTCAATAAGGAGAAATAACTTCGTATGATATAATATAGTTTTTTCCTCTATTTTTTCATTTTTTTTCATTTCCTTCCGATTATTTTTTTTCTATGTGGTATTTTAGTTTTTTTTTCTTTTTTTCTCCTCTCTTGTTCTTCTTTTATTCCATCTTATTATTCAATTAAAAATACTAGATTAAAATTTGATAAAAGGAGTATTTTATTATTTGTGAAAAATAAAAATATTTAAATGATTCAGAAATATTATAATTTAATATATTATATTTGAAATTATTATATGATAAATTTAAAATATTACAAATATTATTCTTATATTATAATTATTAAGAAAAAAATAGAATTTATTTTAAAATAAATTTTTAATAAATATTTTTTTTAAATTACTTAATCTAACTAATTATCATAACTCAATCTAATTATAACTAAATTTAATTATTAAATAAAAAATACATTTAACTTATAAATATTTAATATTTTTTTAATGAATAATTACTTATGATAAAATAATTTTAACTTAATTATTTACTGTCAAAATTAATAAAAGTATTTATTATCATTATAATTGTAATTAATTAGTTAATATTTATTAATTTTGTTGTTGATTTTAAAATATTTATTTTAACATATTTTTATTAAATTTTAATATAGTATTTTATTCGGAGAATGAATTGGAAAGAAGAAAGAAAAATAAGAAACTAAAATAGTAAAAAGAAAAATAAGGGGTGAATAAGAAAATAGGAAAAAAAATTATTAAAAAGAATTATTATATATAAACATTAAACAAGTTTATTTAAATGGTAAATAAATTGATAAAAAATTTATTTAAATAATTAAAAAATATGTTATTCAAATTATTCATTCTTTCATTTGTTTTTTCTAGAAAGACAGGTTACGAGACAAATTTTTCGCGTACCAAATTCCTAGTGAGGATAAGCTAAGTCTACTCTAGTTTAATAATCTAATAATAGAACTAAAATGAATAATTATTTTAATATTTGAAAATATAAAACTGTGTCAGATTAATTATAACTTTAACTTATAACATCATACCTTGTAATTATAGTATATGCGCACGCATATTATTTTCCATTTATGAATTTTTTAGACAGTGTGTTCTAGTTGAATTTTTTATTGAGAAAAAAAGGAAAATATTATTAGAATAAAATGACAGCATGCATAAATATAAGAGATAAATTGTATTGTTGTAAGCGGAAAGCAGTAAAATAATTTCCGTCTTGAAAATGCACAAAGCAATTCATTAAACCATGTTATTCACTTATCCTTTGGTGTGTGTACTGCTAAAGTCAAGAAGGTATAGTACAAGGGAGACGGGGAGAAGGAGGAGCTGAAAACTTGTGAATTCACTCGTCCTTTGCCCAGGGACAGTGCTAACAAGTAATTTCACCTTACATGTTAACAATCTAGTAAGACTCTTGTTGACTAATTCTCATGGAAATTCATTTCATCATGATATAGAGATAAAATAGCCATTCAGGTTTGCGGTAACGGCAAAATTGATGGAATTTACATTCCTAAATTGTTATAATATGATGCTCGCAGTGATCAGAGAGCAAAACATTCTCCTAAACATAACCATTAGACTTTGATCCTCTTGCATTTCTTTTCCTAGTGTCAGCCTCGTAATGTAGCAAGGCAGCATCCAGAGCCTGCACCAAAATTTGTCCTTATCCCTTAATCTTCCATAAGATGGAATAAACAAGAATGACGTAGAAAAAACAGACAATGAAAAACAATGGCATAACCTATCCACTAAATTGAACTGAACAAGAACATCAGTCGGTGTGCGAAACACCTACACTAGTGAAACAGAGGAAACTCTTAAAAAAGGTAAATCATGAAGCACTTCCTGTAAATATGACTGAAGTATGTTGTAATCCTCCAAAAATCTTCTGTTGGTCTGTTTTTCATAAATTTTGAAACTTCTAAAAAACTATACCACCACTTACTGACGTGCCATGCATCTAAACATGTCACATTATATGCCACCACCAAATGGATGCCAAGTAACATGTCAAACTGCATGCCACATCCTCACTAAGTGCTGACAGTGTTCAGAAACCATTATCTAGAATTATAAAATTATGAGAACAAAAACCAACAAAAAAAATGGACAAACATTAAATTAAGCCACATTGTTAAGAACTCGACATATTTAAACCCAAACACAACGTTTAAAATAAACAATAGAAGGTTTAGTTCAAATTAGTTGATTTCGTCACGTAGGAAGTGCTTTGTGTTAAATCCAAGTTTGAAAATCACAAAGAAAGGACAGAAAAATAATCAAGTGAGTATGTTGTGCGGACCTGCTGCATAGGATGGACAACAAGGGAAACCTGGTGCCGCAAGTCTGACTTTGCAGATACCTTTATTTCCTAAAAGAATCAACAAAGAATAATTAGAAACACTATAGTTACTACTTACTACAAATAAAACTAGTGCAGGTATACAAAAAAATAACAGAATAACACGTTACGGTGAGGAAAACTACAAGAGGCTTTGGCTAAATGCATACCTCGAGTTTAGAATATATTTGTGATATGGAATCTTTCAGTCTTCTTGTCTGCATTTAGTTCACGTGAGCGAACACAACATCAGATATAACCAGATATAATAAACATCAGAAAGATTTCTCAATGAATCACTAAAAACATATCTACACTTAATGAGTGCATGATCCAATTACCACCAATGGCACAGAAGGAAAAACCCTCTAAAATCATCCAATGGCTATCCGACAGACTACTTATATTGCTGTTTTAATAATAAAACATCAAACTCAGGATCCAGTGTAATTGCTCCGATCAGCGGGGTTCCTTACATTTTTTTTTTATTGAAAAATATTAGTCGTTAAAATGTTAGTTTTTATTAGAATGAGAATTTGAATTCACGATCTATCCCTTCTTCCCTTCAAAGCCTCTTTCCTTGAGCCTTCAAACAAATTTATAGATTAATGCTAGGTAAGTTTACAAGATTTTTAGAAATTACTTGAAAGGTTACTAAAATTTTAAAACAAACAGGTTTTTCTTGTTTAGGCTCATGTTAGGGACGTTAAAAGAATTATTGGACTCATGACTTGAAAGCTAAGTCATATGAAAAAAATGTTTTGCTGACAAATTCTTAGCGTGAAACAGTTCATCAAATGTACATGTCACAATAGCAAAACCCGTATCATTACCTCTTCTCAAATCAAACTCAAAAATATCAAATTAAAGCAAGCACAACACTTTTATAAAATCAAGCAAGTTTTTGACAAACTGGCATACTGATTGACCTGACATGAAAGCAAACAAATAGAAACTTCTTGCAATGTTCATATCAATATATTATCATGGAGTGAAAAAGGTGCTCTTTAAAATGAAACAGGAAAGGAGATAAAGGAAACAAGCATGATGAAGTTTCACAATAAAAGCTAATTATTTACGAGCTCAAGAAATAATTGCAAGGAAATCCACATCCAAGACTTATTCTAGTGGTGCGAAAATAGATAGGTCATGCACAGGAATCAGCATTAAGAGGTTTTGTTGAAATCACAAAAGCTCAACATTTACCTTATTAACAAGGTTTTGTGTTGTAACTGGATATGAAGACCAAAAGTGCCTCAGCAATTCCTGACTGCACACCCAGTGCTGGAAAGAAAGATGCATGTATGACAAAAATATGATTACAAGCATTCAGAACTACCCCAAAAAATAAAGAAAAACAATACAAAAAGTATGGAAAGACAAACTACAGATTGAACATAAAAGCAACAAATGCTATATCTCAACACACAAATAGAAGTTTGAAGATTATCCCCAGCTCTCTTTTTCTTTTCTTTTCATTCGTTCTTTTTTGTTTTCCTTGTCAAAGACCCCAGAAACGATTGTGGATGACTCACATCTAGTAGTTTTTCCTTGATTGTATTGGGCAATATATCAAGGACACTCTCTTGAGAAGTTTTCCCAAGATGATATTTGGTGCTTGAGATATTTTTAGTCAATCCGTGAAGGACCTGGAAAAAAATAAATGGATCTCATTTTCAATAGGAAAGAATATTTGTTATTACAAAAGAAACAACAAAACAAATGTTTCTTGGCAAAATATTGAGCAATTAACCGTATACATCTGTCAATTATTAAAAAATGTAGAATTATGTGATACAAATATATATTACCTTAAGAGCAACCTCAGGACTAAAGAAAGGATCCCTTAATCCAGTAGCTTGGATTTTAGATATCGATGCCCTCAAAGAGGCATAGGCTTCCTCAGAACCCAAACTACATATCATTTGCTGCATTCCAGGTTGGGAATCATCCAACGTTTTTACTGCATTAGCTTGTTGGGAATCAAAATAGTCACGAGGATCCTGATTAAGAAACAAAAAATAAAAGTCATAACACTTAACAGATATTTTATACAAAAAAGACAGTTTGTTATTAATTAACTTTATATGGGTTTTTCTATTGTATGTCCATGGATAAATGATAAGAAGTTAACTATAAAGTTTTTATTGGAAAAGTAATTATTACACTGAAAGTACAAAAGTTATTCAATGGTTGCTCTTTTTAAGTGATTTATTAGAGGGTGTATTTAATACTTTCATACCATGTGCCCATGAGCACAAATTTTATAAATCAAGTTATTGACTAGAAATATATTAATTTAATAAATATTGTTCATTTAATTCTTGAGAAAAAGTTGGACCTTGATACAGAGTGGTGCATAAGGATGATCATCTTGTGCCTGAAGATCTTCAATTGGGGTCATTTTAGAAATTCTGTTTCGTCTCTCCTCATCGATGTCCACAACCCCATCAGATTCTGTTTAGTGGAATGAAATATGTATTTGCACACGTGAACGGAAGGGAAAAGGAAAAGAAAAAGGTCAGCCAAACTAACCCTGTTTTCTTCGAGCAAGAACTTCAGCTGCTGTTTTTGGGTGTTCCATCTCCATATCTACATTTATATTTCGAATGACTCATCAGACCAGACCTTATGGGCATAACAAAGTTGCACCTATCCAGATTTGAATGCATTTTACTCTCCAAGGTCTCAATTGATTTTGGGAAAACGCTTTTACAATGTCTTACTCTTGGTCAAAGGTAAGACTTAATGACAATAAACTTCTCAACATAATAAATAAGAACAGAAGACAAGTTTAAGATTTTTAAAAGCTGAGCTTTCCAGTTTGCAAACGACAATTCTTCACAACCTCTAAATTGTCCTCAAACAAATTTTAAGTGTAACACATTGCAGATAAGTGATAATACAAGCATGTGTGTGAGGAAGTCTCTCCCCCTTCCCTTTGGTATATGAGTTCTTTTTCAGAGAACAAATAATTAAAAGTCACCTTCAATATGGCTACAGAAGTAAAGGAAAATAATCACAAGGTAATAATTTAATCATGATATGCATTATTAGTATTTCCCAATCTTACAAATTTACTATCAAATCTGTCTAGAGATACATATTAGACCAAATAAAATATAGGAACATATATTATGATATGGGATACATAAAATATATTTTATGTAAGAATACAATTATGAAACAAAAATACTTTTGGTGGACACATTAAAAAATGAAATTGAAGAGAGGAAATTACCTGAAGTTTTCCCTTCAAGAACAACTGCACCTTGTCTATTAAGATCTTGCAACAATGTTCTCTTATACAGAGAATTTTGGGCTTCAGATATTTCCTTGCAGCCGTCTCGGAAGATTCCATGATCCTTCTCATTGAATAGAGCAAAAGGTTAACAGCATAAAAAGATAACAGGACATTTGACACAACTACTACATGATCAACAGCATAAGGTATAAAATTTGAATGATATAATAATAATAATATTAAGACTCGAGAGTTTTTGTAAACTTGCAGAGGCTCCAAAAACTCTCCTAGTAAACTTGAAAGACTTTACTTAATATAAAAAAAATAAAAATTAAAATAACATAATTAAACATTCCAACTTCGTAAAGAAAAATAGCAAACTACAATAATAAAATCACGAAATTTGCCAGTATATTACTACTAAATAAGATCAAAGTATACCAGATCACGCATAAAACATTCAAAACATAAGTTCTTAAAATGATAGCATTAAAAAAACCACAAAAGGACTAACATCTTCAAATCTCCAAAAGTCCAATCCCTAACAACATCCTCAAAATCACCATCTCTATTGAGGTCTTTCTTAAATGAAAAATGTGCATCATCAAAATTGGCATCCAAAACCAAATTATCAAGATTAAATGCATCAAGAGTTGGATTACTTGAACTTCCTCCTACGAATTCAACAATGCTACCATTAACTTCACCCCGAGATTGTTCAAGCTCAACATTCTCTTCACCAAAATTATGTCCCTCTGAAGTTATTCGTTCATAATCAAACATCATAGCAACAATTTTTCACATTGTCTACTTTTCAACTTCGAGTTGTATATCACATAAAATAAGTCATTCATCTTCGTATGCAAGCAATTTATTGACTTTGTAATGAACCTAGAATCACATAAAAAATTCATCTTGGAGACAATGTTATCTGAGGACTGGACATCTTTATTTGAAAACATTGGTCCTTTTTTAGTGTTTAAATGCTATCATTTTAAGAACTTATATTTTGTATGAATTTAGCATAGCTTGGTGTAGGAGTATTGTACAATAAGCTTTGTTACTTAATGTTGATGTTTGCTTTGTTATGGAGTTGAAATGTGAAATTATTATGTTATTTATCAGTATTTAATATATTGTATGAAGTAAACTCTTAATAGTGATTACATGTTGAAACTGAAAATTTACTTTGAAAACGGTGAACTAGCATAAAATATGAAAAACATGCTATCAATGCCTCCTAAATGAGATTGAGGAAAAGTTTCATTCACCATACAGGAAGATGTGTGTAATCATCTCCTTGGTCTGCTTCCATGTCTAAAGTTGGATCAACACGTCGAACCTGCAATCAGAAATATTAATAAAAATGGAATGGAGAATGCAGCCAAATGATCTTCAATGAGAAAAAATTAAAGAGAAATATAACAAAGACCTTCTTTCGAGCTTCGATTTCTAATATCTCATCATCTTTCAAAAAGACAGCAAGATCCTCGTCTTCAGCAGCCTCAGCAGCTGCTGCAACAGCATTTTTGGTGCTATGAAGATACTCAGCTTTGAAGTATTTATTCCAGAAATCTACCTCATTCATCTTGAATTTGTAGACCATGGTGAGAAAAAGAAATAATTTAGTAAGCAAAGGGCTTGATATTGCATGCAAATTATTATAAAAATAGTAATAAAAACTGTACTGGTTTTCAACATACTTTACTGGGTACAAAATTGAGGAATGCCTGGTGGACAGCAGGTTTGAGGGCAAAAATCTGGAGAGAAAACGTAAAAAAAAAAATAAAAATTAGTAAGGATAGCACACATTCAATTATTTTTCTTACTAAGAAATAAGAATTGGAAATAATGAATGAAATAAGAGTATAATCAATTAGCAAACTAATTGATCCCATAACATATTCTAGATATGGCAGGATATTCAAACAAAACCATACTAAAAAACCACATGCAGAGTTTGCAAGAAAAAAAAAATACGAGATAAACTAAAACCAGTTCAACCCATAAGATAAAACTGAAATGAGAACCACCCCATCACCACTAGAACTTAAATGAACAGTCAAAATTATACACTGTAAGTGAGCTTAAAACCACCCTCCCATAACCAAACTTCAAAATCCCTTTTGAAGTCTTAGTTACTGCGGTGACAATCTTGGAAGTTCCTTTTCCATCTTCAAATTTGAATTGGATGTCTTTGGTTGAAAAACCATCTTAACATTCTTAAACAATGAATTAACCGACTCCAACACCCCAATAGATCATTCCATAAGATGTAAGACTCAAACAAATACAATCTCAAATAAAAGGGTTTCATGAGCTAGTATATTTTACCTTAAACATTATGTTGATCCTCACAAAAATAAAGAAATTGAAAGTTTTGTTTTGTTACAAAAAAAGTTTAGATGAATAATTAGGTCCCATGAGTTCCCCAAGGCTAGGGCAGGGCTTCATCCTCTATGAGTACTCATAGAGGTACTTACACATTATCCACCAACAAGGTCCTGACATTGGCCGCAGGACTTGAACTATGTCCTTATGAGATATGAGTCTGGTCCTTACCAACTAGACCAACTGGTACAAAAATTGAAAGTTATCACTCTGTTCTCATTGACATCATCGTCAACAACAACAACCAAGTCTTACCCGACTACATGGAAGGAAGCCCAATGCTGGAGGCATAATGGAATGACCACTTCTTTTTCTTAAAGTGTAAAACCAATTGTCGTATTACCTCCATTTGATATCAATATGATGAACAATAGGCATGCACAGGTAAACAAAAAGAAGAGAAAACTAAAAAAGTGTGGTACAAATAGTTGTATAAAAATATCATGCACATGAAAAGGTGATTGTAGTTGCATTTGATTAAATGGTTGTTGTCATCAAGTTAAAATTCCATGCATAAAATTTTCGTCTAAATGGCTAACTACATTCCCACCATTCTCTCATTTCAGTGCAGTGCATAACAGCCTAAATAAATACCCAATTAATATAATCACTTGTAGCACAGAATCTTATCATTCAAGGTTTAGCTCAAAATCTAATTAGGCAGAATAAGAAACATGCCTGATATTTAATCTCTGGTGTCAACTGAAATTTAACCTGGTTTATCTGAAAAAAGAAGAATAAGGGAAAATAACTCATTTAAAATTGTATGCATGCATTAGAAGCCAAAAAAAAATCCAGAAACTGTTTAAAGATCCTAAACATGGATTTAAAATTCACAAACTCTACATAACAATAAACAAGCCTCATCTCACTAGGTGGGGGTTGGTTATACAGATCAAACTATCTTGTTGAGCTTCACTAAAATCATTGTTATATGAATGACAAAAAATGAAAAAATAATTATATAGGACTTGTTTGGCTATTAATTTTAATATTAAAAAACCAATTTAGTGCCCATATTTGATTACAAATTGTCACATCATTTTTAAACTCTTAAAAGCCAAAAATAAATGTTTTCTGATCTCAGTTTTTAGAATTAAGAAAACAACAGGGGATTTTGAAAATCTAAAATAAGAACAGATTTTACATGTTTCTTCAACTTTTATTTGAAAAAAGTTTACTTTTATGAGAGCAAATCCATAATTATTAAATTCATTAATGAAAATCTCATAAATAAATCAGAAAATTTGGACCTACTCTCTGCATCTTATAAAAGTTCTTATGAAAGCTAAATAGTAAAGTCTGGAATGGCAGTAACATCCTGCTTTTAGTCCTTTAGAGTCCATCACTAGTACATAGCTAAAATCTGCTATGTTATCGTTGCATAATATTAGTCACCATATTAGTCACCATTTACTAATATGTTAAAATACAAGACAATGAACGTATAAAGACAATATTGGGAATGGGAAGATTGCAGTTTGTATTATAAAATCAGTATTAGATTTGGAAAAATTTCTCATTATTCATTAAAATGACTTTAACCCCATTAGAAGAAGTAACAAACCAAGCATCAAAGATTGTTAATCAAGTTTTACCATGAAAAATTCAGCAACACTTTGAAGTGCAGCAAGAAATGAGGGTAATAGATATGATATGGGTTTCTGTCATAAAAACAGAGCTAATACATTCTTCCGCAAAAGAACTTACTTGACTCAGGTTTCCAAAAATTACCAAAATAAATTATTGGTTACTTTGTTTTTTAAAGTTGGTTTCATATACAAAATTAACTATATTTATCCTGTTGAGTTCCCAATTGTCATAGCATTGTTAATCATTTAAAAGCTTCCAAAAGCTGAGTTTTTCCCACTATGCGAGAAGTAAGAATTTTTTTATTAACAAAAAGCAATTTGGAATTTGAGGAATTACTGAGCTGCAATGTTCTATAATGACATCTAAGTAAGTGCAATCATAAAGACAAAGAGTCAATGCAGAAAGAGAAGTGGTATCATACCCGTCCATCACTCATAGGCTTTGTGTCAAATATCAAAGAATTTTTAAAACCAATCCTTTGTTTTAACTTTCTGCTTTCATCTTGATCCAGCAATTTCTGTAGAACATTTTGAATACAAATAGAAAAAAATCATTAAGATGAAGAGAAGAAAGTTACAAGAAATTGGAGGCTAAGAATAAGATATCTTCCATATGAAAACAAAAGGAGAAAAAAATGGTAGACTGTATATTGCCTTTAAATATTTATTAGTGAAACCCCTTTAGAAGACCATGTATTATTTCACACAGTATTTTTCATGTGTAAAAATTCTTGAAATCATCATAATATCAACCAGAAACTTATCATCAACAAAATATACTGGCCTCACTGAAGTGTGAAATTCAATTGATATTTGGAATATCTTTACCTTCTTTGTAGCCCAAAATTCTGATTCTGTAAGCTTACCACTAGCTACAAGTTCCTTATGAAGTCTCTGCAACTTGCTGCAAAAGTTGAACTTTAGCAAAATCAGAAACAATGAAGGAAGTGAAGAATATCTGAAACTAAGATAACCTCTAGAGTAGATAAAACATAATACTGAAAAGTATGAACAAATTGAGATCCTAAGTAATTATACTGCATGGCATAGTCAGAACAACTAAAATGGATAATTTAAAGTAACAGCACAATACCAAGAGACTTTGGTCTAAATGGTCTCTTAAAAGTTGAATCATATTAGAACAAGATCACGAATATACTATTCTTTCTTTTGGAAAACTAGAATCATTCCCCACCCAGCATCCACCACTCCATCATTAGATATTTCAATAACCTCAGTCACTATTAACAACTTGTGATACATAATTAACCATCAGTGCCATATGTGCAGTTTTATAATTGTAACCCCACATTCATTTACTCTTAATCACTAATGAGGAAAAAGTTAATCACCATTAGACAGTAACCTCATGACACTATGAAATACTTGTAAGACAAATTTAACCAGCAGTGTCACAAGAACGGATTGATTATTAAATACAAACATTCATTTACTCTTAACCACATGAGGAAAATTTAACAATCATTACTATCAGACATTTTAATAACCGCACAAACAATTAACCACTTGTTGAGAAACATTTAACAATTAGTGCCACAGTACAAATCGATAATGGCATACAATCACATCTATTTACTATTAACCACTTGTGAGACAAAGTTAACCATATTTATACACATGGTTAACCAAGTGTGATGGGTGGACACTAGGTGAAGTATCCCAGCTGTGCGTTATATTACTCCTTTATTTTAAGGGAATTAAATTGCATTATTTTAAACCAAATACCTATCTTCCTGCAATAGCTTTATCCTGAGTGTCATTTCAGCAGCGCTTAGCTGTTCCTCAGAAATAACTTTTGTAGCTTCTCCTTGCACATGCTTGCTAAGGGCAATACCTATCAAACAGACAAAACATCAGTATAGGAAAGCTTACACAAAACAAAACAACTGAAAATAAAAATATAGAAAAGGGAAAAAAGAAAGGGATAAAATAAAAATAAGAACAATTCAAAACCTCCTCCTCATATTAAATTTCCTCAATTGCAAAGAAAAAATGCATAAAGAAAAAAAAAAAAAAAGGAGGAGGAGGGAGGGGGGAGCTGGACCAAGAGTAGAGCACAACAAAAAGAAAAAAATCATCTGGCAATGCATTATTTTCTTCTCTGTATATGTATTGACAAGGGAAATAAATATTTAATGCTTGCATCTGAAATCATATTTTAATTACATTTTTTACTGGTTTAACATCTTAATCGATAAAAACCAATCAAAAGAAACTCTAACTTTGTTACGGTGGGACTTAAGCCCAAGATCAAACAAATGAACAACATAAGCAGGCCTTCATGATAAGCCACACAATGTGACAACTCCAGACAAAAACAACTTAACGAAACCCTGAGGATAAAATTTTAAGCATATAGAAACAACAAAACCATGTCTCATTCTGCAGTAGCCAAAGTAAGATACTTACCCACAAATTCCCGACAAGCATGGAGATCTGCAAAGCTTTCTAACTCGAAGATGTAACTACCCTGGAACACCAGTATTATCAAGTGAACCAAATGCATTGAAAATTCAATTGAATGGTAATTAAACGTAAAAGAAGAAAAAAAATGGAACCAACTCAGCTGCATAAATAGCACAACAAATGTGGACAAGAGCGAGAAGATTAAAGTAACAAAAGAAAAACCTGTGCATGGGTAAGGTTAAGCCATGGCGGTTTGCCTGATCCCTCTTTAGTGTGTTTATGACCTAAATATTTTCCACCACAGCGGACAATAAAATGCCATAATCAAAAGTAATGCATATGCGGTATGAATAAAAACACTGAGATTGTGCGGTTAAAAACTTTCAGGCAATTCAATAAGAGAACATATGAAACTTCACAATCATTTTAAGGAAAAAAAAAAAAAAAAAGAAGAAGCATGAAAACAATAAATCATAAGTACTCTTTATAAATCTAAACTCCACATCGAGCTTGTTGTTCGAGGTAGGATCATTGGGCTTGAAAACAAACTTATCTCGCGTCTGCAGTGAGAGGGAACGAAATTCCATAAAAACCTCAACGCGAAAACAATATTTCACAAAAGATTGAACAAGTGAGAATGCGAATGCACCAATTTGAGAACGCCGGGGGTGCCAGAGTCTTTGACGGTGGCTTTGTATTTGACACGCTTAACCACTTGCCCCGACGACATCGTTTGGAACTCCGATTGCGCGAACAGTAGCAAGGATTAATCTGCAACCAAACAAAAAATAAAGAATCAGAAGCAGAAACGTGGAGTTCGCGAGAGAGTTGTGATTGGAAAAGAAGGCATACTCCGCATTGGTTGATTGAGGAAGAGAATCAACCACTTCCAATTTCACGAGAATAGACGATGTAGAGATGAGAGAAAAGGACGGCGCAGTGTAAAGAGAAGAGATGAATTATAATCACTAAGCTTCGGCTTTTCCACACTCTTTCTCTTTTCACAAATACGATCATGGGTGATTATGCTTTAACCCTGTAAAATTAACTTTGCATTTTTTTTATAATATAGTGAAAAATAATAATGGTTATATTATTTGATTTCTTTTATAATCATTTAAAATATTACAAATTTATAGTTTTATGTAATTTGTGAAAAAAATAAATAGTAATGGTTTCCATATGATGAGTGAGTCTATAGTTATTGGTTTAAAATGGTATGATTTGTTTTGGTTTGTTAAAAGTAAATAAACTAAATAAGACACAATTTAGTTAAATTAAATGAGAAGAATGCTAACAATTCACTCATATTACCTATTCTCTGTTATTGATTAAAGCTGGTTAAAAAATATTAAATCATCAGAAAAGTAATTAAAAATATAAGTGAGATTAAAAAAGTCGTAACCTTAATAAAATTCAAACAATAATAAAAAATTTGCCAAAAAATATAATACTAACATTTTCTAAATAATAAAATCCAATAGTACTTTTTTCTACTTTTCAAACATAATTACTGTCATTTTACCATAAATGAAAGGAAAATCACATTAAATATTATTTACCATATTCGAGTAAATCAAGCAAGTTTACTTTAAGGGGAAGCATTTTATTATTATTTTTAATTACAAAAATTTAATGTATTGTCGTAAACTTTCCATAAAAAATAGTTACAACAAAAAAGAATTATTGGTTATTATATTAATATGCATAAAATATAAAAAAAATGATATTTTTATAATTTATAATTAAAATGAAGAACAGAAAAACCAGAACAGGCCATTACCAAAAGGAAAAATCCAAATCACAATTTAAACACAATCAGTTCTACCTTCTATGGTCTTCCCTGAAACTAAAAAGCCAAAATCAACAATAAGGAAACTTCGATATGTCTTGTGTTTTGTGCTGAATTAACACGGAAGTGTCCTCCTTTCTGTTCGTAGCAATGTTGCTGAAGCTGCAACTATTGTACACCCACACACCCATCCTCTCAAACGCAAACGCGGTTCTCCTGTCAGAGAAGGCTGAGCAAGTTACCCCCACAAGCAGAAAACAGAGACTCCCTCTTCATAATGGAACCTGCACGGTTAAGCCAGACACCCATTTAAAGAAATGCCGTCCGGTGAAGAATCCAGAAGAGGGTGTTGCCAAAAATAGCAAACCGGAGAAGACGCACACCAAGTGTTCGATGAAACGCGTCTCTTACGGTGGATGCATTCCCGCGATTTTAGAAGCCTTGGATGCGGTTCTTGACTTGGATGAGGCTCTTGGGCCGTGGGAAGACAGGCTCAACAACAAGGAGAGGAGCATTATTTTGAAGGAGCAGTTGAAGTGGAGTAGAGCTTTAGAGATTTTTGAGTGGTTTAACCAGAAAGGTCATGAACTGAACGTGATTCATTACAACATCATGCTGAGGAGCCTCGGTAGGGCACGCCAGTGGATACGCGTGGAGAATTTGTGGGATGAGATGAATGCCAGAGGCATTGTTGCCACCAGTTCTACTTATGGAACTTTGATTGATGTTTATAGCAAAGGAGGGCGCAGAGACGAGGCGCTTTTTTGGCTTGACATGATGTTGGGAAATGGGGTGGAGCCTGATGAGGTGACTATGGTGATTGTTGTTCAGTTATATAAGAAAGCAGGAGAGTTTAAAAAAGCCGAGGAATTTTTCAAAAAGTGGTCTTCCGGTAAACCTTTGAGGAGCAAAAGCAAACCGTTGAGAAGAAATGATGAAGTGGTGGATACTCGGGAATTGGATGAGAGGGTGCCGTGTGCTAATGTCTCATTCAGCTTCCATACTTACAATACCTTGATTGATACATATGGAAAGGCTGGTCAACTTAAAGAGGCATCGGAGACTTTCATGGAGATGCTTAAACAAGGTGTGGCACCTACCACAGTTACATTTAATACGATGATTCACATTTGTGGAAACCATGGACAATTAGAGGAAATGAGTTTGCTTGTCCAAAAAATGGAAGAGCTTCGATGTTCGCCTAACACAAGAACGTATAATATTCTTATCTCTCTGTATGCTAAGCATAATGATATAGATATGGCAACAAAGTATTTTGAAACAATGAAGGCGGCTCATCTGGAACCCGATCTTGTGAGCTACCGTACTCTCTTGTATGCATACTCGATAAGGAAATTGGTTCGTGAAGCAGAAGAGCTTATAAGAGAGATGGATGAGAGGGGTCTTGAAATTGACCAATATACCCAGTCTGTGTTGACTAGGATGTACATAGAAGCAGGAATGCTTGACAGGTCTTTGCTATGGTTTCTGAGGTTTCACATAACTGGCAATATGACATCTGAGTGCTACGCTGCAAACATTGATGCGTATGGGGAGCATGGGCATACTTTGGAAGCTGAGAAAGTCTTCATTTTGTGCCAAGAACGGAAGAATCTCAGTGTCCTTGAGTTCAATGTGATGATTAAAGCCTATGGCTTAGGGAAATGCTATGAGAAAGCATGTCAGTTGTTTGACAGTATGGAGAAATATGGTGTAGTTGCAGACAGATGCAGCTATACTTCTCTGTTACAAATTTTGGTGAGCGCTGACCAGCCAAATATTGCCAAAACTTATCTGAAAAAAATGCAAGAGGTAGGACTAGTAAGTGATTGCATCCTATACTGTGCTGTGATTTCTAGCTTCGCAAAATTAGGCCAATTGGAAATGGCTGAAGATTTATACAGGGAAATGATTAACCATGGTGTTCAGCCTGATGTTATAGTTTATGGCATATTGATCAATGTTTTCTCTGACGTAGGAAGGGTTAAAGAAGCCATCAGTTATGTTGATGAAATGAACAAAGCTGGCTTGCCAGGGAATACAGTTATTTATAATTCTCTGATCAAGTTGTATGCAAAAGTTGACAATCTCGAAAGAGCACAAGAAGCATACAAGTTGCTCCAATTATCAGAAGAAGCTCCTACTGTATATTCTTCAAACTGTATGATTGATCTTTATGTTAAGCGATCTATGGTTGACGAAGCAAAAGAGATATTTGAGACCTTAAAGGAAACTGGAGCTGCAAATGAATTTACGTTTGCGATGATGCTGTGTTTGTATAAGAAAAGTGAGATGTTTGATGAAGCCATTCAAGTTGCAAAGCAGATAAGAAAATTGGGAAACTTGACAGGTTTAAGTTATAATAATGTGCTTGATGTGTATGCGATTGCTGGCAGACCCAAAGAAGCAATGGAGACTTTCAAGGAAATGTTAAGAGCTTCCATTCAAGTTGATAATTATAGTTTTAGATCGCTTGGAAATCTTTTGCTGAGATATGGGGTATCAAGGCAGGCTGTTGGCAAATTACAAGTGTTGGTGAAAAAGGGTGCTTCCAACGGTTTGCTGGCGTGGATGTCAGCACTTTCAAGTGTTCTTGAAGTTGATGATTATGATCCTGACTAGACATATTCAACTTATACCTTGCTTAATCAAGCATGCAAAGCTCAGTTGATTGACATCTGGACAACATTCCGGTAGCACCAATTCAAATTTCCTTCTGACTCTGGACGGAGGTGCGAGGATCACCTCGTACATTTTGCCAAATAACCAAGGAGTTCTAAAGCCTGAGACTTCGAACCAATGACAGCAAGAAAGAATCCAAGCAGAAATCTTTTTGGATGGACCATGAGATAGACTCACGTGTAAATTGTAGAACAAATAGTGCACTTCATAAAACCCTCTCGTATAAATTCCTTTCAAGTTCCCTTTGAGAGTGAAAGGGAGAAATGGTACTCAACCTGTTTTATATTGACTATGTTCTGTTTTGTCAATGTCTGTGAAAATCACCTTTTTGAAAGAATGGCATCTTTTACACGGTTTGAGTTTTGGAAATCATTTCGTAATAGAAAATCTTGAAGCACTTTGTTAATATCGGAGTGGTTTAAATGGTAGTTATCCAGTAAATAATATTTCCTTTAAGAAAAGAAGATAGAATTAAAAAAATATTTGATATAGAAAATAAGACCATACCTACATATTAATAAATTTGAATCAAAATTTATAATTAAATAAATTATTAACGCATTTTTAATAACTCACTTTAAGTAAATATTCACTTTAAAAGCGTCTTTATTAAAAGCTAATCTTAAAAAGCTCTGTCTCGGTTGAGAAATGTCAACTAATAATAAAAGGTTTACAATTTAAGAAAAGAAGGAGGTCAATCTATTGAAATTATTAAGGGGCCATCTTTCAATTGAAAATTTCTGAGTGGAACAATGTTCAACAATTTGGAATCTGAAAAATGATTCAGATGTTACTTAATTTCATTGCAACCACAATCACAAATTCCCCTCCCTAGAATTTGTATCTCTACCTATGATTACATGGATGCCTTGTGTCAATAATAAGCCAAAAAAGGCAAAACAGTGGTGAAACACCAATCCAATCCAAGTCCAACGAAAAGGAGCTAGTTTGAGAAAGTCCCTTAATAATCCATGCCCCCCATGCCACCCATGCCACCAGCCATGGAAGGAACATCTTTATCGTCCTTCGGGAGTTCAGACACAACAGCTTCCGTTGTTGTCATCAAAGATGACACACTGCAAAAGAATAGTGATAAGCATTAAGCAAAGCAGGCATAAAACAAACCAAATACATCAATACCTATGGCAAGTTTCCTAACATCCTACCTGGCTGCATCAACCAAGGCGGTCCTAATCACCTTCAATGGATCAATGATTCCAGCTTTAACCATATCAACATATTCACCTAATTAAGAAGCATGAAAAAAATTATAGGACAATCAGTAATAACAAAAGGGCCACGCATCTTCAGAAAGAAATAAGCACAATCATGAAATAAAACAAACAAATAATTCCTACCTTTAGCGGCATCATACCCAAGATCAGGATTATTCTGTTCCAATAGTTTGCCAACAACAACAGCACCCTCAACTCCTGCATTTGAAGCAATTGTGTGCACAGGAGTCTGCATTGTTTGTCAGAACAGATAGTTAAAAATAAAGTCCAAGATATTGGCTAATCCGGTTGAAAGATCTGTTGAGTGAAGCCCGATAAAAAAAATCTACGAATGATCTATAAAATGAAAAAAACCAGCAAAAGAAAAGCACTAACCTTTAAAGCATTTTGGATAATCTGGACACCTATCTTTTGATCGAAGTTGGCAGTGTGAAGCTTATCCAACTCATTTGATGCATAAAGAAGAGCGACACCACCACCTGTCCAAAGCATAAAATATCAAATTTGAATGAACATAGAACACTAAGCATACGCCTGCTAGTGCTAATAATCTACCTGGTACTATTCCCTCCTCTACAGCTGCCTTGGTTGCATTTAAGGCATCTGTTACTCTATCCTTCTTCTCTCCGACTTCAGCCTCACTGGCTCCTCCAATCTGTCAAAGTGTCATTCCAGATGTCAATTTTATTATGACAAAACCAAAGGATAGTGCCAGGTAAAAACCTAATACAAACCAAGGTGAACTTAAGTAAGTATACCTTAAGCACCGCAACACCCCCAGAAAGCTTGGCTAGTCTTTCTTGCAACTTTTCCTTATCATAATCTGAAGTGCTATTTTCAATTGCTGATCTAATCTGTTTGTTAAAATTTGTCAAATAAACAAGTCAAAAGACATCAACAATGTGGATCTATCACTACATGAAAACAGATTAAAATGGTAGATTCAAATTTAACAGAAGATTCAAACCAACCAGCTCACATCTTTCTTCAATTGCTTTCTTATCACCAGCTCCATCAAGGATGACAGTGTCATCTTTAGAAATTGTTATCTACAAAATTAAGATTATTTAGTGGTTTAAATCAATTAAACTTGACTATAGACTAAAAATGGAGAAAAATAAAAAGTAAAGGAGAAAAATCGATGAAAAACTATTTTTAAGCTCAAACACAGAGAGAGTCATGACATATTCTCGACAAAACAATGGATAAAAATAAAAAAGAAAACATACCAAAGCTCTATTATCCATTCACATGCTATAAGACTATAACAAATTAAGCTAAAAGGTTACCTTTTTACAAGAGCCAAACATTTCCAGATCCACTTTTTCAAGATTCAAGCCAAGCTCTTCAGTGATAAGCTAAAGAATTGAGACAATCACTCAAGGGTTTGTAAGATGGGATTTAAGAAAGTAGTAACTCGGCAGACCAAAAACTTACTTGACCCCCTGTGAGAACAGCAAGATCCTGGAGACCTGATTTACGATTTTCACCAAAACCAGGAGCTTTGATTGCACATACCTAAAGCAATGCAGCAAATATCAGATTAAATAAGCAAAATGAAAAATCTAAAACTAAATGCACCTAAGAAGTAAAAGGTAAGACTTCATATAGGCAAAACAAACCTTGATTCCAGCCCGAAGTTTATTTAGAATAAGAGTTGCAAGGGCATCACTTTCAACATCCTCAGCAACAATCAATAAAGGTCTTTGTCTCTGGAGATAGAGAAGTGTCAGCCAAGACCAATACTTTAGAAATCAATGCAAATGAAGTAAAGGGCATTGCTCACCTTCAAAGCTAACTCTAATACTTTGACAATAGCATTTATGCTCGAGATTTTTTTTTCATGGATTATAATGAGAGGATCCTCAAGTTCCTGTTAGCACACAGACATTACATGGCTGCAAATAATATCTAAGAAATATAAAAAAGACTCATGACCAAGAACCAAGGTAAATTCCAGAAAAGTATTATTCAGAAAGATTTTTAATGCTGTGATGTAAATATGAAAGGGAAAACATACACATTTCTGATTCTTCTGGTTTGTTATAAAATATGGAGAAATGTATCCCCTGTCGAGCTTCATTCCTTCAACAACTTCCAATTCGTTATACAATGTCTTGCCATCCTGAAAAAGTTTATAAGAGTTGGTCTCTAGGATATCAAGAAATGCATCGCGTATTATTCAAACCAAGGTAGAACAGCAAGGCCTAACAAGGGATAGCTGAGATGGAATTGAAAATCATAGAGGGAAACATCTACTGAACATTATATCAAGGATATAAAAAAAACTGTTCTAAGGCCAAAAGAAAAAAACCCAAATAAAATAATCTTAACAAGGTGCATATAATAACTTACTGCGATAGTGATTACACCCTCTTTGCCAACTTTCTCCATAGCTTTTGCAATTAACTCACCAATTTCCCTCTCCCCATTGGCAGATATTGTACCAACCTAATAAATTGTAAAGTTCAGTTAATATTCAAGATTCAAATTCCTTCTTGTTGTTTCCAATCTCCTACAATATGCCTGTAGTGGCTCTAACAAGAACAGGAAGATACACAAACCTGTGCAATTTCTTCAGAAGTGCTAATCATCCGTGCTCTGCTTTTTAGATTTGTCACCACAGCATCAACAGCCATGTTTATACCTCGCCTCAGGTCCATCGCGTTCATTCCAGCTGCAACTGATTTACACCCTTCCGTAAAAATAGCTCGAGTAAGAATTGTAGCACATGTGGTTCCTGCCATTACACTCATTATTAGAATTTCCTCAATTAGAAAGGAGACAGTGCTGAAGTTTAAACCATAGAGTAAATCCTGCATGGTTATCACAGCTTACCATCACCAGCCACATCATTGGTAGCGTTTGCAACTTGCTTTACAAGACTGGCACCAATATTCTTGACTTTGTCCTTGAATTCAATGCTCTTAGCAACAGTAACTCCATCCTTGGTCACTTTTGGTGCGCCAAAACTTTGCTCAATCACCACATTACGCCCCTAAAAGAAGAAGTTTAGAATAAATAACCACGATCAAATACCAAACAAAGTGACAGGATTAGGATTGATATATTTCATTCTTAGATCCAAAAGACATGCTCACCCTTCAGAAAACCAAATTAATAGATGATTGAATAAAAACACCAGATCAGCAATCATAGACTTAATATAAAGTTCCATTTCCAATATTCTCCTCTTTTCTATAACTTTTAGCAAAGATATCTTTCCCAGCAGACATAACAAGAAAATAGAGAAAGCTTATTACCTTAGGACCCATGGTTACTCTGACAGCATCAGCAAGCTCTTCAACACCCTTAAGCATCAAAGCCCGGGCCTCCACGCCAAACTTAATGTCTTTTGCAGCATAATTCCTGCTCCAACTCACCCTACTTCCAATCTATGCAACGCAAGAACCAATCATCAGCATCTTCATGATAATAAAGAACAGAGATTCAGGTAAAGGGATCATTACTCTTAAAACAATTTTAACAAACAAAGTGCAAGAATGGTGTTTTACCTGTTGAGTGCTGCTCCTAGCAATTCTGCAATCAAAAGGAACAAAAATTAACAGTTAGAAGCACTGAAGACAATGAGATGTTATCACAAAACATCATAGCAATCAACATTATTGGATCTATCTCAGATAAGCGACCCAAAACCCCAAAATAGATAGAATTTTAATTCATTCTCAGACATTTTCTCAGGAC